TAGGGTCCTGCTACGCAAGGGCACGACATGGCGGACCATAGAGATGATTATTCTATGTTTTTGGGGGGTTCCCAAAGAGGCCAATATCCCTTAATTAAGGAGTATTGCTGAATTTATAGGGGTCCCTAATATGATTTAAGGTGTTCCTTAAGGGGTATTGGGCTCTTTGGGTTCTTAAGCAAATCGTAGCTCAGACGTGAAAGTTCGGAGCGGGCGGCCTTGCGCGCGCAGCCGCCCTGGGGCAGGCGCTGCTCGGCGTCCGGGTCCTCCAGCTCATCCTTGCCCAGTTCCTGGGCTCTTGGTAGCTTGAAGCCCTAAACCCTAAACCCCAAACCCTAAACCCTAAACCCTGTAAACCCTAAACCTCTTGGTAGCTCGAAGCCTGATTTGAAAGCAGCCGCCATCTGCGAACACGCCCCCAGAATAGACCCTCTAACCCGACATCCCCACACCGGACCCAGGGCGTGGAGAAGGGTGCCTGAAAAGCCTGGATGGGCGCAGGGCTTCCGATCTCTTAGGGTTTAGGGTTTAGGGTTTAGGGTTTAGGGTTTAGGGTTTAGGGTTTAGGGTTTAGGGTTTAGGGTTTAGGGCCTAGATCTTCAAAGCCTTGTCGCGCGAAGACCCTGGGACCCCCTGCGACCCCGATCCCCCATCTAAAGCACCGCTCCCGAAACCCGCAAACCCAGCAAACCCTAAACCTTCTAACCCTTGCAACCCACAACCATCCGGAGAGTAGTTATAAGTTTTAGGGTCCCACTTCGGGTCCCCCCCTCTTTTGCACGGCGCCCTCACTACAGGAACCCTCAAGCCTACTTCGTTGTCCAGTAAGCTAACATGGACCTTTAGGATGACATAGGGGTTCCAATATCCCAGAAAGGTAAAAAGGTCACCTACTCTACTACTGAGAGGTCCTAGTCAGGTCTCAGGACCCCAAACCCCAAACCCCAAACTACACCCCAACCCCCAAACCCCAAACTAAACCCAAAACCCCAAACCCCAAACCCCCTAAACCCCAAACCCCAAACCCTAAACCCTAAACCCCCTAAACCCTAAACCCTAAACCCTTTTTTTGAGCAACGGACTTTGGGGGCTGCCGGCAAGCATGCAACTTCTCAGAAGTCACATCACGCAATCTGACGCAATCTGTGCTATATGGCTCGTGCATCACGAGGCATGAACTAAAGCTTGAAACACAAGGCACACTCACACACACACACACTCACTCATCCATCTCCATATTCCTGTAGGCGCTGCAATCGCTCTGCTTTCCTTCTTTGCTTCATCTCCATCCGATGTTTCCTATGGTGATCAATCAGGAACTGATGATTTCCTTCCGGCAGATCCAGCGGAGTCTCATGAAGAGGTTGTGATGTTGCGACGCTGTTTGCCCGAGCTGTAGTCCCAACTTCTGGCAGACATACATCCGTGGAGACTTTCATACCATGCACCAGTGCCTGCATCTGACTAATCCGTGAGTCAAGATCAATCTCCATGCGGTGAATGGTTGCATCTCGGTCTTGAATGATCATCTCTGTCTGCGCAAGAAGCTTCTCGAATCGAGCCTGAGCAGTCTTCAACACTCCTTCAGCAACAGCCTTGCACTCCATCTCAGTGCACATGTTTGCTTCGGTTTGTATGGACGCGTCGGCAAGATGCTGCGTCTTGCAATCTTGCAAAGCATCATACAACCTGACGATCTGGCGCTGGGCAACAGCTTCATCCGGATGGACATGTGTACCAAATCCTGTCCGAACGCAGTGTAACGCAGACTTCAGGTGTTCTGTCACACTTGGCACCTCCATCTTGTAGGATACACGCAAGGCGTAGGCAACACAGGAAGTCAACCGTCGCTCCATTGCAGCTCACTTGGGGAATGCACGAATTGGGATTTTGCCAGATTATGGCCTCGTAGCAGAAATGGCAACCCTAAACCCTAAACCCTAAACCCTAAACGCTAATCCCTAAACCCTAAACCCTAAACCCTAAACCCTAAACCCTAACCCCAAGCCGCAGCCCCAGCCGCGGGGGCTTCCTGGTCCCCTCTGAAGGAGGGCTCGGCGAGGTCGCCGGGACGCCAGGGCATCCGGGAGAAGCTGCTCTTCCTTGGGCTTAGGGTTTAGGGTTTAGGGCTTAGGGCTTAGGGTTTAGGGTTGAGGGTTTAGGGCTTAGGGGTTTGGGGTTTGGGGTTTGGGGTTTGGGTTCAATCGCTCACACTCGGACGAACCAGGCGAGAGCCTAACGGGTGATACACTCAGGGTTTAGGCTTTTCGGGTTCCCCAGTATCCTGGAAATGAAGAAGGGAAATTGTGATGTGGTCTAATTCAACTTGCGGAGGGAACCTTTCATCCCAGACAGAAGGATCCCATAGGGTTCGGTGTTCAGATTCTAAAGATTTACGGCCCGAGCTGCATTGGGTCCACCGTGATGGAGAAGCTGCGCAGGAAGCCCGAAGGGGCGCTGGCGCACTCCTCCTCCGACGCAACTCGCACCTGCCTGGGCTGGTTTCAGGGGAGGGCTGGGGTTCCAAGCAGCCCCGAACCCTATCTGGGGGATTCTCGAAATCAGGGTCCCTTTTGTTTGCCATAAGGCGGCGCCCTTCACATGTAGGACACCCACAAAGGGACCATAAGCCCTAAGGCCCTAAGCCCTAGAGCTGCACCGTGTCAAGTGGCAGCTCATGCGGGTAGATGCGGGCCTCCTGGGACACGGGTGGCGCGACTCCGGTTTTCTGGTTTCTGGCCTACACTGGCCATGGCCGGGATACTGATGGCCAATCACGTCGCATCCTTATCTTTGTTAAGCTCCGCACACTAGCCCTACCTTCTCATTCGAAGTTCCTTTAACTCTTTGGCTGATTCTGGGCCTCCGCCGCACACGAACAAGCCTCGAAAAGAAGCCAAAGTTGAGATAGTCAGACTGCTCAGACGCAATGCCTACAAATGATGTCACTACATACAACCTAGACCCGTGAAGAGTAACCCACAACAGAAGGGGAAAAGGGACCCCCTCAGGATCCTAGTAACTGCTTAGGGCTTTTGCTTTAGGGTTTAGGCCTGATTTTACCCCAAACCCCAATGGTCCTCAACAAGATCTCTCAACAAATATCCTGTCAAAAGATCCTCTCATACAAAAAACCTCTCAAACAAACTCTCAAAAAAATCCCCAAACCCCCCAAGCCCTTTTCAACCTGAGAGCTGCTTCATGTCAGGATTGAGAGGCCTGCGCTGAGTCTCGGGCCCACGAAATCATGCAAACTCCGAGTCCAAATGCCCGGCAGAATGGACCATGAACCCCAAACCCTAAACCCGAGAAGCCCTCGTCTGTTACCCCTAAACCCCCTACCAAATTTCCAGACCCTAAACCCTAAACCCTAAACCCGGCCCCCAGCGCCTCCACCCCAAGGGTCGAACCAATGAGGCGACCGGCCTGGAAGACCTTTAGGGGGTTTGGGGTTTAGGGTTTAGGGGGGTTTGAGGGGGTTTGGGGGTGTCTAGGGGCGTTTTGCACGCGCTCTCTCTGCAAGCTGTCCACAGGCTTTAGGGCTTGGGGTTGAGGGTTAAAGGGGTTTAGGGTTTAGGGGGTTCGGGGCTTCGACTCTCACGCGCCCACAAGCAGACTTTAGCCACCATCAGGAGGCGTAGACATGTGTACGTGAGCTCGGCTAAGGTTTGCATTTGCATGCCCCCTCAGACCTTGCGAGCAGGTCAGCGCGCGTCTGCGTCTCTTATCAGGACACCCCCCCCCCCCCCCACTCACCCTCCCATCTGTGGGCCACTGCCAATGGACACTGAAAGTAGCGCTGACTGGTGAACGCAGTTTGACCAAGCTAGGGTCGCGGATGTTGGATGTATGCTATTGCCCAGTCGGATTGCCCGGATCGATACCGGCCGTGTACTGTCCGCCGCTTGAAGCTGCACGGAGTCTACTAGCCTAGCCATGTTACACTGACACGCGCACAGTGATGGGTGTGTACTGCTGCCCTAAACCCTAAACCCAAAACCCAAAACCCTAAACCCTACACCCTACACCGCACGCCTTAAACCCTGGCACTTCAACCCAAATCGCCCCAGCTCGGCTCCGCAGTTTCTCTGGCCCTTGGCAGCAGGTCGATGGCAACAGGGAAAGCTTGAAAGCCTGCGGCATCCCGCGCTTGCGACTTGAAACTGACTAGGATCCTGCTATTAATGTATGCATTTTGGTACACTCGAACCATGTTAGTATATATATATATATTTATTTATATATGAATATTGTTATGTTAGTATTATGTTGCTACAGTACTAACCGGTCTACGAGACAAACTTCGACACAATTGCCGACGGGGGCAAGAAAAAGCCTCCGAAGGCTGTCCATCATCGCCCCCCGTGCAGATTCCCGCAAGGCTTTTTCCGGCTAATGCTATACGGCCAGGCGGATGTACCTCGCAGATGTTCGAACGCACCGAAGGCATGGTTCTTCACATTTCATGTACAACACAGCCTGGTGGCCAAGTACATCGGCCGACTCAGTATGTCAAAAGAAACGAATGGGCACAAGCAAGCATACCACTCAAAAGCTTCACATGCTGGGCAGGTTTCGCCTCCACGGCTGGCTCCAGTCTTAGAAACATCGAAGACTGAGTCATGGGAGCCTTAATAGTTAGCATAGGGATTTTTGGGGGGTTACTGTGGTATAAACATAAAAAGGGGCCCTAAGCCCTAAGGGAAAACTATTAATAATTATTCCGACCCCTATGTTATGCTATGGCCCTACGGTCGCTTCCCTCACCACCCATGTCTTAACCGCCTTAACTTACCGGTCGAAGTGGCATGGCCTGAGCCAGCCGTGTTCGCTTGCACATTGGCAGGCGGCAGTTCTGTGTCTTCATCTGCTGCCCCCCTACGAAAAATGCAGAGAGAGAAGCGCGTTCAGATCAGCGACACTCGGAATTCAGCTGCGAGCCTTGGCACATGGTGGCCAGCGGCCCGGCCGATGCAGATTCGGAGGCAGTTTTTTGGCACTCAGATGATCTGGTCGAGAACTTGGAGGAGGATGTCCCTGGAGGAAACGATGCCGACAATGCGCGCGATCTCGTCCGAGGCCAGGAAGATGCGCTGCAGCTTCGAGGCGATCAGGCGCAGGGATAAGTGGTGGAGCGATGCCCCCTCATGGACAGACCTTAAGGACGAAATGAGCCCTAAAAGGGTTTATGGTTCACATACTTTAAGTAGGGATTATGGAAGTCGTATAATGACCCTGAACCCTAAACCCTAAATCTTAAACCCTAAACCCCAATTTTAGGGTTCATTTGGTCCCAAGGGACACCACATTGAAGCGGCGCAGCCGCTGCAGCCGCAAGATCTGGTCCAGGCTCTGGCCCTCGGCCTCTGTGCGCCAGGCGAGGAAATCGCAGACGGACGCTCCCAAAACATCGAACCTGGGAGGTCCCTTAAACCTTCCGAAAAATATTCCCAGAAACATGATCCTCTTAAAATATTCCTGCAAAGATGATCCTCTTAAAACCCCACGAGGGGGGTCTTATTGTACGAAGATCACGAAAGATCCCACCGCAGGGCCGACCGAGGTACCTCCCAGAGCAGATGATCCACTTCAGGTCCGCAACCGAAACGACGTTGCTGGCGACCACCCCACCGAGGTCTCCAGAAAGCTCTCGGGAGGTGGTCGGGCAGATGGAGAGGTCTGCAGCCTTCATGTTCCTTAGCTTTGGAGTAGACCCTGGAAACAAACAAGTATATACTCTTGAGGTATACGTAGCTGCAATAGGAACCCAGAACCAAGAAAAAAAGTATTAAAGTATAGTACTCCGAGACCCAGGTTCTGCAAGGCGTGAAGCAGGGGCTCGTCTTGCTGAACAGACACCTGCAGGATAGTGCTTCGACGATCGAAAACCTTCGCTGCCAGTGACTTGAGCACGGCTGTGGGCGCAGTGTATCTCAAAGCCAGCTGGAGAAAATCAGGCGCAGCGAATATCCCAACAATGTTTCCTTGCGCATCGACCAAGGGCACTCGCCGTGCTTTGCCCTGCCCTGCGCTGCTGCTTGGTAGCCTGCGGCCTGCCATCACCTTCAGCACATCTCGCACGGGTGTGTCAATGGAAGCTGGCACGAAGGCACAAAGTTTGGAGCAGTTGGCCAAGCTCCCGACATCCGCCTCACAAAGGAGTTCCAGCGTTCTGGCAGCCTGGTCCTCCGAGTGCGCCGTCTCCAACAGCTTATGGTTGATGTCCATGTAATCAAAGAACTGGTGTGAGCCATCTGCATACTTCACGAGGCACCACCTCATGTGGATGCGAGCCATCTCTGCCACGACATCTCTTACCCTCGTGTGCTCGTCGAAGATGTGGAGAGACCAGAATTTGGAGCTCGTCTTCTTCAGCCGCACGATGTACTCCGAGATGGGCCTTGATGGATTCCATTGGTCATTGGGGTTCAAGGGTGAAAGGTCATCCGGCTGAGGCTTCTCCGTTGCCCTGGCATCTTCAAAGACATCCTCAATCGGAGGGAGGAGCACCGCCAAGAACTCGCAATAGCCTTGGCTGCACTTCGGAGGGTAGCTATACATTGAACTTTTAGCTGCCTTGTTGAGAAACCCAATAAACCCAAAAAGGCTAAGGATCTAAAGTTACATTAACGCACCACAAAGTAGCTCATGGAGTCCTGCTCCCCACAAACTGCACGCCAGACTCTTCGGATCGACTCCTGTGGGCAGGCATTCGCGCCCACCATGAAGCGATCCTGGTCCTCGCTCACAGTCTTCAGGGAGCTGGCCCAGTAGGACCTCGTGGGGGAGTCCGCCGACTTCTTCTGGATGACCGCCAGAAAGGTTTCGAACTTCACCTGTGGCCCTCGAAACCCTCCTGAAAAAAGAAAGGCTCTTACAAGCAGACCCCTCTTAAACCCAAGAAGGGAAAGTGCCATCGGACGTAGGATGGCCTCTTAAACCCAATAAGGAGAAGATGTAAAGATCTACCATAGGTCTAGACACCACTCCATTGAGGCCGTGGGCATCGAACATCTTGAAGGTGTCCCGCAAAGCCATGAACTCCTCCCCAGGGCAACCCTAAACCCTAAACCCTAAACCCTAAACCCTAGCTCCTCCCAGGGCAAGTAGGTCGGCGAGCGCGCCACAGCTAGGAGCCAGGCCCGAGCCGCTCGGGAGGCCATAGAGTGGGCATGGAACCTGCACCATGTTTGGGCAGTTAGGGTTTAGGGTTGAGGGTTTAGGGTTTAGGGCTCCTTATTGGGTTTAAGTATTCATAAAAAATGCAAAATGCTTTTCTTCCATGACCCAGAAACCGCTCAAGGATGGTCCGAACCGGTAAGGCGCGCGGTGGATCTTTCCACCGGTCCCGCTCCTGAGCCAGGTAGGGGTCTGCCAGGCATTCGGCCGCGGACGGCCTGTTGTCTGGCTCCCGTGTCAGCATTCGGCGCAGTAGCGCTGCGGCGTCTCTGGGCAGCGGATCCAGCATCTTTTCCACGGCCTCCTCAGACACTTCTTTGATCTCTCTGAGCACAACCTCTTCCGTGTACCCGTCGCACTGGCCGGCATCTCTGTGAAACGCAGGCTCACCCGTCAGTAGCTCCAGGAACACCACACCCAGGGACCAGATGTCGCACTTGTCGGTGTACGCATTCTCGCTGCTCAGCCCCGCAAGGACCACTTCGGGTGCGAGGTAGCCCAGGGTCCCCATACCTTACTTCTCCAATAACCAAGGTAAAAAAAAAGGTAAACCTTTAAAAATCCTACTAATGAGGAAACGCAACAAGTTGAAAAGTTCCACTCAAGGCGAAGCAAGACGCAACCCTGCAGCGAGCCCTCATTTTCCAGGAAGCCTTTGACGCTGAAGCCGAAGTCGATGAGCTTGATGGTGGCACCGTCCGCCTCGTAGACCCAGTTCCTTACTTCTCCAATCACCCAAGGGGGGGAAGAACCCTAAACCCTAAACCCTAAACCCCTAAACCCCTAAACCCTAAACCCTAAACCCTAAACCCTAAACCCCTAAACCCTAAACCCTAAACCCCTAAACCCTAAGAGGTTGAACTTTGACTTTCCTGCTAAAAAAAGGAAACCCAAAAAGAGTTGAGAGCTCAACTAAAGCTAAGGCGAAGGGAGGCTCCGAGGCTTGATGTCCCTGTGCACGATCCCGGCACGGTGGATGTAGTTCACCTAGTTCATTGTTGGGATAATCTTAACAACTCATTTTTTGTTCCTTATTGGGTTTAAGCACCCTTGAAAATGTAAAATGTTCCCCAACGATAACCCCTAAACCCTAAACCCTAAACCCTAAACCCTCGACCCAAGTGACAGCCAGCAGCATCGGCACGGCCACCTCCTGAAACCGGGCCTCGCTGAAGGCCCCCTGGGCCCGGATCGCGTTCTCCAGGGTGCCGCCTGAGCAGAACCTTGCTTCTCCAATAAACCCGAAACCCTAAACCCTAAATCCTAAACCCGAAACGCTAAACCCCGAAACCCCTAAACCCCTAAACCCCTAAACCCCTAAACCCCTAAACCCCTAAACCCCTAAACCCCTAAACCCCTAAACCCCTAAACCCTAAACCAATAACCAAGGGGGGAAAAAACATAGTGTTAAGCTTTCATATTCCTACTAAAAACAAGGAAGCCCAAGAAGAAATTTCAAGTTCAACTGAAGGCGAAAAAAAAGGAACTGCATCACCAGGCTGACCTGTTCGTCATCTTCGTAGACGTCAAAGAGCCGAGCGATGTGGGGATGTTCCAGGGACAGGTAGATCACAGCCTTAGTTGTCCCGAAACCCTGGGGGAATTAAAGGCAAACCTTTGGGATTAGAAGGGGATTCTACCACCCCAAAATGGTTAAAGGTTACCTACCTCGACTACTAGCCGGCCTCGTTCTTCAGCTTGTCCAGCTTCTCGGGGCTCATCTGCCGAAGGTCGAACTTCTTGACGCAGCGCTCGTAGGTCTCTTTGTTCTGTCGAACGGCGGCCCGCTCTTTTCTCCGGCACAGCAGGACATCTCCACTGAAGCCGCTGCCGATGACCGTGGGCGGATGGGATGTGTACTCGTAGTCCTCTAGAAACTTCTTGTCACGATGGTAGAGGCAGGCTAGGAGTTCCATTTTCAGGGCTCGTTGATTGAGCTCATTGTGCACCTCCTTTGAAATCAAAGACAGCTTTCGAGGCCGCATCGTCTGCAAGGATGTCCGAGCAGAGCTGGCTGTGTTTTCCTCCTCCGGCTTGATGTCGTACTGCACCGTCATGCGCTTCTGATGGATGATGCTGTCCAGCCGCGCGCTGCGTCTGCTGTTGCCCCCTGACAAGGATCGGGGCATCCGCCCAACCTGCCCAGCCCACTTCCTCGTTCATGGTTGGGATCGTATTAAGAATGCAAATGTCTACTCCTCATTGGGTTTTAAGTACCCGTAAGAATGTGAAAAGGTTACCCAACTATGACCAAGCTTCTGCGCGAACTCGACTTCGCCCAGGCGGTTGTAGCGCAGTGCCAGGCGCACAAGCTGCAGTCGAAAGCCGTGGTTGGAGAGAATGGTCCCTCGCCGACACTGTATGGTCTCGACGGCGTCCATGAGAGTCATACCCTCATGAACGACCAGCCAGCACACGCACATGCATGCAGATCCTCGGCAGCCCAGTAACCCGGTCTTAAAAGTAAAGGGCACCCTGACTTTAAGGGTTCCCTACCTTTTTTATAAGGGCACCTTGAACCCAAAAAAAGCTACCTTGTAAGGGAACCTTGAACCCAAAAAGGGCCCAAACAGGGCACCACCGGGCTGCCCAAGCATCGGTTGTGGCCTGCCTTGCAGTTCACGAGCGCTCGTTGGCCTTGAGCCTTGCAGCGCTGGAGAAAGGCCTCGCAGGGCGGCCAGCACTTCGCGACGATGTCGAAGAAGAGCCGGTCCTCTGAGTCGACCTCCAGAAACCTTTAGCAGCGCAGTATGCTTTTTAGAAAAAAGGAAGAAAGTTGGGGGCCATGTTGCACTAAGGGCACCCTTTTTTAGGACGGCTACTCTGCATGGGAACCTTGAGCCAAAAGAGAAAAAGGAAAAAGGGGCACGACTGGGGCCGCCAAGAAACTCCACGTCGTGGGAGGAGTACAGCGACGTGAAATCCGACACCTCCGGAAGCCGAGAGCTCAGCTCCCACCAGTTGATCAGATTCAGAACCTGGGTGGCCCAGTAGCCATCGTATAAATAAGGGTACCCTTCTGTTGGGTTGCTGACTTTTTATAAGGGGCACCTTTGAACCAAAAACAGGGTAAATAAAGCTATCAAGGAGCTGCTCGGATGTTCTGCTGCTGTAGGAGCTCGAAGTCTGTCGCCTCCTTCAAGTCTCCGAGGAACATCCAGTCCAGAATCCGCGCCGGCTGCTCACCCGGCTTCCAATATTTCCACGAAACTGTGTCCAGCACGGTGGCCAATCCTAGTTCATGTTTGTGAGAGCATTAAGAACTTAAATTCCCATTCCTTATTGAGTTTAAGTACCCTTAAACATGTAGAATGTTACCCCACTATGACAAAGAGTCGATCCAAGCCTATTTGCTCCTGCTCGGTTGGAGCCAGCAAGGCCTCGTCCTCGCGCCGGAGACCTTTGTTGCTGAGTTCATAAGCCCCAAAAAAAAAGTGTACACTTTCAGTTCTATTAATACTTATAGTATCCCGAAAAGTGTACACTTTCAGTTCTATAGGGGATTAGAGTATCCCCAAGAAAGTGTAAAATGTACTCACTCAGCTACTCCGAGGCAGAGGCGGCAAAGGATCTCGGCCCTGGCGCCCTGCGCGTATTCATTCACTTCGGCCTGGCAGCCCTGGCAAATCCTTAGTTGCTGAGTTCATGAGCCCCCAAAAGGGTTTAGGGTTTAGTTTTTAGAGTTTAGGGTTTAGGGTAAAGTGTACGACTTTCAGTTCTCCTGGGGGGATTAGAGTATCCCCAAAAAGTCCAAAAGTGTACTCACTCAGCTACTAAGGATCTCCGCCTTCGGGGTCTTCGCGCTCGGGGAAGGGCTGAGCATGGAATTGCCGTTGGGCGACGGCGACGCATCGTGCGGGTCGGGCAAGGCAGTGGACGAGAACGCACGGGAGAAGGCAGCGCATGGGCCTAGACCCGCCTCCTCGGCAGCTTTTGCGATTGCTTGTACAGAGCTCTTTGCACCCATGGCGCCACAGGCGCAATGGCTCAGACCATCGTCATCCAACTTCGCGGCTGAAGATTGAGCATTGGAATCTCACGGTTGAGGCTCGGGACTGGACGAAAGCGATCGACAGCCGTGCAGCCCCCCAACACCCACAGAAAACAATGCCCGAAAGCCAATAACTTGGGATGTTCCCGAATATGTTCCCCCTTATACTGACACTCCTTAATGGGGATTCGAGTACCCCCCTATTCTAATCCCGGTTAAGGGCTGTTATCTTGGGGTTCTGACTTGGACCCTTAAGGTGGTGCCCTTGGGTTTCGGGGCCCCTTTTTGAGGATCCCTGAGAGAATATTAGGGCCATATTCGGAGCATATTAAAGGGAACCTTTTTGGTTGTACAACCTCAGGGGTGCGAGCCTGAATCCCTTGATGTTAGTAGAAGGGGGCACATCCCAGCCTAAAACTTGCATCCTGCCTGCAACGCGCCCATCCGCAGGACAGCCTGGCTGTCACAGAAAGGTTCGACCCTAAACCCTAAACCCTAAACCCTTAACCCTAAACCCCAAACCCTAAACCCTAACAAGTAGGTCAGCTAACCATATCCCTGCTTCTACCTCCAGCCAGGCTGTGAGGGGTTGAGGTGGTAGAGCCGAGGACCTACACGCGACTGGAACCCCAAGACCGAAACAAACAGTCTCTGGGTTTTGGGTTTAGGGTTTAGGGTTTAGGGTTTAGGGTTTAGGGTGTAGGGTGTAGGGCTTAGGGTTTAGGGATGGGGCTTCCGCAAGTAGGTACCCCATATGGTCTCTTCAAGGGAGCGCCTACCAATAAACACTACAAACCCTGAACAAGTGTTTCCTACCTGGCCGTCCCAAGCCCTGCAAGCCTCGTTTAGCCCCTTTCCTTGCTGCCGCAAGAAACCAACTACATGAAAGAGGTGAAGTTTAAAAGTCTTGCTGTTCCTGGTAGCTGGGAAGTCGAGAAACCGCAATATAATAAGGACACCTTCTTTGGTTGCCTACTCTGTCTGGGAACCTTCAACCAAAAAAAAGGTAAAGGCTACCACCGGGCTACCAAGTAGAAGTCTGTCCTACTCCTGGCACATATAACAATCATAAGTATAAGAGTAATAACAATTATCATAGGGCAAAACCCTGATCCCTATAACCTTAAACCCCTAGAGGAAGCCCAAGGAAATCGAACAGAAATGTCTCACCCAAAACAAGGGTAAAGGCTACCACCGGGCTACCAAGCAAAAATATTTCTTACTCCTGGCAGAAGAAGGAGGAAGCCCAAGGAAATCGAACAAAGATGTCTCCTAAACCCTAAACCCTACACCCCAAACCCCAAACCCCAAACCCCAAACCCTAAACCCTAAACCCTAAACCCTAAACCCTAAACCCTAACTCGAACAAGAATGTCTCGCCTGGAACTCGAGGTCCTCCCGCGGCTGCGTCAGCCTCTCGAACTGGCGCTGGGCTCGGGCTCGCCGCCTCCTGGGCTTCAAGATGGCTTCAGGGTTTGGGGTTTAGGGTTTAGGGTTTAGGGTTTAGGGCTTGGGGTTTAGGGTTTAGGGTTCAGGGTTTAGGGTTTAGGGTTTAGGGTTTAGGGTTTTCAGGCTGAGGGTTGCGTGGCTCGACCCTGCAGCCTGGCTTTGCGTTGGGGTGCTGGTTGCCACCCGCTGGGCGTTTCTACTCCTGCCCACGATTGCCACGGGGCTCCCTAAACCCTAAACCCTAAACCCTAAACCCTAAACCCTAAACCCTAAACCCTAAACCCGAGCACGGACTGGGAAAGACCCTAAACCCTAAACCCTAAACCCTAAACCCTAAGCCCTAAGCCCTAAGCCCTAAACCCTAAACCCTAAACCCTAACCCTAAACACTAAACCCTAATAGGCCTTCTGGGGCTTTCGGGTAGGAGGGCTCCAGTGCGTTCATCGTATTTAGGCCGTTGTTCTCGGCCTTGAAGGTGCTTTCGGCTGTGTGTCGGGCTTGCATGGAGGTGGGGCCTAAACCCTACAATCCCCAAAGTCCCTAAAACGATCTCTAAAACACCCCTAAGATCCCTCCTCGTCCGAACATCCCCAGGATCCCAAAAATCTTGGGATGTTCTCCCCTTATACCATCCTCCATGGGTTTCCAGTACCCCCCCACTGCAGACAAAGGAGGAATATCCCAACGAGTATCCCTGAAAACCAAAAGTCGCAGCCAAGCGTCATCGACTGCGCCTCGTGGGGGCATTGCATAGGAGGGGGGGGGCTCAGGGTGGAGGATCCAGGGCCTACACTTGCCCGGCTCAAGGTTTTTCTAAACCCTAAACCCTAAACCCTAAACCCTAAACCCACCCGGAACCCTGAACCCTGAAACAGTCGGCGCCCCTGCCAGTTCTGGAGGCCTTGGGCTCAGAACCCCGACGTGATGCAAAGCGCACTGGTAAAGGGACTTGGGCTAGCTCTTGGGACGTTCAGCCTTATACTAACAGTCCTTGATCGGGATTATCAAGTAGGGGGCACCCTTATCCCCATTAAGGACTGCTAGTAGAAGGGGAACATACCAAGTTAGCTCCAAAAGTCATCAATAGTAGAGATGTAACATCTGGCCATCAAGGTTCAGTGCGTCTGGCTTGTTTAATTTAGGAGCCTTAATAATTAGAGGGTTAGTATATGTAAATATAAAGGGAGCACAAGGGAAGACTATTCGTAAATATTCCGACCCCTATAGTGCATCGAGGTTTGGAGTCCCCCCTCCCCCCCCTGCACCCCCCACCTCCAGCTGGTGGGGAGACACGATGCCATGAGCCTTCGTCCGGACCTCCGGGGCACATCACACCCTCCACCTTGAAGTCTTAGGGTTTAGGGTTTAGGGTTAGGGTTTAGGGTTTAGGGTTTAGGGTTTAGGGTTTAGGGTTTAGGGTTTAGGGTTTAGGGTTTAGGGTTTAGGGTTTAGGGTTTAGGGTTTAGGGTTTAGGGTTTAGGGTTTCGGGTTTCGGGTTTCGGGTACAAATCGAAATGCCCCTTCCGCAGCTTCAGGGGGTTAGGGGCCATAGGGCTTAGTCACCCACATCGCCGGCGTTCGACTCGACACCCCGACTGCCTGAACTTATGACTCAACTGTCCTCTTACAAGTCTTAACCCTTTTGTTCAGCACTGTGTATAACTGTTCTGCTCCTTTCTAATCACTCTATATTCAGCAGGTTTCCTACAGTCTAATTAGACTGCACCCTTGTGCCCCCTAAACCCTGACCCCGAAACGCCACAAGGGCCTGCACAGCAGCTCCCAGTGGGCCGACACGCCCACTCGACACAGTTCTTCCGTCCATAGTCCTGGCTGAAGCCGTTTGGGCTTAGGGTGTGTCAGGTGCAGGGCTACACACTCATACATTTTCTTCGTCGCTTTTCACGTCTGTGTACGCCACACAACTGCAAAACACCAACGACATACGGAATTCTTGTAACAGAATATAAGCATCCGGTCTTCTGGTTTGCCCTTCAGTGTTTCGGTTTCTGATGTCCCCGAGAAGAAGCCATGAATAGATGATCGATGGTCTTGCAGTCCCTCTTCTCCCCTGCGCAAGGTCATCAAGGTCCACACCTATTGGGGCGTTCGCGAGGGTCGGGTTTGCCAGCAGGGTCAGTCTTGGGGCCTTTCGTCGTGATCTTACCCTCTTTGGCATACTACCAGTGAAGTCCGACATTCCCAATATCTCCGAAGCCACCAGAGAGCCCTATAGGAACCCCAAGAAAGCCTAAACCCTAAACCCTAAACCCCAAACCCCAAACCCTAAACCCTAAACCCCAAACCCCAAACCCCAAACCCCAAACCCTAAACCCCAAACCCCAAACCCTAAACCCTAAACCCTGTGCCATCCCGTGTCCTGCGTTCGATAAACCTCTGGGGCGCTTGGTGCAGGCATGGGGTGCGTATGTATATGCACATGCCTCCGCATGCGTTTAGGGTTTAGGGTTTAGGGTTTAGGGTTTAGGGTTTAGGGTTTAGGGTTTAGGGTTTAGGGTTTAGGGTTTAGGGTTGTGTATGTGCATTTGTGTCTGTGTGTTGCATCTCGCGTGTGGCTGAAAGGAGGTGGCTCTGTCCAAGGCAGGTACCGAAGCAGGTTGACCGGTATCAGGGCAGCAGCGACCCTAAACCCTAAACCCTAAAAACGAAACAGCCCAAATCTGCTCTTTCAGGTCGGAGCCCCCAAACTGTGCCGACCAAGTGGCGGCAGGTCCCGTCGGGTCTCGTTGTCCACGGCGTCCGTCGGCTCCTTGCTTACATATAAAAAGTTGGTGCTTGTTTTCAACTTACCTCTAAACCCTAAACCCTAAACCCTAAACCCTAAACCCTAAACCCTGCAGCAACGGGGTTTAGGGTTTAGGGCTTAGGGCTTAGGGCTTAGGGGCCGATGTAGTTCGAACGGACGTTGCGCGTTGGGGACGTTACAAAGTCTATCGCAAACCCTGAGCCCCTAAACTCCTCTCTCTCACTCTCTCTCTCTCTCTCTCTCTCTCTCTCTCTCTCTCTCTGTGTCTCTCTCAGGCACTCGAAGCGTCAGGCCTGCTGTTGAGCCCCTAAACCCCTACACCCTAAATCTTCACCCGGGGTTTAGGGTTTAGGGTTTAGGGTTTAGGGTGTCGGGTTTAGGGTTTACACCCGAAACCTTCACCTGGAGAACTGAGAGGAGATGGCAGGGAGCTGAGGGTTCGGGCGAGGGTTTGGAGGGGCTCCATGAGGTATGCTCACTTCTGCCCGCCTGGGTTTCCCCTCCAAATAACCTCACTTAGGCTTACATCCCTTGCCTTAACTACGAAGGAACCTAGGGGGGGGGGGGGTAAATAGCCTTACTTAGGCTTAAATCCCTTTCTAGCCTTATAACTCTGAAGGAACCTAGGGGGGGGGGGGGGGGTATTGGTATGGTTTTTAACATTCGGCCCGCCTGCAGGAAGCGGCGGAGCGCCACGCCCAGGGGCTCCCAGAGCAGCAAGCGGGCGTCGGGGAAAAACAGCTCCACTTGCAGCCTGGCGTGCCAAGGGCTTAGTTGGGATCTTCCCCCTTATAGTAACAGTCCTGAATATGGGGTTGTTAATAGGGGTGTTACTACAATTATCTATTGAGGACTGCTGGTGAAAGGGGAAACATCCCAAAGGGCTTCACCCTAACCCCTAAACCCCAAAAACGCCTTTGAACCTGGAAGCTGCTTCATGCCAGGGCTGCCTAAACCCTAAACCTTCTTGAACAGGAGAACCTTGAGCTAACAACGCCAAACCCGCTGCAAGCCGAGGCTGTGGCTCTAACCCCTGAACTCAAAAAAAAACCTGAAGCCTGTAAATCCTGTAAAACCCTGTAAGCCCTACGAACCCTTTAATTAAACCCCTAAAAACCTGTGAACCCTAGAAACCCTACAAACCCTAGAAAATCCCATACACCCTAGAAACCCTGTTATAAACCCTTATAAACCCTACTATAAACCCTATTATAAACCCCATTATAAAACCTATAAACCCTATAAACCCTATAAACCCTATAAACCCTATAAAACCCTATGATAAACCCTATAAAACCCTATAAAACCCTATAAACCCTATAAACCCTAAAAAACCCTAGAAAACCCTATAAAACCCTATAAAACCCTACAAGACCCTCTAAAACCCTATAAAACCCTATAAAACCCTATAAAACCCTATAAAACCCTGTAAAGCCCTATAAAACCCTCTAAAACCCTCTAAAACCCTATAAGACCCTAGAAAACCCTATAAACCCCTATAAGACCCGCAAGCCTGAGCCCCGCCAAGGAGCTCTTTGGGCGAGCTGGGTCCGGCTTGGAGGATGAAGGCAAAGCTTTGGCCCATCCTGGGGCTTGTGAAGTTAGGGCTCTAGGGCTCTAGGGCTTAGGGTTGCAGGGTTGCAGGGCTGGTGCGAGGTCGGTTTAGGGTTTAGGGTTTAGGGTTGCAGGGTTTAGGGTTTAGGGTTTAGGGTTTGGGGTTTGGGGTTTAGGGTTTAGGGTTTAGGGTTCAGGGGCTTAGGGCCTAGGGTTTAGGGTTCACGGCCTAGGGTTTGGGGTGTAGAGGGGTTTAGGGTTTCGGGGCCGTCACAGGCATCTTTGATCTTGGGGTGGAAAGTGCGGCGGAGTTTGGGGTGAATCTGGCCTGGGACTTCTGCCTGCAGGGTTTTAGGGTGCGCAACTTAAGCCACTAGGTTTAGGCTTTAGGGTTGAGGGTTTAGGTTTAGGGCTTAGGGCTTACGGCTTAACACGTTTCAGCAAAGGCTCCGCGAGACGCCGAGCCAACGGAAGTTCGGGATCAGCCATGCAGGAAGCATCCTCCGGGACCCAACATACCCAAAGAGCCCAATATCCCTTAATTAAGGAATATTCCTTAAATCATATTCAGGATCCCTATATAAGTTAAGGAATATTCCCTAATTGAGGGATATTGGGCTCTTTGGGTAGGGCTCGGAATCATTACGAATAGTATTACCCTGATGGTTTCTACAAAGCTTTAGTATCGTGCGGTTTAGGGGTAGGGTTCAGGGTTTAGGGTCTATAGTATCCCTCAAAACAACCCTATTCTATCACGGTCAAGTTAGGCGCCCGGGCCGGGTTCGAGGAGTTTAGAATACGCCGTGGACCTGAAGGGCGGGTAATATAGGGGTCGTAATCGTTACTAATAGTATTCCCTTATGGTCCCTATACGTAGGGGCTGAATGCCCTAGCCCAAAAGAGGGTTAACCTTCTGTACATACTAGGATTCGATATAAGCTAAGGATCCTTTTGGGAAATTTGTTCGGGTTCCTTTTGGCTTATAAGGGCGGCAGAAACAGAGGGCAACTTCGGGGAAAGGTCTTTCGATCAACTCCCACTTCTACACTTACGACTCCGCTGCTGCTCGCTGGAGGAATTGAGCGGACACCGTGCACAGCAAGACCCCGAAAGCATCCACTAAGGTCGCAAGCGGCTTAGCCCGCTCGGTCATCATTCAGAGCCCGTAAGCCTTAAACGACGAGACCCCAAACCAATGCCATCTTCTTCTTCAACCCCAACCCCCTAAACCCTAAACCCTCAACCCTGGGACCCTATTCACTAAGCCGACCCCAAACACCCCCTCCTCACTGGCCGCAGAATATGCAGAATGTCCCCAGCAGCAGGGCAGTCGAGGGCCGAGTGCGGAGACTGGATCACGAGCTCCCTCCTGGGTGGAATCTGGGGGATCAAGGTTGGTTCCCTAAGTACTGCTAGAACCCTAGAACCCTAGGGACCTTCTTCTTCAGAGGGTCTAAATCCCCAAGGGTACCCCTAATCCTATCCCCATGCATAGGGTTCAGGGCTTTTCGCTAGGATGGCCCTTAAAACCATCTGAAAAATATTCCTAAACATGATCCTCTTAACGCCGAAACCACTCTTCACCCCACCGATCCCCCTAAGCCCTAAACCCTAAGCCCTAAACCCGAACCCTAAACCCTAAACCCTAAACCCCAAACCCCAAACCCCAAACCCTAAACCCTAAACCCTAACCCAAGTCTGGTCCCCCTAACCCCCAGAGGCCCAGCGTCAGCGTGCAGATGAGCCCGAAGGGCGTCAGCCGCCCCAACGAGGGCGAGGCGCTTGCCGCCACCTCCTGCGGCTTCTCGGGCTTGCGGTTTAGGGTTTAGGGTTTAGGGTTTAGGGTTTAGGGTTTAGGGTTTAGGGTTTAGGGTTTAGGGTTTAGGGTTTAGGGTTTAGGGTTTAGGGTTTAGGGTTTAGGGTTTAGGGTTTAGGGGGGACTCAGGATTTTGGAGCCTCCTAAAGCCCTGTAAACCCCTCTTTAAACCCTTTGAACCCCTATAAAACCTTTGAAGCCATGTAAACCCTCTTAAACCCTCTAGACCCTACCCAAATCTTCCAAAAACCCTTAATTAAGGAATATACCCTAATTTTTTCTAAGGATCCTCATTGTAATTTAGGGTGTATTCCTTGATGAAGGGGTTTTGGAAGATCTGGGTATAAACCCTATAGACTCATAGACCCTGCTAAACCCTATAAACCCTGTTAAACCCTTTTGAACCCTATGCATATACCACCATGCTCGGCACAGGCATCTGCATGCACCCAACTGCGGAACCCTCAACCCGAAGCCTTCTAGACCCTACTTGGAGGTTCATGGTTTAGGGTTAGGGTTCATGGGCTATGGGTTTAGGGTTTAGGGATTGGGGGTAGGTAGAACTGGGGTTGCAAGTAGGGTCACGAGGCGCTCACCTGGCGATGACCTTGGAACTCGTACAACCCTATCGATAGCAACGTGAAGCAAGACCAGGTCTTTGCAGATAATAAGGGGGGTCGGAATAAGTGCAAATAGTATTCCCTTATGGACCCTTTATCACTACACCATAATAACCCCCAAAACCCCATTCTAATTATTCAGCCCTCAACCCTCAACCCTCAAACCCTCAACCCTCAACCCTACACCCTAAACCGTAAACCCTCAAACCCTCAACCGTCAACCCTAAACCCTAAACCCTAAACCCTTTTCTAATTATTCAAGGGCCCCTATATTGCCCGCGGGGTCCTGGTTGCGGACGTCCGCCTCGAGACACATCTCGTGCAGCTTGCTGTGCAGAAGGACAGGCCGGGAGGTGCTGGACCTCTCGTTTATAGGGTTTAGGGTTTAGGGTTTAGGGTTTAGGGTTTAGGGTTTAGGGTTTAGGGTTTAGGGGCACGCGTGAAGCTGAGCCGTGCGGTTTTTGGGTTTAGGTTGGGGTGTTCTCCCTTTTCCGAACAGTCCTTAATAGGGATTCTAGTACCCCCTACTCGCATCCCGATTAAGGAGCTGTTAGTATAACATCCCCCGAAGGTTTATAGGGTTTTGAGGCTTGAGGGCCTTTTCAGGGCGCGCGTTCGGGATGAGGGCTTGAATACTGCAGGTTCAGGGGTATAAGGAGGGAGCCCCTTCAACTTCTTCCCCTATAAAGCCTCTATATGTACCTTATACAGTCCCCATAAACCCAAGTAGCTCCCTTAAAAACCCCTAATTAACCGCTAAGGTCGGGCTCCGGGTGGCAAAATCTGAAGCTCATGGTGGGCTGGTGCCGCTAAGGGCTCTAGTTGCCTGCTGCCTTTGAAGCTGAATCTTCGGGGATCGGCGTTTAGGGTTTAGGGTTTAGGGTTTAGGGTTTAGGGTTTAGGGTTTAGGGTTTAGGGTTTAGGGTTTAGGGCGGGGCAAGCTGCGTAGTGCTGCCTCTTTTGTTTTAGGATCTTGTAGCTCGCATGCAAGAGTGGCACGAAGCACTTATGAGCCCCAAACGGAGCTCGCACACGATTTCCGCGTTTACGACAGGGCTTGGTGCCCCCTAACCGATACCGGCGGCGCGTTAACGACCCCTTATCGCAGCCTCACTACCCACCACGAGTCCCAGCAGGCACCCCCCGTGTCTAGTGTCTAAACGACATCTTGGTAGTCCCAACTCCGAGCCATTTTTGCGTCCGAGCTAAGTAACCCCAAACGAAGCCCGAAAGCCCCGACTAGGAAACCCTAAACCCCAGAACCCTGAAACCCAAAACACCCTGTTGCATCCAGGCAACACCCTAAGCCCCAAACCCTAAACCCTAAACCCTAAACGCTCAACCCCAAACCCTAGACCCTAAACCCAAAAAACCTAAGCCCTCTGATCTGGCCTCCAGCCAAGGATCCAGACCTCGAGCGTGGCCCACTTCCTCAGGCCAAAACTTTTTTGGGGGGCTTAGGCTTTCGGGTTTAGGGTTTAGGGTTTGGGGTTTAGGGTTTAGGGTTTAGGCTTTCGGGCTTAAGGTTTAGGGTTTGGGGTTTAGGCTTTCGGGCTTAGGGTTTCGGGCTTGGGGTTTTTGAGGCTGGAGCCCCTACAGAAAGGGGGCGGGTCCCTTGTTTGGGCTGGTGGGAGTTTAGGGTTTAGGGATACGGGCCCCCTTTTTGGACATGGGCGGTGCCTACTATCATACAGGGCCATACACTTGGGGTAGTTTTGGGGTTTGGGGCTGGCAGAGTTTGCAGAATAGGGCCGAGGCTTACTGCCTAAATCTAAACCCCTTAGTAGCCCAGCAACCATATCATAATAAGGGCACCCTTCTTTGGGGTTGGTTACTTTAGAAGGGAAACCATAAACAATTTAAAAAAAAGGGGTAAAGGGTGCCACTGGGCTCCCAAGACCCTAATTCCTAAACCCTGATTTCAAATCTATTTTAAAAAAGAAAAAAAGGTAAAGGGTACCACTGGGCTCCCAAGACCCTAATTCCTAAGCCCAAATTTCCTAACCACCCCCTGCGCCAAGTCGCAGCTCCCAGTGGCCTCCCATGCTGGGCTCCGCCTCCGGGTGATCATCGTCTCCTTCACCCCAGGTTGGCCCTTAACTAGGGTTTAGGGTTTAGGGTTTAGGGTTTAGGGTTTAGGGTTTAGGGTTTAGGGTTTAGGGTTTAGGGTTTAGGGTTTAGGGTTGGCTCTTGAAAAGAGCTCCTTAACTTACTAAGCTGTTTCTCCCTACGCTGCGCCGACGGGCTACGAAAATTCCAGTTCTTTCTTAGAGTCCGAGTCAGACCTTCTCAACCCTAAACCCTAAACCCACATAAGAGCAAAGACGTCATCTTCCCAGGGCCCTAATATAGGGGGTCGGAATCCTTACGAATAGCATTGCCTTCTGCCCCCTCTACAAGTGTACTGTAAGAACCCCCCAAAACCGCATTCTAATGACTACGGCCAAGGAAGAATATATGTCTTTTGCTTTTTTTGGGGGGGGGGAGCGGGGGGGGCGGAGGGACCGAGTCCAGGGCAGTTGGCGGCTGAGAAGGGCTCAGGGATTTCGGGCTTCGGTGCTTAGGGTTTGGGGTTTAGGGTTTATATAGGGTCGAGGGTTTGTCTGCTTTTGGGTTTAGGGTTTGGGGTTGAGCTCGAGAGTGACGGGTTTGGGTTTTGGGGGTGGCCCAGGGGTGTCAGGAAAAGCCAGGATTTCAGGCTTTCGGCATTTACAGCCAGCACAGGGGTATCAAATCTGGCCATAGAATTGTTCCACAAGCATATGAGGACATTGGGTTGAAATCATTTCGCAAGTACTCCAGTCCGAAAGCCTCCTACTCAAGGAAGAGTCGTCCGAGATCCAAGATGGCCGATTTCGGGCTTAGGGTTTAGGGTTTAGTCTAGGCACTCTCTCGGGCACTCACGTGAAGTCTAGGGGCTCCAGTTCGGAAGTCCTAGTGCGGTTGCTATGACTATTCTTCGTATGACTCTTGTTACTCTGATTGCTATCATGTGATTTGCTATTATGAATGGTTATAATATGACTCTTGTTTTTTTTGATTTTCATGATTGTTATGATGTTTTGGTCATTCGCCCCCAGCTGCAAGGCAACCGGAATATGAATTACATTGTATTCTACACATATTTGAAAACACAAATGTCTTCATATCATTCTTGTATTTCGACAGATTTACATATTTACTTTGCATTGACATTCATTTTCAGTTATTTATGTTTCTTTCCTCGTTTGTTTATTGATTACGCAGAATATTATGAATGACAGTCTATGATGATCTCTGTCGAACTGACGCTCCGAGACTGCCAAGAAAGTCAAGGGAGACATCCTCCGCCGAAAGCCGTGGACCCTCGACTCTAAACCCTAAACCCTAAACCCTAAACCCTAAACCCTAAACCCTAAACCCTAAACCCCAAACCCCAAACCCTAAACCCTAAACCCTAAACCCTAAACCCTAAACCCTGGCCTGAGAGGTCGTCGTCGGCCTCGGACCTGTCCGAGACGTCGGAGTCCTCTGCGGCGGAGTCCAACTCCTCCAGAGCTCGCCAGACTGTAGTGGTAGGGTTTAGGGTTTAGGGTTTGGGGTTTAGGGTTTAGGGTTTAGGGTTCAGGGTTCAGGGTTCAGTGTGACTTTAGTGGTAGTGCTGATCTAAGGGTGGCTACATGGCCCGTTGGTACTTTACCTTGTTTTTGAAGCTTGCTAAAGTTTTTGGGCCCTTGTTTTTGAAGGGCGTGCAGGGTCCCCCCCATTAAGGGCCCAATGCCACTACCCACTAACCCCTACGAGCCGTGACCATCGGGGTGCTCTAAGCCCTCCCCCTCTTCCCTTTCTTGTCCTTCCTTCCTTCCTTCCCTATATTCCCCTTAGAACCTTAATAAAACTAGTATGTTTAATATCCTCTTGGGTCTTATATAAACAACAAGAAAAAATCATTCCCAAGGGGGATATAGTTCCTTCCTTCCTTCCTTCCGAGAGCACGCCTTGTGGTGAAATGACTGCTCTGCATGGCGGGCCCAAGTTCGCCTCCTGTTGCACCCTAAGCCCTAAACCCTAAACCCTAAGCCCTAAGCCCTAAACCCTAAAACATCCATGATGATCCCCAAGCCCTCCCACAAAGCCTCATCGTGCCCGGGGGGTGAAGGACTGCTCGCAGCAATCGCCTTGCTCAGGGGATGCTACTGGGGAGGAATAAGGGCTGCTTTGCATTGTAGGTAGGGGTTTAGGGTTTAGGGTTTAGGGTTCAGGGTTTAGGGTTTAGTATGCCACTGCAACACCGCAGTCAGGGCGTCAGGGTCTGGAGCCTACGGGCCTGAGGCCACTTATTTCGCGGCCTTCTGTGTTTCTGGGTGCTGCGACGTGCCTTCGCCCAAGGGCATACAGAGGTGCTAACTTACCGGACCGCATCAAAAGTCACAGCCCGCCCTTGCGGAATCGTCAAGGCTCTCTGAGACCCTCAAGCCCTGCAAACCCTGAACCCTAAACCCTAAACGCTAAACCCTACACCCTAAACCCTAAACCCTAAACCATAAACCCTAAACCCTAAACCCTAAACCCTCTCTCTCTCTCTCTCTCTCTCTCTCTCTCTCTCGCTCTCAGGCCTAAAGCCTAAACCCCCAAAACCCTAAACAAGAAACCCCAAAACCCCATGACACCAAGTCCCAGTGGCCGACTCGCTCGGCTTCCAGCCTGTACAGGGAGGGCGGAGAGCCACGCAATGAATTTGGGGGGGGTTTAGGGTTTTAGGGTTTAGGGTTTAGGGTTTAGGGTTTAGGGTTTAGGGTTTTGGCACGCGCTCTCTGCCAGCAGTGCTCAGCGCTCCCTTTGCTTTCCGAGGCCGCGGCACATGTGGCCGAACCCCCAGAGCATGCACACACTCAGGACTTTTCAATGAGGCCCGCTCCCGCAGGAAGCAGTCAGCCCCACTTCAACAAGCCCCGGGCCACAGCCGGAATCCCACTATACTCTACAACACACATAAGACTCCACAATCTTGAATACTGTGCTGGCCATTTGTCAGATAAGAGCTGATCACATACACACACTCGAAAATGCACCGTGTCAGAGGACCAAATGTCAAGCAGCCAACCTTCCAGGATATCCAATGGCCTACTGTCACCCAACGCGGCCTCCCTAAATTGCCACCCTTCCTGCCAGTGGAAAACCAACATTTGCAACTGCTCATCCTGCCAACGACAGAACACCACTCGGCTCCCCGAACATGCTCCCTGAACACAGCGGCGAGACCAAAACATATGCTCAGCATCCGTTCTGCATACATTGTGTCCCTTGACGTGTCCAGCTAGGCCCACCCAAGCAAGCCACTTGGGCACAAACGCATTCCAGCTTCCGCTCGGCATCTCCGCCGCTGCTTCCACATCCAGATACTGCGTCTGCATGAAATTTCTGGCCCTTTTGGATCGCGTCCAATCCCCTCCTGTACGGTACCGCCGCCGCCAGCCCTCCGCCGCCTCGAAATGGGAAGTTTGAAAAGTCAACACCATAGCCAGCTTAGAGACCCGACTCCGGCAAACATGACCCAGAAGAGTCCAATGACGCACTGCCAACAGCTGATCCCAGCCACCTCCCCACACAGCCCCCGACCAAACCTTGGCCACGTGTCTAATTGCCTTGTACTGCTGCGCGTCTTGCCAAGCTGAGGGTTTAGGGTTTAGGGTTTAGGGTTTAGGGTTTAGGGTTTAGGGTTTAGGGTTTGGTTTACAGAGGTGGAGTTCTAAGAAACCAGATGTTAGAGGTACTATTATCTCATTGGTTTCGGTGTCTTGTCACTGCACTTTTGGGACCTAAACCCTAAACCCTAAACCCTAAACCCTAAACCCTAAACCCTAAACCCTAAACCCTAGCACCGCCTCTCGTCGTCTTCGCCAGCTCCTCCCTGAGGCAGGTGAGGATGTCCGGATAGGGCAAATGGATCCTCACAGTCCGCTTGACGGTTGGTTTAGGGTTTAGGGTTAAAAGTTTAAGAATTGAAATTTAGAATTTAAGATTTAGGGTTTAGGTTTCACAGGGTTTAGGGTGGGGGGTGCAGGGCTTAGGGTTAGGGTTTAGGATTTAGGGTTCAGGGTTTAGGGTTTACAGAGCAGAGTCATCCCAAAACCCCAATGCCTCAAACAGTTCCTCAAACCGGAAGCCCTGACGCCTATGCTCTCTTGGTGCAATCCTAAACTCTTGGCTTGCTGAGGGGCTGAAGAGACGACAGCTGCTGCCGCTGGTTCGGCGAGGCCTCGTGTGGGAGTGCAACTTGCTTTGTCTCCGACATCTTGGTAGCTCCTCGTTACCTGAGGGCCCTTGGGCTTTGGGGGCTCAGGTTTAGGTTTAGGGTGACATCCTGGCTTCAGATGCTTGAGATGCTTCGGCATGTCAGAGGCGCAATGAATGCGACTGCTTGGTTTACGCTGAGCTCATGTGGATAGTGCCGACGGTTGCCCATGGCTGCCCGCTGTGTTCGTCTGTTGCTGCAGCCAGCATACAGGTCTCCCAACCCTCAACACAATAGTACAATTTCAAGCTCTTCCATGAATCCCCGAACCCCCATAAAAGGCCCTTTGGCCCCTTGGCCCTGAACCCTCTAAACCTACAAGCCCCTCAGAACCCTCAATCTGCTAGCCCCTTGGACCCTTTGCGCCCCAAACCACAGGGGTTTAGGGTTTAGGGTTTAGGGTTTAGTTTAGGGTTTAGGGTAGCCGGCCTTCAGAGCCAGACGCGCTCCTGGAATCAGCGGGCCCGACCTGGCCACGGCAGGTGCGGCGCAAGAGTTGAGGAAAGGCTCGCGGGTGGGAAAGAAGGTGCTGACACAGAATACCCTACTACATTGATGCTATACTAGCCTAATAATTACTATAATACTATACTACCCTAGTAATTACTGTAATACTAGAAGAATAAATTAACCTACCACGATAATCACACCATACCAGAATGTTAGCTGCCTTGTTGAGAAACCCAATAAGCCCAAAAAGGCTAAGGATCTAAAGGCACATTAAAGCACCACAAAGGGACATCGCTCAGCCGGGCCACTGGTTGAGGACCTTCGTGATCAGCGTGCGGTGCTTGTTGCGGTAACTGGCCTTCATTGAAGGCAAGCTGCGCTTAGGGTTCAGGGGTTCAGGGGTTCAGGGGTTCAGGGGTTCAGGGGTTCAGGGGTTCAAGGGTTCAAGGGTTCAGGGGTTTAGGGGTTTAGGGGTTTAGGGGTTCAGGGGTTCAGGGGTTCAGGGGTTTAGGGGTTTAGGGGTGTAGGGGTGTAGGGGTTTAGGGGTTTAGGGGTTTAGGGGTTTAGGGTTTAGGGGTTAGGGGTTTAGGGGTTTCGGGTCCAGGGTCTAGAGTTTCGGGTTCAGGGGGTTTCGGATGTGGGACATTATGAAGCAGCGTTGAGGGCATCCCTGCATGATGCCATCCTTCAGAGCCCTTTTTACGGCTAGGACTGCTGTACCTCCTTCAGAGCCCTAAACCCTCAGCCCTAAACCCCGAACCCAAAACCCTACACCCCAAACCCCAAACCTCAAACCCTTTTGAACCCGGTCTGAGAGCTCCCCCCCCAAACCCCAAACCCAAAACCCTAAACCCCAAACCCTACTCCCTACCTTCCGCACCAGGTTGAGGTAGATGAAGTTCGGGCGCCGGCCCAGGGAGACGAGGGCTCGATGCGTGGCATAGACCCACCTTGCAAGCCCAGGCTTTCTCAAAAGCGCATCGGTGTATCGGGAGCGGTAAATCGGTGCGCCGGTGTATTTCTGTGTTCCCCCCTCTGCGCCCTGTGAGGTCCCCACGGGCTTCGGGGAGTTCCTGGGGCGGGCACCAGAAGCGGAGCACGACGCTGCGCTCCCCCGCGGAGGCACGCTGCACCTCGGCATGAAGGCAGGAGACAGCTCGTTGGCTTTAGGCCCTTCAGGTGTTGGGCGCGAACTCCCCCCCCTCCATGTTCTGCTGTTGAGACGCTTCGTGGGAAGTGCTCAGAAGTACCCCACACAGCCCCCCCCCCCCCCAAAAAAAAGGCACCGCCATGAATCGCAAGTCGCAAAAGAACCCGTTGCCAAAGCTGCCCTGCTACTGACCTTGCCTAGGATGGGGCCAACCGAACCCCTCTAAACCATCCCTAAAACGCTTTGTTATGCAAACCCTAAGCCCGAATCCCACCCAAAAAGCAGACCCCCTCACACATTCAGTACTGTGGGCCTCGGCCCCCTAACTCCCCAAAGCCGCCAACAGCACAGTGCCCCTGACAAACGTCGTTTTTTGCCGGTTTTTGGGTTCTGGGTCCAACCTTGCAGATCAACCCAAAAAGGGTAGAGGCTCCGTCTTAAGAGTAGGCTGTATGGGCCCACACCAGGAGCCCTTCTATTATACCCCCCGTATACCTACACAACTGAAGGGCCCCTACTTCAGAACCCTTGAAGAATCCAGGAAGGTAAGACATTCAGGGCACCATGCCATCTAACCCTCAGCCCTAAACCCTAAACCCTAAACCTTTTTTGCAACCCCAAACCCGAAACCCTAAACCCTGAACCCTAAACCCGAAACCCCAAACCCTAAACTCCATGGGTCCTCATGCCTACCCCAAGGTCGCCTCTGGGTCGCAGGGCCGCAGGTCCGGATACCACTGGAAGGCCATGTCCCAGGCCCACCAGTTGGACACGCAGCGGCGCACGTATCTCAACACGGAGGGAGGGGGGAAGGAGGGGTTTGGGGTTTGGGGTTCAGGGTTTAGGGTTTAGGGTTCAGGGTTCGCCGGCCCATTCAAAAGCTCAGCAATTTCGGAACCCGCGAGAAAAAGATGGGCCCTAACTATGACTCTCATGTAAAACGAGCTACGTTGGGCCCTTGTACTTCAAGGGGCTTTTGGCCACCAGATCATCCTTCCGTGGGGGTCACCCCCGAGCCCTGAGCCGCATTGTGCACGGAGCGTCACAAGTTGACCCTGCATGGCTACATCCCTCTCTGAGTTGTCCAGTAACCTGGGGGAATTAACGGTTAACCTCTGGGATTATAAGGGGATTATACCAGCCCAAAAAGGTTCAAGGTTACCTACTCTACTACTAGGCTCTTGATTGCAACCGAGCAACATGGGTCAGATCTCTAACAATTTAGCATACACTACTATTTGATTTAAACCCCCAAAAAAGAACATGCTTCCTTGTAAGGGCATGATAGGGCCAGATCCTTTTGTTTTTGGGGGGTTCCTAAGCAAGCAGTAGTACAGAGGAATACCCACTCACGCTCGGATTACTCAGCCATGCCAAAAATAGCCTGCCCCAATCTCCCCTCCCCGCGGGCGCGCCGGAGGCAGCGGAACTGCATGTCGTCGACCATCACGCGGATTGGCCGCACAGAGATCTTCCACCTTGGAAAGTAGGGTTCAAGGTGCCTTGAGACTGCTGTCAGAACGGAAAGTCTTTTTACTGAACACAATAACCCAGGGGAAAAAAAGCCAAACTTTAGTATCCCTACTAAATAAGGAGACCCAAAGAAGTTTCACCGTTCAACTAAAGGCGAAGCAAGGAGGTACCAAGCCCAGGGGCTCCCAGGCATCCGCCTGCGATGAGTCTGAGGCGAAGAGCTGGCTCTCGATGTCCAGGCCGCTGGGCGCCGAGGGCTCGTCCTCGTTACGATCATCGGGGGTTTAGGGTTTAGGGTTTAGGGTTGAGGGTTTAGGGTTTAGGGTTTAGAGTTTAGGGTTTAGGGTTTAGGGTTCAGCGAGGGCCTTGAATTGGGGCCCTTGTCCGCCCCTAGCCTTAGTTGTCCAGTATCCTTGGGGAACTAAAGGTTAACCTTTGGGAGCATAAGGGGATTCTATTACCCAAAAAAGGTTAAAGGTTAACTACTCTACAACTGAGTAGCACATCCGAACAGAAGAATCTTGTGTGAAAAAACGAAGGCCCGTACGAGAACAGGTACCCCACAAACTTGAAACGGCACACGGAGCCCTTTTTTGGCAAGGGGACCCTAATTGCTCCTAAACCCTAAACCCTAAACCCTTTTGACCTGGAAGCTGCTTCATGCCAGGACTGAGGGCCGCGCCAGTCGCTAGTCACCAGAGACCAGCAGACCCGCAAACCGAAGAACACTTTGAGTCCACATGATCGATGGACCAAGTCGACACAAACCCTAAACCCTAAACCCTAAACCCTAAACCCTAAACCCTAAACCCTAAACCCTTAGCCCAAAACAAGGGCCACCCGGGAGTTGAACTCAGCTTTTGGGGGGGGGGCCAAAGCCTCGAAGCCCTAACGCCCCCAAAGAATGGCTCGGGAGCTCCCTAAGGGTGGTCCCTATGGGTTTAGGGTTTAGGGTTTAGGGTTTAGGGTTTAGGGTTTAGGGTTTAGGGTTTAGGGTTTAGGGTTTAGGGCTACAACTTAAGGGCCCCCTTCATCAGAACCCTTTAAAGGAGATTCAGGGACCACAGTAACGGGCCCACGAAACGACCCTCAGAAGCTCCCAACCCCCCCCAACCCCCCCCCCCCAAAAAAAAAAATCCTACGCGGAGCCCGGTCCTTGCGCAAGACCCGGGCCATCCGCTCCCATCGGCTCTCCGTCGAGGGCTTCTTCGCCGGCTCCTGAGACCGGGGGCAGGAAGGGCTGAGGGAGCTTCAAAATATGGGGGGGGGGGGGGCTGGAGCAAGTAAAGGTTTGAGGAAGTCGGGCTTGAGGGGAGTTTAGGACAGTTTTGCCATGCAAAGGTCTTAGGCTGGAGTCTTAGGAAGTAGGGGCTCTCGAGCACAAGACGGCTCGATGGCTTAGGCGGAGGGAGATTGTGGCAAGCAAGATCTGGCAGGTTCCGGGTTCACATTTAAAACTGGTCAGCTTCATCTGACTGCGTGATTGGGGCTTGTGTTGGTGTCTGCTTGCTGCTAGGACCTAGGACTGAATGTAGAAATTGAACGAGCCCTCCTGCTCTTGGGTTCCAGCAGCCTATAGGTTGAACCAACGCCCAAAACGCAGACCCGGACCCGGAGGCTCTCTTGCCACCCGTGCGAGGGCTGCCCTCCGCGGGGCTACGCTTTAGGGCTCCGGATTGCAAAACCCTTTTTGACAACTTTATCCCCTTAAGCGCAGCACCCACAAGCTAAGACCTTAAAGCACTTGTTGCATCCGACCAGAAAACCCTAAAACCACTCCCCCCCCCCAAAAAAAAAAAAATAAATGAAAAAGTCAGGCCCTAAACCCCCTCGTGAAAACTCTAAGCCGCCTCGACCGGTTGCGAGGGGTCTGCAGCGCTGCCACGGATGACCACCTGCTGAACCTCGGGGGTTCGTGGGGCCAAACCCTATAAGCCCTAAACCCTCAACCCTAAACCCTAAACCTTAAACCCTAAACCCTAAACCCTAGACCCATTCTGATTGAGACGGGTTGAGATCTTCGCCCGGCGAGGCTCTGTGAGGATGTTGTGCCGCTCTGGGAAGCGCTCGATGCGCTTCAGCAGTGCAAGCGGGTCTGGAGGATTGCGGTCCTCCGAAGCTTGGCTGCACTTAGGAGGGTAGCAAAAAAATTTAGCTGCCTTGTTAAGAAACCCAATAAACCCAACGAAGGCTGAGGATCTAAAGTTGCAGTAAAGCACCACAAAGGAACCAGCAGCTTCGGCTGCGGGGTTTAGGGCTTCGACGTGGTACACTTCTAGGGCTTTCGCGGCTTTGCCACCTGCCTAGCAGCCTCGCAACCCGCGCTGCAGGAATGCGAAATGTCCATCGTCAGCGATACAAGTGTGGCAAAGCGAGAAACGACTAATTCGACCAGCGCTGGGTCGAGGTACAGGCATGACGATATCGACCACCAGTAGCAACCTCATGGTCCCAGAGTTCGGCTGTGGAAAGCAAGGCGCAACTTGCTGGGTTTAGGGTTTAGGGGTTGGGGGTTTAGGGGTTTAGGGGTTTAGGGGTTTAGGGGTTTAGGGGTTTAGGGGTTTAGGGGTTTAGGGGTTTAGGGGTTTAGGGGTTTAGGGGTTTAGGGGTTTAGGGGTTTAGGGGTTTAGGGGTTTTTAGGGGTTTAGGGGTTTAGGGGTTTAGGGGTTTAGGGGTTTAGGGGTTTAGGGGTTTAGGGGTTTAGGGGTTTAGGCGTTTAGGGGTTTAGGGGTTTAGGGGTTTAGGGGTTTAGGGGTTTAGGGGTTTAGGGGTTTAGGGGTTTAGGGGTTTAGGGGTTTAGGGGTTTAGGGGTTTAGGGGTTTAGGGGTTAGGGTTAGGGTTTAGGTCCGATTGTGCCGCAGACGCACGTCACGAATCACGAGTCAAACCTCCAAGACCCTAACCCGTTGGGGCCCCTGTCCTCCATGTTCGCGAAGGCCCAGTAGCGCCAGCGCTCTGAACAGTTCAGCCGGACCATCTTCTTGACGGTCCGATTGGGCCGCCAGTTTGACATGGACGACCGTCTCAGCCTTAGCGTTCCAAAGGACGGGGTGGCCCTGCTTCTTGAAGATATCAAGGCCCTGGAGGCCCACACACCCCAAAGCCTGACGAGGAATCTCCCTTCTTGTAAGGCAAACCCTAAACCCTAAACCCTTTTGCAACAGGGCAACCCTAAACCCTAAACCCTAAACCCTAAACCCTAAACCCTAAAACCTAAACCGCAATTTGAGGAGATCTAGAACCAGCAACTCGAAGGTTCCTTCAACGGATGAAATAGGCCCCTAATCCGTAAACCCTGAAGCCTTCATAGAGGGGCCTTAAATTCTTGGCTACACTTAGGAGGGAAGTGAAATATTATTAAACTTTTCGCTGCCTTATTAAGAAGCCCAACAAACCCAAACAGGCGAAGGATCTAAAGACACAGTAGAGCACCACAAAGAATCATCAGAAGAGGGTTTTGGGGGTCATCAGGGTATATGTATATAGGGACCCTAAGGGGGTATGGTTAGTCATTATTCCGACCCCCCTACTAAAGCCCTAAACCGATGTCAATGTCAGGGAAGTCTCGTGTCCGCCGCGGCGAAGGGCTCGGCATAGACGGACCACCGCGACATCTGTGCGCTGAAGTGCCTGCCCTGGTGCCGGTGCAGCTTCACAGTGTCCACCTGGGCCCCGCAGTGCTTAAAGGATGCAACGTAGTTTCTTGGGGGTAGTCTTTTGGGTAGTTCTTACGGGTAGTTGTCGGGTGGTTTTTGGGTGTAGTTCTAAGGTTCTGCCCCCAAAAGAGACCAGACTCCTTTCAACTTACAGGAACTCACAGAAAGGGTAGCCCTAGACCCTAAACCCTAAACCCTAAACCCTAAACCCTAAACCCCTGGTGGCTTCCACTGCTGGCGATCCTGCCTTCATCCCCAGCGTAAGGCAGCCATGGCCCAGCAGGCCCTCGTGATCCTCAAACTGCAGCATGACGTTGTTGACGTTCATGTCCTGGGTTACCCTAGGGTTTAGGGTTTAGGGTTTAGGGTTTAGGGTTTAGGGTTTAGGGTTTAGGGTTTAGGGTTTAGGGTTTAGGGTTTTTTTTGCCACCCGTCTAGCAATGCTCCACGGGGCAACTGAAGAGGGAATACTGTGTACAAACTCCAGAGCCCAAGTTGACGAAATTTCTAGGTTCCACACCAACCCTAGCTTCCAGCCAGGATTCACCAACGGAGAAGGTTTAGGGTTTAGGGTTTAGGGTTTAGGGTTTAGGGTTTAGGGTTTAGGGTTTAGGGTTTAGGGTTTAGGGTTTAGGGTTTAGGGTTTAGGGTTTAGGGCTAGTTGTCCAGTAACCTGGGGGAATTAAAGGTTAACCTTTGGGATTATAAGGGGATTATAGTACCCCTAAAAAGGTTAAAGGTTACCTACTCAACTAATACGCGAAAAGGATGCATGTGCATCTGTCGTCTATGCTTGGGCCTTAAGCAGGTTCCCTTTTCAGGAGCTTTTAGGCCCAAGTATATACTCTAGAGGTGCATGGGGTCCTTAGGGTTCGTGTTGAAGGGAGGTTTCGCCCCTGTCGCAAACAGAGGCTTCTAGTCTGTTCGGGCTTCAGCTCTTGAGGGAAGTCAGGGTGGGAAGTCGGAGAAGTCAGGATGAGGGTCCGCTTTGGGGAGGGTCGGACAGGAACCTAACTCGCATTCATCCTACATCCGCGCCTGTTGGAATGGGAAGTTTGGGCAGGTCGCGCAAAGCTCCTAAACGAGAACATGCTACATGCATCAGACGATTGTCATTCTGGCAGAGGCTTTGTGATACGTTACTTTCAGGCGCAAGCAAAGCCGTCGACCTCCCTTCACGGGACAGAAAACGCCCAAAGGCCGAGTGTCCACATGGCGCACCGAGCTGTCTTGCAACGCCATCCGCAAGCGGCGGAAGCCCTGGGCCACTGCAGTTCCCACCTTGTACCGGGCGCCTCGGTGGTTTGGGGTTTAGGGTTTAGGGTTTAGGGTTTAGGGTTTAGGGTTTAGGGTTTAGGGTTTAGGGTTTAGGGGTCAGGGTTTAGGGTTTAGGGCTTCGGGTTTAGGGCTTCGGGTTTAGGGTTCCGACTCTCACACTAGCAAGCACTTCGGTGGGAGGGTAGGGTTTTCGGGGATTGTAGGTCACTTAGAGCTTAGAGCGGTCTAACCCCAGGCATATTCCCCTTAAACAAGGGGCCAAGCTTGGGCGTATCTTGTTTCACCAACTTCGGGTTTGAGATGGGTTTTGATTTTGCCACCTGCGCTGCTGCTACTGCAGAGGGCTCAGGGTTTATGGGGTCTCCGACTCCATGGCGCGCCTTTGATGAGGTTCTGGCCCATCTGGCGCAAGGTCTTCTTGGGCCTGCCGAGGAGAGGGGGAGGCGGGGAGAAACCCTAAACCCTAAACCCTACACCCCAAAGCTTCCTAAGCAGCCCGAGATCCTACTAAGCCTCGGCGAAAATTCTTTGTACCATCTTTGAGGTAAACCCTGAACCCCTGACCCCTAAAGCCCCCCCCACCCCCCAACCCCCAAACCCTAAACCCCAACCCTCTCGCCCTAAGCCCTAAGCCTAAACCCTAAACCCTTTTTGCCCTAAACCCTAACCGCCCCCCCCCCCGGCGGCCTCGAGCCAATGGAGTCTTGAGATAAGGTCGCCGGGTCTTGGGTGGGAAAAGGCACCGTGAGTCGCTGACAGATGAGGTCCACCACTCTGCTCCTTAGGGACACTTTTATTTTTTGGGGGGAGGGGAGTTTAGGGTTTAGGGTTTAGAGTTTAGGGTTTAGGGTAAGTTTAGAGAGTTAGAGAGTGAGGGTGGGATCCCTAAAATGGCGGTAGCCTTTGTGGCTGCCATAATGTAGGATTGGCTTCGTGCAAATTTTGCAGGTTAGGGTTTAGAGTTTGAACCCTCAAGCGTAAGCTACCTGCCCTGACCCGGCTGTGGGATTCTTATAAGTGCATTGATGGCCCTTCACCCTAAACTCAGAAAGTACCCAAGTTTCTTGGCCGCCGCCACTCTGTCGTACCTTGGCAGCTAGACAATGAGGTACAGTCTTGAAACTGCTGTGTCCTGAAACTCAACATACCCTTCACCTCCCCTTGATTTGGCATTTCCCGTCTAGCCGACTCACAGTCGCACTGCAGGGAGACAACAGACCACGTTACTCCGAAAGGGACGCTGCTCCATCCAGCTCAAACTGTGGAACCAGGTGGCTACCGGCCAAGTCTCACACAAGAGGAAAGGGCAAAGGTGATTAAAACGTTACGGTCGCTACCTCCCACTAAACCCACAAGATTACTCGGCAGGCTGGGTAAAGCTGGAAACACAAAAGCAAAATCCCCGCGCGCCGCTACTTCCATTTTAGACACACCCTAAACTCATAAACACCCACACTCATACCTCATAACCAAATGACCCCAATCCGATGGGTTGTTAGGGGTGAGGGTTCAGCTACCCGTTTGACGCTAACCGCCTTGCATATCCGAAACCGCAAGCTCAACTGTGCTATATAGAACCAGTTCGTTAGAGTTCTGAATTATGCGGGCAACGAAAGTCAAACATCATTTTCCGATAGCCACTACACATCGTAGACCCTTTTTTGCAGCAGGTCTCATTGAAAACCCGAAACCCTAAACCTGAGAAATCCTAAAGCCCAACCCCTGAACCCTACAACGCAAGCCCTGCACCCAGAAACTCCTCGTACTAAGACCGCAGAAGGCCCTGAACCCGAAACCCTAAACCCTAAACCGTAAACCCTAAACCCTAAACCCTAAACCCTAAACCCCAGCAACACGCGAACTCCGGGGTACTGCCAGTAGCCGCCCGGCTCCCCTTCCCCGGCTTCAGCAAGGCCAGGCCCGGGCCCCAGGAGCCTTTTAGGGTTTAGGGTTTAGGGTTTTTTTTGCCACCCGCCTAGCAGACCCCAATGGGATCACGGGTTTAGGGTTTAGGGTTTAGGGTTTAGGGTTTAGGGTTTAGGGGTTAGGGGTTTGGGGTTTAGGAGCCTTTGTGCAGGTTGGGCCTTTTGTTTGCCACCCTCCTGGCTGATGGTAACATCGCACTGCTGGGACATCACGCATCGTTCATTGGGGAAAGTTAGGGGTTCTGCGCAAGCACTGCGACATCCTTGTCTGTCCCGGGCCTTCGTTCGCCGTTCATCGGGGGACGGCTACCCAAACAAGACAAACTAGACAAAGGTATAAAGACTCAGGGTTTAGGGCTTAGGATTTTGGAGTTGAGAGTTTCGGGTTTAGGGCTTCGGGGGTGCTTAGGCTTTAGGACGACTTCCTGGAAGTGGCCTTGGAGGCTTCAAGAAAGCGAGGGGCCTTCAGGTGCAATCAGGGTTCAGGAGGGTTTAGGGTTTAGGGTTTAGGGTTCAGGGTTTAGGGTTTCGGGGGCTCAGCGTGAGGGGTTCGAGGTTGAGCGGGTAGAGGACACAAAGGCTGCATCACCGACTGAAGCATTGGAATGCTGAAGTTGAACATCAAAACCCAAGGGACCAAAAACCCCTGGACCCAAAACCCGAAGCCACCCCTACACCCCTCCCTCTCTCTCTCTCTCTCTCTCTCTCTCTCTCTCTCTCTCTCTCTCTCTCTCTCTCTCAGGCACTCGAAACACCCCTACACCCCTAAACCACTGAAAGCAGTGCTTTCCCTAGCCCCCCCAACTCGAAACGCCCAAACCCTCAGTCGCCCCCTAAGCCCAGGGGCAGCAGCATGTTCTTGATGCGGATCCTAGGCTGAACTTGGAACCCTAGCAAGAAGTACAATTTTAGCTGTTTCTTGGGAATTCTAGTACCAAAAATCTTATTCTTTAAAAGAGAGAGAGAGAGAGAGACGGAGAGAGAGAGAGACTATACGATACCCAAACATGTTATTTCGAGCTGCTTCTTAGGAATTATAGTGCCCCAAAAAAAGCTGTACCCCAAGTATTCTCCAAGGATCTTGGTCCGGCCCCGCACCCGGGGGGCGAAGGCGATGGGCCGCCCCAGCTCCTTGGTGGTGTCGGCGCTGAAGAAGTCCACGAAGAGGTCCTCTTTCTACCGGTGGCTTAAGAACCCGGGGTTCTTTTTGCAGCCTGCCTGGCAGCCTCACAGCACTTTTTTTTTTTTTTGGGGGGGGGGGGGGGGGGGGGAGGAGGGTCTAGGGTCCAGGGCTACTCGGCGCTGTCAGCACTGCGGGGCCAGAGAGCCCAGACTCCTTAATTCAGGAATTATGCCTTAAATGATAGAGGGATCCTGAATATGATGTAAGGAATATTCCTTAGTTAAGGGGTATTGGGCTCTTCGGGGGGCAAGAACGACTGAATCCAAGAACCGCTCCTCGATGAGGCCGCCCATGACCGTGACGGGAAGATGCATCTGTTCGAAGGCCTCTCTCTTCCTTACTTCTCCAATAACCCAGGGGGAACAAAAGGTTAAACCTTAATATTCCTACGAAATAAGGTATTCCTACTAAATAAGATTTTCCTACTAAATAAGATATTCCTACCAAATAAGGAAACCCAAAAAGTTTGAAGTTCTGCTCAAGGCGAAGTAAGCTTCAGGCTGGCCTTCTGGATGTGGATCCTGGGATGGCAGGGCGTTGGCTTGCGGGTTTCCGAGACATGTGGGTTCCTGCGGGACTTCGAGGGCGTACACGGGAATCAGGGTTCAGGCCTTGGGGGGGGGGGGGGGGGGGGGGGGGGTTAGAGCTTTAGCTCTAAGACCCCGAGATGCAAAACTCCCCCTTCCCCCCCCCCCCCTCTAAACCCTAAACCCTAAACCCTAAACCTCAAGCCAGGGATCATGGAGCCGGGCAGGTCGACCTTAACGTTGTTCGGCGGAACCTCCACCATGGTGCCGAACTTGGCCATGAAGATCTGCACAGCCTTGGCCACAGGGCAGAAGGTGGTGGCTGCGTTGCGTGTAGGCGCTTGTGCGCAGTTAGATACATGTACCAATAGCTGTAGGGGATAGGATTAGGGGGACCCTTGGGGACATAGACCCTCTGAGTAAGGTCCCTGTTGAAGAGAGCCAAAAGAGGGTTAAGAAGGGTCCCCTTTTAAGGGTCCCCCTTGTCCTACCTAGGAGTTAGTTCAGGGCCTTTTGTTGCAGCAGGACTCGGGCAGCATGCCCGACATGCCTGCATGACAACTTTTCATCATATTCACCACCGCGTTCACAACGAAACTGCTGTAAGTGATTGGAAGCACGGGTGAATGAGTGAATGCGTGAACGGACGCATACGACATGCATGAACGAATCAAAGAACCAACCAAACAGCGTACAAATGCACACACATGTATGCATACAGACGCCATGTGTAAATGTGTGCAAATGTACTAGTGTAACACGACGGAGTGCATAGGACGGGAGTGGTTGCCCGAGATGCTGGAGCCATGCAACGTCTTGGCAGTATTTTTGGCAACGCTGGCCGGGTCAAGGCAGTGTGATTACGCAAGTGCGTGCGTCTGCGCAAGTGCATATATATAGATACATACCTACATACATATGCACACGCAGACATACATATGTATGTACATACGTATGTACATACATACATACATGCATGCATACATACATACATGCGTATAATAAGCATGTGCTTGTGTACATATGTTGTCAACTCCACATGCGTAGCAGGGGCTGTAGTGTACGAGTCGGGGGTTTATGACCCTGGCCAAATGGAGACGACCCTGCACCGCCGCCTTGGCATTCATCACGCTGTCAGCATCGAAATCGCTGGCGGAGACCTGCGCTAGTTGGACGTCCGGTCGTCGGATGGAACGTGTGTCTGGAGATGGGAAGGGGGAGTGCATCTACCCCACTTCCAGCTCCAACTGGAGTTGGGCACTTCCAGTGTTCCACTTAAGAGGTTGGCTCCTTCAAAAACGCCCCCCCCCCCCCCCCCCCCCCCCCCCCCCCCCTTAACCCTAAACCCTAAACCCCTCTTCAGAGCCTTCAGCTGGATGCCCAGCAGCCGAATGCAGCGGTGGAGCAGCAGCAGGACCGCGGTGGCGGCTGCCACAGCGGTGGCCTCGGCCTTCGAAGAGGCCAAGTACTGCGTGTACCTTCGCTTTGGAGTAGACCCTGGAAAAAAGAGTATATACATTTTAGGTAGAAGTATAGCTATAATAGGATATACTTTCTAGGTATAAGTAGCTATAATAGGATATACTTTTTAGGAAACCAGAACTTAAAAAAAAAAAACATTAAAGTAGAGTACTCCAAGGCCCAGGTGCCAGGAGGCGTAGAAGAGGCACCAGGTGCCCGCGGCGAGCACGCAGAACTCCAGCTTGTTGAAGAGAGGCCGGAAGAAGATCTCCCCGCCCTGCGCCTTCGTCCGTATCAGGAACTCGCAGCCGAAGGCGATGACGAGCACGTAGCCCAGGACCTTATTTCTCCAGGTTCTCCAATAACTAAGGGGGGAAAGAAGCTTAAACTTTACCATTCTTAATAAGGAGACCCAAAAAGGCTTAAAGTTCAACTATTGGCTGAGCAAGGGACTTGCGAGGTGCGCACGAAGTCGAAGAACCTGGGTCTTGGAGTACCATACTTTAATGCTTTTTTTTGGTTCTGGGTTCCTATGAGAGCTACTTATGCCTAAAAAGTATATACCCTAAACCCTAAACCCTAAACCCTAAACCCTAAACCCTCTACTCCAAAGCTAAGGAACTCGGCCCCGCAGTACAGCAGCGAGGCGAGCAGAAAAAGCAGCTGCGGCAACTTCCTGTCGACCATGCGCCTTACTTGGCTCTCATGGACTCGGCACCAGGGGTGTAGGGTTTAGGGTTTAGGGTGTAGGGGTTAGAGTTTAGGATTTAGGGTTTAGGGTTTAGGGTTTGGGGTTTAGGGTTTGGGGTTTAGGGTTCAGGGTTTCGGGCCCAAAGCAGCCTTTGTAAGAGGAACGGGTCAAGAAAACAACATGCTGCGTCTTCTCGAAGCGCCCTGCCCCTTAAAGCTTTTTCACCCTAAGCAGTAAGGCCCTGTCGCCCTCGGTAACGGGACACCCAAACACACCCTAAACCCAAAAACACACCCCAGGCAAAGGGACTGGATCCTCACCACGAGCCGAGCGCGATGCTCCTTCAACCTGGGGAGGGGGAAGCCCAAAGATTTTAGGGTTCAGGGTTTAGGACTTAGGGTGTAGGGTTTAGGGTTCAGGGTTTGTTTTTGGGGGGACGGCTAGGGTTTAAGGAGTGTTGCGGGTTTTGTATTTGCCTGCTAATCCAAAATTAGGGGTGCCTTATTGGGGTCCATCATGAGGGAACCCTACTATTCGGGGTCCATAGTAGAGTCCCTTGTTTTCGCAAACCCCCATTTGGGGGGTGGTGAGGGCTTCTGATCACCGAGGAGGGGATCACAGACCCCGCATATGATTATACTTATTAAATCTAAAAACACTTACCATATTTATTATAATAAAAATATAAAGAAATTCAATATTCTACCATATTTGGTGAACGTTGTTCAGGCACTGCCTCCCCCGAATTCCAAAACGCCAGCCTGTGCAGGTACTCGTCCATCCAGAGCTTGTTCTTCTTGGCACGGAGTCGTCTGAAAGGGGGCTGATCAATGCGTCACAAGGGCTTGGGGCTTCGGGTTTGTAAGGGGTTTAGGGTTTAGGGCTTAGGGTTTAGGGTTTAGGGTTTAGGGTTAGGTTCAGGTTTAGGTTTAGGTTTTTTCGTTTAATAGGGTTTCGGGCTCAATGCATCACAAGAAGGGTGTACTGAGGAGGGAGAGCCCACTTCAAACGACCGCCAAGTGTAGAAGCCTGAAAGTTCGGGTTTGGTGGGCTTTTGTGGAGTTGGGAGGTTTGGGGGGTCCTCTTAAAAATTTGGGGTCCCAGGCCTTTGCTGTAGGGTCTGCTGCACGGACACACAATGGAGGTCTCCCCAGGTTCGCAGCGCGCGATAGCCGCAGAGGATGAGGACGGTGGCCTTGTCCTGATCTGACACCGAAGGCGGTATGCTGTCCCACTCCGGCGTCCTGGGTCGCGAAGCCCTAAACCCAAAAACTAACCTAAACACTAAACCCAGTAAGGAGGGGGGGTGGACTGGGGGTTTGGCAGCTCTGTGAGGGTCAACGAACCAGTAGAAGTGGTACTCTCCTGGGAACGCCGTTTAAAAGAGATAAGTGTTATGATGCTCGGCTCGCAAGAAGAAACTTACAGACAAACAGACTTTCGGAAAACGAGGTGGTTTACTAACGGGCGCAGAGAAACAAAGCAGCCCTGAGCAGGTAGATGCTCATAATCCCACGGTAGGCCATGGCCACGAGGACCAATGCCTCTAGCTGGTGGTACCTTGCGATCCCGATTTTGGGGGACTGGGGTGAGCAAAAGAGCCCTTCTGGGCATGAATCCCTAAACCCTAAACCCTAAACCCTAAACCCTAAACCCGGGTTTAGGGGGAAGGAATGAGAAAGAAGTGACCTGAAAGTGGACTCAAGGAGTTCGCAAGGTGCAGGGGGATCATCATCTTCCGCCAAGATCGCCACCTGGCTCGGCTAGATGCCAGGCTGCGGCCCGACTTCATAGACATTGGGGTTTAGGGTTAGGGTTTATATGGTTTAGGGTTGAGGGTTAGGGTGTTTATGGTTTAGTCGCTCGCTTTTATATGGTTTAGGATTAAGGCTTAAATGGTTTAGGGTTTAGAGTGTATCTGGTTTAGGGTTTAGACGGTTTAGGGTTTAGACGGTTTAGGGGTTACACGTGATTTTTGGCACTTTGCGCACCTCCATAGGGGCCCACCCTGGGCTGCCACGCGCACCCCGACCTCGATGATGGTCATGGTTGCCAGGGGCACGCCCGTTGCCCAAACCTGATTTCTACGGGTAGTTGCACGGTCTCTGAGTATGGGCCCTGAAAAGGGTACCCCCCCCCCCCCCCCTTGTATACTCTTGCGGGCCCGTACATCAGAACCCATATAAAGGAGGTAAGGGACCATATTGAGGGACCATGAAACTACCCGCAAATGAACTGCTCTGAAGGCTTGCAGGGCCTATCAGGGCCCTCCTCCGGCTTGGGATGTTTCGGGCGTTCGAGCTTTTGCACAAGATCCACAATCACAACTAGCGAAAGCCCACAGGAGCAAAGCAAAGGGCCCCTCCTCTGAAGTAGGGTATCTTTTTGGGGTACCCCAAAGAAGAGGGTGCGCCGTAGAAACAGTAATCCCAAGAGGGAACCCTGATTTGTTTCCGAGAAGAGGTGTACCCTTTTTGGGGGGTCCCTTCAAGGGGATTCTTCTACTTGGGGCGTTAGAGGGGGTACTCCGTATTTCGGGACATACCCCATATGGCCCATATGAAGGCCCCGAGCAAGAGGCCCAGAGCACGAAGTTCATCAGCTCCCGGAACATCCCGGGCCCCAGCATGTACCTATGCCGATCTTGGAACCCTAGCAAAAATCATCACATTTTAGCTGCTTCTTAGGAATTCTAGTACCCTAACCCTAAACCCTAGACCCTAACCTAAACCCTAAACCCTAAACCCTAAGCCCTAAGCCCTAAACCCTAAACCCTAAACCCTAAACCCCCAAAAATCCCCAAGGTACACCGCGCAGTGGGCGATGGTGAGGACCCAGAAGAGTACTGCGGCCGCCTTCGAGGAGATGCAGCGCTGGAGCTTCCAGCATCCGTTCTTCGGCTGCTGGAGACTCCTATACTTTAGGGTTTAGGGTTTAGGGTTTAGGGTTTAGGGCTTAGGGCTTAGGGCTTAGGGTTTCGGGCTTAGGGTTTAGGTTTTAGGGTTTAGGGTTTAGGGTTTAGGGCTTAGGGCTTAGGGTTTAGGGTTTAGGGTTTATAGGGTTTAGGGTTTAGGGTTTAGGGTTTGCTCCTTTTGTGATGAAACTTGGAACCCTGGGAAAACATTTATAATTTCAGCTGTTTCTTCGGAATTATACTACCCAAGAATCCAAGAATTCAAACTTCAGCTGTTTTCTTAGGAATTGTAGTACCCAAAGATTGACAAAAACAAAATGTTCCCAAGTATTCCGAAGGCTCAACGCCGACTGCGTGCTAACGCGGTTGTTTCTCAAGGTCATGGGCGCCTCAGGACCTGCAGGCAAAGTCGCCTCCAGTCTCCGCCAGAGCCACCAGCATCGGCTGCTACCGCAGAGGGAGCTGCCATGAATTCGCGAGCCGCCGCATGTGGAGGTGTGCACAGTTGGGGATGTTGGGTGTGGGGGGGGCCTGGTGGGGTGTGAGGTTTTTGGGGCTAGTGAGGGCATCGTGGCATAGGGCACCTTGCACCCGGTCTTGGCTCAAAACAAGGTTTGACCAATTCTTTCTGAGAGTAATCTGCATGAATCAACACCTGACCCGAACTTTTATTACTTGTACTACTAATGTTGCTAGTATTACAATGATTCGGGCAGGCGTCTGCTCACATCTATTGCCCTTGCATATCATTCGGCTGCCCTCCTGCATCCATTGATGGGCCGCAGATCGCAAAGAAGGCCGGTGTGCACATGGCAAGTTCAGCTGGATTGGGACAACCACTAAGCCTGAATCAACCTTCAACGTCGGTGATCAAATAGTTATTCGGATCGGCAAAACACTAAACTCTAACAGCAGCAGCATTCATTCCCCTACATTTCGCGGCTATTTGCCCAAGAAATTACCGAGTTGTTTCTGCGAAGTGTGGCTGAATTCCTGGAGGCTCCCCTGCAAGGCAACACCATTGTTCGCTTTGGTGCTTGTTTGTTCCGGGTTTGGGGTGATAGAAAGGTGGAAACCACAGCAGGCAATGTCGCCACCTCCTTACATTCCCGAAAATCAAGTGCACCCAAACCCAGAAACAGTCGCACCCTTTACTCTAAGCCCAAAATCCCAGAACATGGCTGCAACTCCTCAAGTCAAAAGTGGGCTTAGTTAGGGTTAAGACTTCTGGGTCAGCACTCGACAGGCAAGGGAATGTGTCAAGATGGTCTCTTTCAAGCATGCTGACCCATCAGGACATCAATGAAAGCAGGCAGGATTTCTGGGGTTGGGTCCCTCACGCACAGTGACTCGGGCCTTGTCAGCATTGCCCGGAGATAGGACATCACTTCCTTTCCTGAGTGGACAGGATATACCGAAGTCCATACCCACGAAGAAACAAAGAGCGCTGTTTCAATCAATGTGGCTGCAGGAGGACTGCTCCAAGCAGAAGACAAGCCACTGAGCCCCTAAGACATCAACTCTCTAACTCTAATTCAAAATTCTGGATGCCTTGGAAACCTCAGTTTGGTTCTGGTTTTAGGGCTCGCTTGGGGCGTTGCTCCTATAAGGAGGCTCGGTACTTTGCTTCACTGGATTTGTTGCTGTCTCTTGGAAGGGCAAGACTGGCTCCAGCATGCGGGCGGGGAGGTCTCCATAGCATGCTTCCCCAGTGTTTCGGCTGCTGTATTGGATCCTGGGCTTACACCCTGAACCCTAAACCCTAAACCCTAAACCCTGAACCCCTAAACCCATATGGGGGCAGTGACCGACTGACAGGACTTGCACATGGTGGCACTTTTGTCGAAGCCAGGAGCTCCAGCTAGGGTTTAGGGTTTAGGGTTTAGGGTTTAGGGTTTAGGGTTTAGGGTTTAGGGTTTAGGGTTTAGGGTTTAGGGTTTCGGGTTTAGGGTTTAGGGTTTAGGGTCTAGGGTTTAGGGTTTAGGGTTTAGGGTTTAGGGAGAGGGGTGCGTCTCTCTCCGTGGGCAATTTGACGCTGGCTGTTCTCTCGCACGTGTATGGCACGATGGAGGGGGGGTTACAGCTGTCACTACAATGATTCTGCCTGAGGGAATTCCTCTCTTCTGCGGACCTTGCTGCAACTACACTGAAACTCCTTGTTTGCCGGTGGTCCGAGTGTTCCCCTAAACACTAATCCCTCAACCCTCAACCCTCAACCCTAAACCCTCAACCCTAAACCCTACACCCAAACGAAACTCCGATGCCAGGCGTCTCTCCTCCTGGGCGGCCTTTCCAAGATTCTTACCTGAGGCTTCGTGGGAACTTGCCCGAGGTTCTGGCGCGCCCCTTTGTCCGAACTTTCTTGAAAGGCTACTTGGGTCTGTAGCGTATCGGGTTTTAAAAAAAAAGTTGGTAGAACTAAGGGTACTGTCTAGTTAAGAGCCTCTCCTTGCAATCCTTTGCTCAGTCATAAGAGTTGCGGGCCAAACGCCGAAACCGCACCCCCCCCCCCCCCAAAACCCTTCAGGAAGAATGTCGGGAAGGGCGCAGTACTCCACGAGGACGTCGCGAACCTCGCTGAGCTTGACGCCCTTGGCATCCATCAGCTTCCCGATCCTGGCTTTCTGGGCGGTTTAGGGTTTAGGGTTTAGGGTTTAGGGTTTAGGGTTTAGGGTTTAGGGTTTATGCACCCGCAAGAAGCCCACCCAGCTACTGAACCCGGTTCGGCCCAGCCGATGCTTCTCTGCTACCAAATCTCGGGAAGGCTTAGGAGGGTCTCGGGTCGAGTTCGGGTACCCGAAACCCTAAACCCTAAACCCTAAATAAGCACTCGGAGAAAAAGGGCCCGACTTGTGGTCCGACTTGTGCCGAGCGGCTCCTCGCTGGCCTGTCGATTTCCCATGTTTACCTCAAGCGTGCTTGGAGGTTGTTTAGGGTTTAGGGTTTAGGGTTCAGGGTTTAGAGTTTAGGGTTTAGGGTTTAGGGTTCAGGGTTTAGGGGTACTTCTTAACGAATTTTAACTGTACTTATGACCCACTCATAAGCACCTTAAGTGCCCTAAGATGATTGCAAGTACAGCTATAAGTACAGCTATCATTGACTAATACGTACCCTGAACCTCCAAGTGAGGGACGTTGGTGGCTTCGGGCGTTGAGCGGGCTAGGAATCGGAACGCCAGCATCAGCTGGCATCGCATGGACAAGAGAGCCCCTAACAACCTCAGCAAGACCGCCCCCTAAACCCTAAACCCTAAACCCTAAACCCTCAAAAAACCGGCGCCAAAGCTCCAGTCGAACCAGGATGAGGTCGACCTGGCACCAGGAGGCCCAGCTTTGGGGGGCCGGTATAAGGGGGTATGAAGGGGGATATAGGAGGATAGAAGTGGGGGTATAAGGTGCTTCAACCCCCGCCACAAGAAGAGAAGAATGGGCTTCGTGCTGCTTTGACATGTCAGGCTTCCAAGTTGCGGGGTTTTCTCCGACGCATGATATCCCGTGTGAAATCGCCACACCAGATGGCTTGCTGGAAGACCAAGACCAAAGCAACGTGTGTTAGAAATTGCTGCGTGCTACCGATATGCTGGAAACGAAATCTGCGAATGATGGGGCTTTGGCATAGGTATGAGAACATGGCCACTGTTATGAACAAGGTTACTGTCACAATGTGACGGAAGCAGGATAGTGTTGCTGTAGCATAACGCAGGATAGTGGTCAATCTAGCCAAATGTTCAGTCAGTCGAGCTCTTGCATTGCGCGCGAGCTCCGAATGGCGTCCAGCAGGCGGCGACGCATCAATGCGAGCTACCTGCCAGAGCTAGCAGCTACAAGGACCATTCACTCCTCCTCGGTCTTGGCTGGCTTGGTGTAACCCACCTCCTCGTAGATGCGGTTCATGTTCTCATGGGTCACGGAGGTGTACAAGGGATCCTCAATGGTGTAGCGTGGGATGGTGAGGATCCACATGTAGGGGCGCCTGTGGCACTGCTTTCGGTTTGGGCGGTAGCCCAAAGGGTGGTCATCAGCCCAGTCCGGCTCGTTGTCAATCATGCAGGCCTTGTACTTGCAGCACATGTTGCGGAGGCGGTGGTTGAAGAAGGGAAGAGAGTACGTCCACTGCCTGTGGCGGTCAGGCAAAGGCTTGCGCTTCTCCTGGTAGCGGAACATGACATCCGGGTTGAAGAAGAAATTGCGGGTCAGGATGCCAACACAGGCTCCGAAGGCTGCAATGCTGATGAACCAGTAGTTGTACGAAGGCGGGTCGGCGAAGAATGCGCGGAGGTAATTCTCAAAGAAGAAGTCCGCGAGCGCCGGATCCGTCTGCGCCTTCAGCATCTGCGTGTATCGCTGGCGCAGAGAGAAGTGCGAGAACTTGCCCACCGCCGAGTAGGAGCTCAAGTGTCCCGAGCGCAAGGCTCGAGACAGGAGCATCGCCATAGCCCGGCAGGATCAAGGACTAGCACCAAGGAATGGCAAGCCACAAGTGGCAACGACCTGAAGGCCTTGAGCCAAGTTGGCTCCTTGCCGGCGTCGATTCTCTTGCACAAAAGCAGGCAAGGCTTCGGCAGGACTGGTCTCCACGGCAGGCGGCACTAAGTCACTGAGACTTCCGAGTCATGCCAGGGGTTTCGGCCCAAGAAGTGCTTAGGAAACTCCGGCCTGCTGCAGCGTAAAGAGGCCGGCGTCGCAGCGATCCAGGAAGAGCTGCTCCTGCCAGGGCACCCCTAGACCCAAGAGTGACCTAGGTATAAAGAAAGTGCACCCGTTTTGGTTTAAAGAGGATGATAAAGGAACCTAAAGCCCCAAAAAAGGAATAAGGGCTTACTCCGGGTCCTGGACCCTGGAACCCCTGGCTCAGGGGAGCTGTCTGCTTCATGACCGGATTCCCCCCCCAACCCCCTCCCGCCCTTCGAACGAAAGCTGGAAACCCAATGCCTCTCCCTAAACCCTGAACCCTAACCCCTAAACCCTAAGCCCTGAGCCCTAAGCCCGAATGCTGCAGCAATAAGAGCCTCGCTGCCCGGTGTCAAGTGGCGTTTCATGGCTGCCCAAAAAAGAATTGGCGTTTTCAGCACGGCCCTGCTCAACTTTCAGAGAGCACAAATTCTACAAGACAAATTTAGACAGCAAATCATTCAACCGCAGTGGAGTCACTGTCAAAAAGGAATCCATTACACCACTAACCCACGCAATCTGCACTTCTCTTGTTCATTGGCGGCAGATCTTTCAGATGCCACTCTCCAGCTATGGATGGAACAGTATCATTCGATGAGTCTACAAGTACAAAGCATACTTGACAGACTAGAATTTCCGATATTAGTGCACCCGTCGCTAATGTTTCACTTTCGCCAAACCGACTTCATCAGTCCGCATACCCCAAGCCCGAAACCCTAAACCCTAAACCCTAAACCCTAAACCCTAAGCCCTAAACCCTAAGCCCTAAACCCTAAACCCTAAACCAAACCCAAAACTGCCTGACGCCAAATTAAGCTCTTGCACAAAGGATCCCTTCTCGGCTCCTCGTCGTTCACTTCCAGCCTTTTTTTGGGAATTTTGGGGGCCGTACCGTGAGAGGGATATGGCCTAAACTTGTAGTCCGGGGGTCATGAAACAAGGGCCCAGGAGCCAAGCCCTGAAGAAAAGGCCTAAGGGCAACGTGTCGACCCCGGGATTTTTGGGCTCGGGATGAGCCAGCCAAGGGACACTTGGCCCTCAACCCTCAACCCTCAACCCTAAGGTCTTTCGGGATATGGAGTTTAGGGTTCCCGGGCCCTTGTGCGTCTATGCTCCTGGGCCCGAAACCCTGAACCCTAAACCCTGCACCCCTTGTTTCATGACCCCCGGACTACAAGTTTAGACCCTATTAATCCACGCTGAAGCCCTAAACTTACACAATCTTAAGCCCAGAACAACCCGAAGAAGCCCCCAGCCCTACAAACCTACGAGCCGGAAAAAAAAAACAAAACGCCAATACCCCTTCAGGAAAATGTTTTGAGTCGTAATAAAGAATCCCTATGTACATTAAGGCATGTTCCTTCATTGATGGGTATTATACTGTACCCCTTAGTTAAGGAACATACTTTAAATCGTAAGTAAGGATCCCTGTATTTCTTTCAGGTATGTTCCTGAATTGATGGTTACTGGGCTCTTTGGGAAACTTGCGGACGCGGCAGCTCCCGGTCGATCTTCTGCGCGAGGCCCTGATCCCTGGCCTCTGGGCATCGTAGGGTTTGGGGTTTCGGGTTTAGGAGTCACTAATACCCTTGCGGGTAGGGCCATGGGATTTGGCGATGGTTGGCGATGTGAGCGGTGCTAGCTTCAGCAAGCAGCTACTTCACACTAGCACCTCTTCTACAGTAGGTGCTTAGGTACTTGTTGTCCTGGAGATTCCTTGTGACCGGCCCCCATGCAGGTGAGGTGGCGCCAATACCCATGCAAAGACCATGACAGCACCCCCAGGAAGCAACGAAGCACCGGCGCATCACAGCCAGCACTCCTAAACCCTGAACCCGAAACCCTAAACCCTAAACCCTAACCCGAAACCCGAAACCCTAAACCCTAAGCCCTAAGCCCTTGCACCAAAAAAAGCCGCCTCATCAGCTGCCTTCACCGAGCGGTTGTACTCCTCACGGCTATAAGCTTATCTTCGGGTGGTGAAGCTTTTGGCCTCACTTGCCTTAGCTCACTAAGCCTTACAAAACTCTGTGCCGCCTTTATGGAGGATACCAACCGATTCGAAGACTTGTGCTCTGTCCTCATGCATCTCCAGCAGTCGCTCCAGCTTCTCGAACTGGTTCTCTACCTTCAAGAGCAGCGTGCGCTTACCAGGTCGGCCCGTTTACCCCCACATGATCTGCCCAAATACTTATGACCCTCAAGCACTGGAACCTTAAACTATTTGCAACCGGTTTTGCTCGTGGCACATGTTTGCGTATGCGTGCCAGGGGCGAACTTGTTCAGCACGCGGGCGACCGGCGTACCAGTACAGTATCTGCAGAGCGACTGGACGATGGAGGTCACCTTGGCGCTAGCCATGGCTATTCGTTCGCCCTTGAAAAATAGAGGCAGGAGCCCCAGCATCAACGCAAGTCACGCGCACTAGCGTCTCGAGGGCTTGGGATAGGAAACCCTAAATCCTAAACCCTAAACCCTCAACGCTAACCCTAAACCCTCATCTGTGTTCTAGGAAGGCTGCGTGGCCCACTGAAGCACAGCTGCTTAACATGTCATAAACAAGAATCCAAAGTAACAAAATGTAATAACATAGTACGTATGTAATCATACACAACCATTATATATATATATATATATGTATATATATATATACATACATACCCCATATATATATATATATATGTATGTATGTATATGTATATGTATACATATATACAAATCGAATGGAATCATATAATCATAACATACATACATGTACATGCATACGTATATGTATATGTACATGTATATGTATATATATACACACATATATATATATATATGTATATATCCGTGTGTTTGTTTATTCTCTGTTTCGCAAAGCCGTGTTCTCGAGTCCACACAAAGTGATTGCAGTCAGGGGCGCGTGCTCCTCGAGCTCCTTTGCCTCCGACTCCTTCTTGGTCTTGGCACCTCTCTTTCATGCTGCCTTTTATATATATATATATATATATACTCATACTCTTCTGTCTTCTTCTAAGTTCTTCTATATTGTTCTGTGTGATTCGATACTATATTCTATACATATAGCATACTCTTCCTTAGATTCTAGTTAATACTATCGCAAAAGCACTCGAGGCTCGAGCCTGGGTCACCTGTAATGGCAGTTCACGTCCGTATTCGGGCAGTCACTGGGGGGGGAAGTCCGAACATCCACTCTAGGACCCCAAGGGTTGCTCGGCCCTGGGCTTCTAAACTCCTGACCTTTATAGTCTGTGTTGCGCGGAATGCTAGAATCCTCCATTTCGATCCTCTGATGCCCACCAAGTGAAACCACGACCGCGCGTGCCTTTCTTCATGAAGATGGCGAACAAGACCTCTCGTGTGCACTTGATGCTGCTGGCTCCACCCCAACACTGCTTTCTGTTAGGGACTTTTCGGCTTTAGATGGCAAATCGACCCAGACCACGTACAAAAACTGTTTATATATACACACATACCGGTACATCAGGATTTTATGTCTACATGTGCACCTACAGGTTTAGCTGAATACTTTTTGTAGGGCAGGCAGGGAGATAGATAGATAGGTGGATCGATAGATACACAAAAGCTGATTTTGCGTATGTCAGAAAACCCGAGAGTATGCCGCTACATGTATGGGCACACACACACGTACATGCTAATTTCTGCAATCGTGGGGGAAAAAGGGCCTGGGAACCTAATGATTCCAGCTTTTGCTGCTTCCATCCCACCCGGACTGCATAGCGCGGTTCATTCAACCCCTTTGAGCTTAGATTCAACCCCTTTGAGCCTAGAACGTGTGGACATTTAACTCCCCACTGCAGCCCGGCCGGGAATGGATCTGGCCCCTAGGCCCTGACAACCCTCAAGGGGGCTTTGGATTCGACTGCTTCCTATTTGCTTAAGACCCAAAAAAACACACGATAAACCCTAAACCCCTGGCCCACCCCATCATGCCCCCTCGACTCCCCCAAGGGACCTTCAGGCCCAACTTCTCAACGAAGACCTGGCAGTTCTCCGGGCAGTGGCGCAGCGCCTCGGCCAAAGGGGATAGCTTGGGGGGGATTTAGGGTTCATGGTTTAGGGTTTAGGGTTTAGGGTTAGGGTTTAGGGTTTAGGGTTTAGGGTTTAGGGTCAGTTTCTGACAGACATGAGGACTTTACCCAGTTTCGGCCTAGAATTTCGAGGATAAATTTCAGTCCCACCATGTCCCATCCCAAGTACCTGAACACCCGGAACACACGAGACCTGCGTACCCAGGCACATGGTCAGCCAGCTTCAGCGCCAGGTTTGAAGCGAAGACCCTCTCCTGACTGTACCAAATTAAGTTCTGAAGTTGCAGCCCTAGACCCTACACCCTAAACCAAAGGGTTTAGACCCTAAACCCTACATCCTACTAAACCCCAAACCCTGAACCCAAGACTAAGGGTTTCGACTCTAATACCTGGCATGGCGGGCAAGGCAGAAGACAGATTAAACTTCGGGCTTGGAGTTCTGTGTAGCTTTAGGACTTTAGGGGTTTAGGGTTAACTATGGTTAGCTTACAAAATTGCCTCTGCCTGAGACCTACTTGCCTACCATGCAGGTTGCGACCCTCTCATGCAAACGCGAACCGCGAACCCCGCAGGCAGCCACGAACTCCGCTCCTTCATCATGCGGATCATCAGCTCCAGCCTTAGCTCTGAGCAGCTCTAGACCTTATGTAGGGTTTAGGGTTTAGGAGGGGGCTGCAAGGCCTTTAGGGTTCATGGTTTCTTGTTTGCCCGAGGGGTGCGCATGAGGCATTGCGAGGGTAGCTTGTGTTCTCCCAAAGGCTCCGAGCGAAATCCACACGTTTGCTAACTGCCGGGGAGGTGACCCCTGGAGCTTTCCGAAGGCCATCTGATTGGTCTTCAGCAGCATCAGGGAGCAGAGGTTGTCGAACATGTTCTGCACATACTCCGACTCCTGGCTTCTCAAGCTGCTCGAGGGCCCCTTTGAGTCCCCAAAAACTCCAAGCCATGAACACTCCGAAGCACTTCTGTCCCCTGGAACCCCTTAGACTCTGCGACCCTGAGCATCCCCAAACTCCCACCATCCCTCGCCCCCTAAACCCTAAACCCTAAACCCTAAACCCTAAAGCCTAAACCCTAAACCCTAAACCCTAAACCCTAAACCCTACACCCTAAACCCTAAACCCTAAACCCTAAACCCTAAACCCTGCCTCGCTGTCCGCTGGGTCGCGCTTTCGGTAGGCGGCGATGCCACGCAGGAGCTTGTCCACCCCTTCGAGCTTCACCATCCTCGGCAAAGTCAGCTGGGGGCTTTATTAGGGGTACCTTCTTGGGGTCCTAATTATATTTACAAGGGGATCATACTATTTGGGGGTTGAAAGTCTGTGTTAAGGGATCGCCTTATTAACGTAAACCCCCAGTTACTGTTGCCTGCCCACTGCCCACCTGCCACACCTGCCTAGCTGACCTCGAAGCACAGGGCTGCACACAAGAAAGCACACCCGGAAAAACCGACACAAGTATCTCGGTAGGATCACCCACCAGAGCCCGAAAGCCCCAAAGGCCCCCCGTCTTGAGGCTAAGACCATGGCCTTCTTGCAAGAACCCTACGGATCCCTCTTCGAAAATCGGCCAGCGGGCGCCTCCCTGGCAGGCTCCGAGTTCTGCAGGACGATGCCCAGGATCTCTGAAGCGTAGACCTCCCAACTTCCGACACTTTGGGGGGGGGGGGGGGGGGGCACTTTGCGAATTCTACGTGCTTGCAAGCTTGGGGTGCTTAGAGCATAGCGAGGCCCCGGGGCCCGAAGCCCGGAACTCCAAACCCCAAAACCCGAAGTAGAACCAAGTTTTGAACTGAACCAAGTTCATGAGCTGAGGGCGCGTCCCTAGGCCAGGTGTAGACCCTCAGAACTTAGCTTTCCACATGGTGTTCTAAGGCGCGACCATTCAGGTTAAGGCACTTTAAGCTACTCTATGGACTGCTTTGTAACCCTACTTACATCACTCCTGAACCTCCAAGTGCTTCTGGCTAAATCTGGCTGGTTCTTAGTAGCAACGAGGGCATGAGGTACCTATATAACTCCCTGAAAGGGTATAGAAAAGAGCCCTACTTCCTCAGCCCCTACGAAGAACCAGGGGCTAACTTCTGGTGCGTGGGCTCCTCAACCCCAAAGAGACCTAAGCCTGCAGATGGCAGAGGCAGAGGGGAAGTTGGAACCGGCCCCCCTGCACAGTGTCAGATTCTTAGGGTTTAGGGTTTAGGGTTTAGGGTTTAGGGTTGAGGGTTGAGGGTTGAGGGTTGAGGGTTGAGGGTTGAGGGTTGAGGGTTGAGGGTTGAGGGTTGAGGGTTGAGGGTTGAGGGTTGAGGGGTTAAGGTTTAGGGTTTAGGGCTGAGGGCTTAGGGTTCCAGGGTCCAGGGCTTAGGGTTTTAGGGTTTAGGGACCTCAAGAGCCGAATCCCCAATCTCCAGGCCCAACACCCCATGCCCGGAATCCTTCGCGGGAGCCTTGTTGTAGTCCATCGCCCCCTGGGCACGCACGCGCTTGATGAGCCACGGCAGGAAGTTCCTAAGCTTGGGGTTCAAGTCCCTTCCGCAAAGCACTTGAGGGCGTTTAGGGTTTAGGGCTTAGGGTTTGCAGGGTTTAGGGTTTGCAGGGTTTAGGGTTTAGGGTGTAGGGTTTAGGGTTTGGGGTTTAGGGTTTAGGGTTTAGGGTTTAGGGATCCAAAACTGCAATGTTTGCCGTGATGTCGGAACCCCCTCTCACATTGATGCCCAGGTACGGGATCTCCAGAAACTGGCGGCACGTCTCCTGCGGCATCGAGTCCTGGGATATAAACCCCTAAGCCCGAAACCCTTCTTTTGCAACCCTAAACCCTTTTTGCACCAGGATTGTGATACATACAGTACATAGTACTTCATCTTATTTTGTAGATATTGTATATAGCATATATGAAAAGAATAGATACCAATCCCTAAGCCCCCTAAGAACCCTAACTCCCTGACATCGCAGCCTCGACTTTTTGGATTCGAGTTCAGGAAGCAGCTGCTTGTGTGAAGAGCGTCCGCCAGGTTCTCAATCATGCTGAGGCCGTTCGTCACCGCCTTGAAGTCCTCGCTTGGGCACTGTGCACATAAGCCGGGCGCGACTTTAGGGTTTAGGGTTTAGGGCTAAGGGTTAAGGGTTTAGGAAACAAGCCAGCTATCACAACTTGAGGCGCCAGGGCCGCATGGAGCTCGGAGCTGTGGCGAATGCTTGCTTGGACCCGGTGCTCCCGCCTCGTCGCTGGCGGACTCGTCAATCCTTGGCAGTTCCTAGTTCTTAGGCCCCCTAATCAAGTATCTAGCGTTAGGGCTCCTTAACGCAATGAAATCCAACCTTATTCCCAACTAGTATCAACCGTCATGTCCACTCCGCCTAGTATCCGCATGAGCACGTCCACCGTCATCTGGCAAAGCTGAGCCTCGAAAAGAGCCTCGGTTAGGCGGAGCAGCGACAGCTGCCCCAACCCCAAATGAAGGAATGAGGTGAAGTACGAAGTCCATCGAATTTTAAGGCTTACCCTAAACCCTGACTTGTCAAGGATGCAAAGCCACGAACAGCACCCAACAGCCCCGGCCTTCAGAAAGGTTTCGGGCTCCTCGACGTCGGCGATGGCATCTGGGTCCGTCAGCTCGCTGAGGACCTGTCTTGCGGGGGGTGTAGGATTTTGGGGGGGCTTTCCGGAAGTTAGGGTTGCACCCTTCTCGGGGGGTTCCTTGGGGTTATCCTACTTTGGGGTGCATTCGGGAGCCCCCGATATGAGAAGATATCATATCCAGTCGGCCCATGCAAAAAGGGGGGTCGCAGCCAGGTCTGGCAGCCCAAAGCAAGCCCACGAGGCCTACAAGGGTACCTCACCCCGGGGCACCTCGAAGACGTCGACCGCGATGTCGGTGTTCACGTGGTTCAGCATGCCTACCTTGGGCAGAGCATCTTATGGCAGCCGGACTCTACTGCACGGGATACGCCACAATCTGTGCTGTGTCTGAGTTGAATGGTCATGGCCGAGCACTTCTCAAACCCCAAAAACCCCAATATTTTCTGGGGAGGCACCATGAGCGGAAGCGTCTCGAGCTTGATCAGCGCAGGGTAGAGCTCTGGGTTCGTTGCCTGGGTTCCCCATTTCATTTGCCCGCCTATGCTTACAGTAGTTGACAAAAAGGAGACAGTCATGCAGAGACTGGCCATGTATTCATGCCTCCTACCAGAAGGTTCAGAGAGTTGACCTCGAACCTTCGGTATCTTCCCCAAGGAAGTGCAGTAGTGTGCATTAAGGGCTTTTGCTTTCGGTGAGGGTTAGCCCTGAGGCAACCCCGCAGCAGCTTGCAGCCGAGAGGGCCACGAGCGTGAACTTCTTGATCTCTTCATCAAGGTCCACCTGGAAGGCTTAAGCTTAGAGCGGCCCGGTTTGGGTTCAGGGTTTAGGGTTTAGGGTTCAAGGTTTAGGGTTCAGGGGGGCTCAGGGTTTAGGGTTTGGGGCTGGCAGGGCGGTAAAAAGGTTTGGGCATGTAGAGTTGTGCAGGCTTGTCCTCAAGTCATTTGGAGGGGTTGCGAAGTTAGGTCCCGGTTTGGTCCTTGTAAGCCGGATTGTGCCCCTTTCTTCTGGGGGTTCTGCGGTTTAGGTCTCCCATGGGCCGACAGTATAGGCACCTACACCCCCTCCAACCCCCAAAGCTCGACCTCCAAAACACCAAAAGCAACACGGAAACACACACACACACACACACACACACACACACACACACACACACACCTCGCTCTTGAGGAACTTGTCCGGATCGTCCGCGTGCCTGGGGGCTATGAGGTTGCCCCAGGGGGCTGCGATGTCCCCTGGTTGTGCTAAACTCACCCTAAACCCGCTTCATAAGAAGCCTTGGGGGCTTTCGGGGTCGTACGGTTTTCGGGGTTTGCAGAGCCGCCCCGGTTTGTCCCGGCTTAAGGCTTTCGGACTTCCTGCCGGTGTTGTGCCATTCCTGCCCGGCGGCTTGATCCTGAGTTCCCGGTTGACCTTGACCTTGCGCTCGAACTGCCTGGGCTCAAAGCAGTAAAGAGCCTGTGTGCGAGCAGACTTGTGTGCACGAGAAAAACTGGGGCGGCACTCCTGTCTGGAGTTAATTAGATGTAAGCCGTCCTGTTCTTGCCAAGTATGCTCACACCACAAGCCGGCAGCTGAACCAGGCATCCCAGTTGCAGGTGCATCCGCTTCAGCGCGTTCTCGTTCAAGACCTCCACCTCGCTTCAGAAGCGGCTCCCGGGGGCAGAGACCCCAAGAGCATCGCCACCGAGTAAAGCGCACGTGAGTGCACGGAAGGGGGGCGGGATTCTGGGATGCTCTGGATTTGCATGTGGGGGGGGAAGCCGTGCCAGCCCTCCCCAAGAACCCTAAACCTATAAACCCTAAACCCTAAACCCTAAACCCTAAAGCCCTGACCCCTAAACCCTAAACCCTATAAACCCTAAAGCCCCTACAGCCATCCCAAAAAGCCCACGCTCAGAATTAGGCTCCCGGCGTGGACCTCATCTGCCTTGTCAAGCCTCAGATCTGCTAAAATTGGCTTAAGGCGCTCGGAGAACTGCCCAAAACTCTCTCGCGTGCCACCCTAAACCCTAAATCCTAAACCCTAAACCCTAAACCCTAAACCCTAAACCCTAAACCCTAAACCCTAAGCCCTAAGCCCTAAGCCCTAAACCCTAAGCTGAGAAGGCGGAGAAGCATGTGCTGGATGTCCTCCTTGGAGACTTCCTCCGGAAGGTCGTCGCCGAGCCTCAGCGCCAAGCCCTCAACCCTGGAGGGTCCGCACGCTGGGCTCCCTACCTGTGAGACTTGTAAACCCCTTTTTACTGCTACTAAACCATGCCATTCAAGAGCTGGCAACGCGGACTCTGCCGTGCTGATCACTCAGGAAGTGTGTCAACTTGTAAACCCTAATCCACAAACCCCTAAACCTAAAAAAAAAACACGCTGTAAACCCTGAGCCCGAAACAAACCCCGCAACCCTAATTGTTGAGTCGCGCTTCGGCGCACGTTCCGTTGTGCTCCGCTTGTTCCATCGCCGTGATCGCGTTCCGACGAAACATACTGAACCCGCGCTCGGCTGTGATGTGGGGTTGAGCTCCATTTCGGGGCAAATTTCACCATTTCGGGGCAAATTTCACCCATCGTGGGCCCTTCCTCTTTCATGTAAGGTACCCTAAACTGACGGGGCCCACAGGTCCACAGCTTAGAGAGCTGGGCACAGGAACTTCGGTCACCGAATGATCCCAGTAGCCCTAAACCTTAAACCCTAAACCCTAAACCCTTCTTGCGAGGGGCTCCAGGCGCTTCGGGGCCGGCTCATCCTTGGGTGCCGCCGCCTTTCCTGAGCTTCAGGGGTGGCGGGGCCAGGCTTCCGGTTGGGGCTTTTTGGGGTTAAGGGTTTAGGGTTTGGGGTTTGGGGTTTGGGGTTTAGGGTTTGGGGTTTGGGGTTAGGGTTTAGGGCTTCATGCAGTTTGGGGTTTGGGGGTTTAGGGGTGCAGAGTTTCGGGCTTGAAGTGCCTAACCTCGCCCCTGCAGTCATGAGTGCTGCGGTGTGGGGACGAGCTGGGCAAGAAGGGCAGCAGTCGAGTCCCTTGTGAAAAAGGGGGTTTCCAGCTTGGGGGTTCAGAGCCCGTGGGGCTTAGCGCTCAAGGTTGGGGACTTGGGGGTTTTCGGCCTCCTAAACCCTAAACCCTAAACCCTAAACCCAACACCTAAACCCTAAACCCTAAACCCTACACCTAAACCCTCAACCCTAAACCCTACACCACCCTAAACCCTAAACCCTGGGCTGCGCAGCGAGGCTCTCTTCATCGGCACGGGAGGTGGCCGCATCTCGCCGCCCCCGGCCTTGGCGCTTTCCAGGATGGGCTATGTTAGGCCTTAACATCCACATACTCAACCCCTATAAAGGGCCTTTTTGAGGGGTTATAAGTTATAAGGGTATAATAGTGGCCCATCCTGGTTGCCCGGGGCTTTTTTCTGCCTGGCAGTTCTGCTGGAAGGAAGACAACCCAAGCAAGCGGCGCGCCACGCGGCATTTTTTGTTCAACGTCGGAGCTGTCATGCTGCGTTTGGGACATGTGATTCCTGTGTCTGGGGCCGTTCCAGAGCGCGACACAAACAAGAGTGAGAGAAGAAATGGTGCCTGGCCGCATCGAAAACTGGGGCACGGTCACACCAGCTCCCTCGAGGGCATGGGCTGCTGGGTGTCTTAGGGTTTAGGGTTTAGGGTTTAGGGTTTAGGGTTTAGGGTTTAGGGTTTAGGGTTTAGGGTTTAGGGTTTAGGGTTTAGGGCAACAGCTGGGAGCCAGAGAGGCTGACCCTCTTCATTGCCAGACGACCACAGCAATCAGCAGGCTAGTTGCTGCTGATTGGCCTAAACAGCCTCGCAGTTGCCACAGCTTCACATCGTACGATGCGACATTCACAGTACAGGTGCCGCTGAACGCAGACTGTACTACTCAGAACTGCTTCTCCGTGACTCCGGCCGACATGATGCCGGTGGAGGAAAGTCCGCCGCTGACGATGTTGCCCATCTCGTCCACGATCTCAGAGCCGCTCCACTTCTGGTGGGTAAGGGTCTCCACCTTGTGCTCGCGCTCCTTGCGCTGGATCATCTGCACGTACGCGGCCGCACCTCGCTTGGCATACTCCTTGGCGAAGAGGTCAATGTTCAAAGCATCGCAGTGGAAGCCTGCCAAGGTGATGAACTGCCAGCAGAAGCCGAGCTTGGCCAGGTCCCAAATGAAGGACTCCATCTGAGCATCGGTCATGCCGGCGGTGTCCCAGTTGAAGGACGGGCTAAGGTTGTAAGAAAGCATCTGGTGAGGCACTGCGCCGCGGACCTCCTTCGCGAACTGCGTGGCCTGCGCCAGGATCGGCTTGCCAGTCTCCATCCAGATGCAGTCAGCATAGGGGGCAAAGGCAATGGCGCGCTCGATGCAGAACTCGGTGGAGCCCTTGATTCGGTAGTAGCCCTCCACGGACCGGGCGGCATCCCAATCGAAGAAGACCTCCAGGCCCATGCCAGAGGCCGCCTTCTTCATCTGGTCCAAAGACATCTTGCGGGAATCCTGCAGCCACTTGGCCGGGTCCTGGCCCTTGGCCTTCATGGCCTTGGCAACGGCATCCGGGAAAGTCATGCATCCGGATCGCTCCTCCCAGTCCTTGTCGGTGCCCTTGCGCATGGCCTCATAGAGGGGCTCCACGCCCTTGACGGTGGCGCCCTTGATGTGGGGGTGGTCGATCGGATCCTCAGCAGAGGAGCTGGGGCTGACATCCTTGAGTCACCAACCCAAAAACCCCAGAAGCACTGCACATTGAAGAGGGTGGCTCTCTGTTCCCGAGTCAGAAGACTCGAGCCTCTTCCCCAATCCCACCTTGCACTCGGTCGGACCAGGCCAAGAATTCCCAAACCTCTGAGAGTTACTTTCTTGAGCAACCCAGCCTCCTCAACAGGGGGGTCCAGGGGTCCTGAAACCTGAAGCCTCAAGCCTCGGCCGTGGTAAGCCGCGGCTCAATGTTGGTGTCGATCATGGTGGCAGCCTGCGGCCCCCAGCATCCGTGGGAACATGGGCCTAGATTCCACACCCTCGTATCGGATGCCGAGTGCAAGTCGGGTCCCAAACCCCAACCCAATGACCATAAGCTGATCAAACCTCGGAGAAACATCAGAACAAGAAGCCTAGCAGCAACTTGTCCCCGATTCCGTCCCCGAAGCCCAGCAGCCTAAACTACCTGACACCCCTATACGTTATGTTCCCGAGCCGAAGGCCCTTCCCCCCTGCGACCAAAAACCCTCCACTCTCCTGTCGACCCTGCGCACACAAACGCCCATACCAGCCTCAGCATCCGTACGCGCCACGATGACCAAGGGCGAGTTCAACACATCCGCCTGCCCAGGGCACTGGAGGACACCAGGGCATCATGAACAGGGTTCAGGTGCTGATCAGGCTGCGGAATTAGGGCCCGGCAGTTCTGGGTTGGGCTCTTTGGGCTGAGGCAGAAGGCTGAGGCAGCTAAGGCTTGAGGTTGGGGGGTGCCGAGCATGACGCCCATGCTGCATATGTTTGCTGCTCTCCTCTGATGGGCGATTCATTCTGATGGGATGTATCCATCTGCACCCGAATCAAACTTCGGGCCCAGCTTCTCCGAAGCAGCAGGAGAGGCTTCAGGCACTAGCTGCTCGCTAGCTGCGTCACTCACCCCACCGTACGGTAAAGTGATGCTCGGCTCCATCCTTCTCAAGCTGGGCCTTGATGCTTTCAAGAGCATTGCTGGGTGACTGAAATTGCTTTCCGGCAGCGATTTTTAGAACGTTGCCCATTGAAGCCGTCCGCTTCCCAGCGCTACACAGTCTGGCTTGCCAGTTCCAGTGTTTGAAGAAATCCATGCCATCGGGGCTATAGATCGCAAGCCAGAGCTCATCAAAGTATGCATTCCTGCCATCGCCCATGTTGCCGGTCTTTATGTTTGAGAACCTGCACATCCACCTGCTGGTTCCAGAGTCAAAGCTGAGCTTCGAGCTTTTCACCTCCACCCTGACTCCGTCGCGTACCCAGTCTACGGCAGCGTTTGAATCTCCTCGCCTGATGCCGCATGGTGATTTCTCTCCCTTGGCACTCTCGAACAAACTATCTGGGTGTTCATGCTGATCTAGCTCGCGCGCTATTTGCTGGATCCTGTGGGCGCGAATAATGGCATTCGTGCTGCCTAGGGGAATGCCCTCGTAGACTTGGTGTGTGGGAGACACGGCCCTATCCAGTAGCTCAGCATAGAGTGCTCCAGACAACGGATCTGACTTTGCTGCGTATCCAACCATCTCACAACAACCTTGCGACGTCAGTTTGTAAAGAATTGTCAGCAAGGCAGCTTTCCAGCAAGTCTGCCCACGTTTTGCTCGCACTCGAATCACGTGCCCGTGACTGCTAGTGCGCACACCGTCCTTGGAGACTCCTGTTGCAAGATCATGCTGGATCAGGTAAAACCCGTCAGGTGCATAAATCATTAAGAAAAGATCATCAAAAGGCTGTTCCGCACGAAGACCATCGCGGGAAAGCTTGACGGCAAGAAAGGCAACAGACCAAGACTTCTCCCTTGCATTGAAGCAAAGCTGTGCAGTCTTTAGTTCGGCACGCCTGCCCATGCACACCCAATCCCACTCTGCAGAGTAAAGTGCCCGACGCCTGCCATTCACGCATGTCCCGAGACACTGCACATCAGCGTCTTGAATCAAACGGTTGGGGCGCGCTCGTGCTAGCATTTGCCTTGCTAGTGTTTCAAACATCAGCCCACGCTGACAGAAACTGAATCCAGCGAGAGGATCGCCGGCATACGCCTGGTTAGTGCGACCTTCATCAGCAAGAATATGACGAAACTGCGAAGAATGCAGCACGACCAGCCGCCGGCAAGATGCAACCAATTGGAGTCTGGACGCATTGAGGGCAATTCTCGTGAGCGCAGCCCCCCACATCCATTCAAGCACGGTAAGGTTGTAGCAGCCCAGCCCCTCCCTTTGATGGCATTCAACTAATCCATCCACCCCCAAGCATGAACCTGTAGCTGCATTTTCTGACTTGGGCAGAAACCAGCAAAGCCAGGAGGATCCGGCGTCGAAACACACAATGTCAAAGTGAAGGCTACTTTGGGACAAGGGGAAGGGAAAATGGCTGTTCTTAGGGTCGGGCCAGGGCATATCAGAGCTTGGGAAGAAAGCTGGAGGCCTGCAGGCGGATGGCAATCAATCGCTGAATGTGCTCCTTCGCAGGGGCTTCCCACATGCAATGGATTGGGAGGGGGGGGGGGGAAGGTTGGCCGTGGAGTTGAGAAGCATCTTCACATCGTAGCTTGCAGGATTCCCTTAAACTTGAACCATTTGAGGTGTAGAGGGCCCTTGCGGGTTTTTAACGCATCCAGTTCACAAAAAAAGGAGCCGACAGAAATGAACATGTTAGTGGCACCCATGATGGAAGTCGTTTAACTGGGTTTCAAGAAGCTTCCGGAGCTGATGGTTTCAAACTCGCTTTTTCGCAGACTTCCTTGCACCCCAAGCTGGCCCCTGCACAAGGCCAGGCATGCGCAACACTGCAACTTTGGGATACTCCCCCTTGTACAAACAGTTCTCAACAGGGATTATAGTACCCCTAAACCCTTTTGCGACTGGTCTTGAGGACTAGCCCCTAAACCCTAAACCCTAAACCCTAAACCCTAAACCCTAACCCTAACCCTAAACCCTATAAACCCTAAACCCTATTATCATCCCTCTTAAGGACTGCTAGCATAAGGGGGAACATCCCAACTGCAACTCCTCATTCAAGCAGCTCAGTCCTGGGTGGAGACCAGGACCTTGCCGCCCATGTGTCCGCACTTCTTGGTTCCCGGCTTCTGGTCCTGCCACAAACTGCTGACTGCTTAGGGTTTTTAGGTTTAGGGTTTAGAGATACTCTGTTCTTTGCCTTCCGGGGGAGACTTCGTGGCAGGCCTCACCTCAGTCGGAGAATTCTGACACTTAAGTCAATTTTAGTCGCTTAGGTGGGGACTGGGCTCCAGGGATGGATTCACCCAACTTGGCATGGGATAATTTGGGGTGGGACTTGGATTCCTAAACATCAGAGCAAGGGTGGACGGTAAGGCCGTGGTTAAGTCATGTCAAGTCCCTGAGTATCCCCTTATGGTCCCCGTATAACTATACTCTAATAACCCCCCAAAACCCATTTCCAATGATTAAGGCCCGCCTTTTCCGAAGCAGCTACTGCAGTATGTCTTGCAGCCTGTCTAGGGGGGTCACCGCCTCCTCTGCCTCCACAAACCGCAGCCAGTCGGCCCAGACGGACCCATGGGCCTGTCGCAGGGTCTCCGCATCTGCGAAGACCACCAGCCCACGCCGCGCCCGCGTCAGCGCCACGTTCGCGCGGCGGGTGTCCTGGAGGAAGCCCAGGCGGCCCTCGCGGTTCGAGCGCACGGCAGAGAAGACGACGAGATCTGCCTCCGCCCCCTGGAAGCCGTCCACGGTCGAAACCCGCACGTCTTTCAGCTCGGGGATGCTTGTCACCTGGGCTTGAAGGAGCTCCTTCTGCTGGAGGTAAGGGGTGAGGATCACCACTTCCCCAGCAGTCACGGGCCCAGGACAGGCCCGGGTCGCCTGGCTCGTATGTAAGACATGAATCAAGAGTCGGAGCACGGCATCCACCTCAGCAGTATTTCGCCAGGATGTGCCCCGCTGCTCCTCCTGCTCGCCCGTGCCCTCGCAATCCACCAGCCGGACGCAGAAGTTACCCGACTGTGGCCACCGAACGCCAGGAACCGGTGCTCGACCTGGAACCCTGTCCTGCACCAGGCCCTTGTAGAAAAAGAGGTTCGGAAACCGGGCGATGCTCGTGTGCATGCGGCGCTGCTCATTCAGTAAAACCGGCACGGCCACGGCGCCCCCGTCAGGCTCGTCGGTGCCTTCCTCGGCCAAGCGCGCAAAGAGCGACTTGTCAAGGCCCAGGCGTTTGGCATCATCTGAGATGACCGTCGGCGGCAGCTGCTTGTGGTCACCTATCAGCACCAAGTGTGAACATCCCACGCAGATGGGCAGAAGCGTGGTGGGCTCCACGGACTGCGTGCTCTCATCGATGAGGACGCGCGGGAAGCTCTGCCCCTGGATCAAGTCGTGGCCTGCACTGGCGCACGTCGTGACCACGACCTGAAAGCTGCTCAGGGCATCCTTGGCAAACAGCAGGCGCTCGTAGGCTGTCCGCTGGGAGTCCTCCGGCTCTGAAGGGGCGAAGCGATACGCCTTGATTCCCCACTTTGCCAGGCTCTTGTGCAGGTTGTCCGCCGCAACGTTGGAGTCGGCGGCACACAGGATCCGGTCCCCCAGCCACCGCCAGGCCAGGACGACGCCTGCCGCTGCCGTGGTCTTTCCAGTGCCTTATACTGTTGGTAGTAGGGTATATATATATATATATAGGGGGATATAGGGTGCCTATGGGTGCCTCATTCCCTCATTCCCTACTTACCAACAGCAAGGTGCCAGGAGGGCCGTGGATGAGCGTCAGCCGCCGTTGCAGGGCCGATGTCACAGCCTCGAGCTGGGCGTCGGTCAGGTCGCATCCGAGCCTCGTTGCAGTCTCCACGATGGCTCCCAGGCGACGGAGGGGCGCGTCGTCCTGGCAGCCTGGGGGGGGCGAGGCCGCGGCCTCTCGCGCAGCCTTCCGCCCCTCCGGCCGAAAGCTTTGCACAAGGATCCGGGACATCTCGGGAAGCAGCCGCATGTCCTGCGCCACGCGCTCCTCGCGCGGAATGTGGGGATCGGCCGCTGCCCACACCGCCTGGATGCAGCGCAGGGCTGTGACCTCGGACTCCAGGCCAAAGACTTCAAAGGACTCCTCTTCCACGTCCTCCCCGAGCGTGTTGCAGCGGAGAGTGAGTCGTTGCTTGCCGCGCTCCTGGCGAAACTGGATTCAGGGAAGAGATCCCAAACCTTATGACATCACGTTTCAGAACTTCAGAACCCTTTTAGCTCCTTGGCCGTCGAGGTGACCACGGCCAGATGGCCCGGTGATTCTGCCCGCTGAAGGCACGACAACCTGGGCCTGAGGTACCTTGGATTGGAGCCACTTGCATCTGCAACGAAGAGTGAAGGGAAACGCGTGTAGGCTGTGTAGCGGTGAAGCGCTTCTTGCTGATACAGGAACGGCTAGTGCTTCACCGCATGCACTAAGTATTGCATAATTTCTACTTGCACTACCGATGGCATCATTGAGCGAGGGTGCACCACGTCGCCGGCGCGCATGCCGCTGAGCGCGGCCACCTCCTCCACAGAGCCTTCGGCCAGCACCAGCGTGAGGTAAGGGAGGACGCAGCTCTGCTGCAGCATGCTCAGGGAGGGCGCGTCACCCTGCGCCCGGAGCTCATCGATCATGGCCTGGTTGGCCCCAACTCTTTCCAAGGCCGTCAGTATTCTGAAATGCTCGAAGTAGTCCTTGTGAGCTGCAGAATCGAAGCGGGACGCGTCCAGCGAAGCCCCCCGCAGCAGCTTGAGGGCCTCCACTGCAGTGCTGCCACAGGCCACGTGCGCAGCGGCATCCAGGAGGGACTCCCACAGCTTGGGCGGCAGACCCTGCAGCGCGAGGTTTTCGCGCACGGCCGTGCCAAGCTGTGCCAGGCCTTGGCGGTCCCTCTGCGCTAGGCCGAGCTGCCATGCGTCGAGGAGGCAAAGCCTCCAATAAGTGGGCGGCCAAGCTGCCAGGAAGGTGGCCGCCGACTTCGCCGCGCCGCCATCGCCGGCGCGCGCCAGCGAGCGGACCTGGGCTGCGGCGTTCAGCGCCACCGGATCCAGGGCGCTGCCAATGGACTGCTGCAGCAACATGGCCCGGATGGCCTCGCCCTTGGCTTGGCGCTTCGTGATCCCCAGGCCCACGGAGCTGGCGTTTCGCTGCTCTCCACTCGGATCTTGCCACTCCCACCTCAAGGTGCAGTGGTGGCCGGCCTCGTGCGCCAGCACCTCATCTTGTGCCTGGATCCGAAGGCGCTGCACGACGGCGTTGTGCCGCACTGCAAGCTCGCCGACGGCCTCGGAGCTGAGGATGGACATCCCGGCCTGCAAGGTCTCTCGCCGCTGCTGCGCCGCGTCCTCCAGCTGCTGCCTTGCCGCTCGGTTGCGCTGCTCCTGGGCCGCTTGCACTACGCTCGCCTGCAAGGATTTTCGTCCGCTGGCCTGGAGGTACAAGCCCTCCCAGGCCTGCGCCTGCGCCTCTGCATGAGTTGCACCTTGGCCCGAGGCGGAAAGCTCCAGGGGAGGCCGGCCTTGTGGCTGGGGCACCCGCCAGACGACACGATATGCCCCCTCTCCTGATGGACCATCCTCGAGCACCTCCGCCGAGAGCTTGTAGCGGAGCCCCTGCAGCATCTGCTTCCGCATCTGCACCTCTGCCTCCTCGCCTACGGGCAGGCCCTGCAGCAGGCGACGCGCCGCCTCGCGACGGGCGGCCTGCAGATGTCTAGACCCAACCTTTATGACATGCCACCACAAGGCCACTCACGCCAACTGGTCTCTCTACATACGCACAGACATGGAAAAGCCAACAGAAGGGTGGATGATGTATGTCTACATCCCATGACAAGAATCCTCTTGCCTTCTTGCCGCTCGCCACCCCGGAGCCGCTGCGCTGCTGGCCAGGCAGCTGCCAGGTGATGTCCACGTGCTGCCGCCCGGCCCGAAGACGCGCCTCCTCCTCAGCAGCGATTTCTTTCCGAGGGGGCTGAGGGCTCGGAAGGCACACGGCGAGCCCAGCCATCCAAGCTCAGCTCAGCGTGCTGTGCGTAGATAGATGGATTGAATGGGAAAAGGCAGCTGGGAAGGGTAGGCATTGGAAGGGTAGATAGATACAGAAAGCTCGAAGAGGTGGTTACATGGGGGGAGAGGAGGAGGGATGCCCAAGTTGATCCACTCCTTGACCTCCGGCCGCAGCTGCACCCGCTGGATAGCATAGAGGTACCTGCACTGCTCAAACCCTGATGCTGGATCGACTCCAAATAAATGACATATATATATATACATATATATATACAGATATATGTATATGTATACTTATATATATATACATATATTCATGTATTTATTTTTATTTGTTTATTTATTTTTGTTTCATTAGCAAGGCTTGCGCCATGTCAATTTTCTGAAAAGAGCCAAGGTGCAGCACGTTCTCCTCGTCCCAGTAGTGTTCCTGGAAGCTTTGCCCCAAAGCCGCCGCTGGGGGCGACCAGCGCAAGGGGGGCTTCGCCCCCTCGACATCCAGCCCTGCAATTCCAAACGGCCTGGCAGGGTGCTGGATCTGGGTTGCCTGGACTAACACACACCAAACGCCCCGCAAACCTTGCAAGGCCTGCAACATTCTGAGGGCTGTCACGTAAAAGGTCTTGGCTCTTGCAGCGGGACTCCGAAAACTCTGACATACGATTGTCTTTACTTCCCGAAATCACTCTTACCCTAAATACCCTAAACCCTAAACCCGAAACCCTAAACCCTAAACCCTAAACTCATTTTGCCGGCAGCAGGGCCTCGCAGCGCTCGGCGCAGCGCGGGCCGTCCAGCTGGCGGCACGCCAGCGCAGGGCCAAGGTGGCCAGGCCCGCGGGAGGGGAGCGCAGGGCGAACATTGCCAGTTACGGCTTAGGGTTGTGTTTCTAGGGTCTAACTATAGGATGCAACTATCGGATTTACTTGTAGGGTTTCATTTTGTAGGGTTTACTGATAGGGTTTAATTTGGGTTGTCATCACAGGGTTTGGGGTTATAGGGTCTTTGTTACATGGGGTATTTGGGTGCAGAGGGTCTGTAGGGTTTGGGGCTTCTGTTCGTGCCTGGTTCTGCTTTTCTTGGCAGTAATCAAGTACTGTTCAACGCACCTGTGAGCAAGGGTGAAAGTTTTGGATTCGCCCTCTTTTGTTGCTGTCTTGTGGCCTCTCTGCTGCTACAACCACGAGCTGTGCATGCCCAAGACAGGCTTCGTGGGCCGGAGAGGTGTTAAGGTTGCCGCTAAGGTCTGGAGTCGTTCAGCCCTGAGAGTTCTTGGTGAAGGGAGCTTTGCGCGCTTCTGGTGCCTGGCCACCCTAAGCTGCAGTTCATGCTGGGATTCTCGTAGGGTCCAGGGGGGAGGGGGGGGGAGGAATCTTGGACGCCTGAGCACCGAATACCACAGGCAACCCACAAGAGCTCCTCGATGTGGATGCCCGCGGCACCGTTCTCGATGAACATCTTCGCAAGCTTCATGGTGGCCGTGAGGCCGCCGTGGCCGGTGTCCGCATCCGCGATGATGGGGTTCATGTAGTCCTCGGTGGGGGGAGACCTCTGACCTGACCTCAACATGTCCATATGTGTAAACCTCTTACATGTGGCAAATCGACCCCCATCCGCCCCATCCATGCTGGTAGAGTACTAGGACCTCAGCACTAGAAAGCCTAGGGGAAAAGGCCTGATTTTGGGGGCCTGAATAAATTAGAATAGGGTTTTGGGGGTTCTTGTAGTATAAATATAAAGGGACCCTAAGGCAATACTATTCGTAATTCTTCCGACCCCCACAGTGTCCATCTTTGCCGCCGGGAGACAACGACAGCTGCCTTGGAGCGCTCCTCGGGCGACATTCGGCGGCGCTCCTCATACCTCAAAAGGCCCAGAAGGCCTTATGGCCCCCGAAGCTTTCTAGTTCATGGTTGGGATCATATTAAAGATTCATCGCAGTAAACCCCCAAAAGTTGGAACATCATGATCCTCATACCCCAAGAGGGTTGCTAAAGGGAATCTCAACTCTACTCATCCTTAGACCATGTTCCAACTTTCTGGCGTTTACAGTATGGCCCCCCGAAGCTTTCTCATCCGGGCCATGGATCAACTCGGAAGAGTTCCAACATGGTTTAGGGTTTAGGGTTTAGGGTTTAGGGTTTAGGGTACGAACATGAGGGACGCCCCAAAGAAGGCCCAAAAAAGTTGGACCCCCTTGTAACAAGGACGCCAATCAGGTACCCCTAGTATCGCAAGCCCCAACATGACGTAACCCTGGACACCCTGGTGTCGGGGTGCTGCTTGCGGTCATGGAAGAGCTGCGCGCGGAAGAGCTGGTCCACCTGCCCAGCTTCCATCTGGGTGCTCTCTGGACCCCCCCAAGAAGCCCCTGAAACGTAGGCTCCATGGTCCGAATGCTGGTTCTGGGTCACCTTCGCGTCTCCCTTTCAAGGCAACCCTCTGCCATCAGCCCCTCTCTCTCCCTCCCCCTCTCTCTCTCTCTCTCTCTCTCTCTCTCTCTATTTTGTTTCTCTCTCTCTCTCTCTCTCTCTCTTTCTCTTTCTCTTTCTCTTACTCTTACTCTTACTCTTACTCTTGCTCTTACTCTTACTCTTACTCTTACTCTTTCCCCTTCTCTTTCTCTTTCTCTTTCTCTTTCTCTTTCTCTTTCTCTTCTCTTCTCTTTCTCTTTCTCTTTCTCCCTCTCTCTGTCTCTCTCTCTCTCTCTCTCAGGGGCTCGGTGAGTGTCCTAAACCCTGACCCCCATAGCCCTTGCCTTGTTGGGCACGGTGTCGTAAGGGTAGTCCGCCACATCGGGGCCCGGCTCGTTGGAGGTGGCAGCAGTGGAGGAGCACCTGCACGACGAGGGTTTTGGGGTCTAGGGTTTAGGGTTTAGGTGGGTAGAGGTATGGTAGAGTGGTTTTGGGGTTTGGGGGGGTTGAATGATGCTTTCGGGATTTGCTCGCTGCACAGCGAGCCAAAGAGAGGCTTCAGCCTGTCAGATGACAACTTTAGCGGACGGGGCACTGCCAGCCGCTCACGTACACCGAGGTCAGGTACTTGGCCATCTGCGTGACCTGCGCTGCGATTAATCCCTTCATTCCAAAGCCCTACACCTTTAATCTAGAATCTGAAATAATGTCATCACTCGTTCCCGGGCCCTGGAGCTTACAAAATGTGGTCCAAGAGATCTAACAAATCCAGTCGTAAGGCGTGGGCCCAAAGACAAGACCAGGGGGCCTAGTTCATGGTTGGGGATAGCATTACAAATTCAGATTTCTGTGCCTTATTAAGTTTTAAGTACCTTTAAGAATGAAACAAAAATGTTACCCCACTATGACACGAAGTTGACGAGCTGGAGAGGCCTTCAGAAGCGGTTCAAGGCTTTGCTTCGGGCCTGGACGGTGTCGAGGGCTCCGAAGGTGTGCGAGCAGGTGCCCTTGGCCTCAGCAACATTCACAATCGCCTCCTCTCTCTTTATTATTGTTACAACTATTATTCTTTCTAATTTTTTTTGCTGTTACATTTGTACTTATAATTATTACTATGATTTTTTTGTATTACCAATCACTATTACAATTATTTGTATACTCATGAATGTGTGAACTCATGAAACTATGGTGAGTGAGTTAGTTCACATATTCCCGCCTGGTGGTCCCGGAGCATCTTGTAGAGCTTGTCGGAGACCTTGGCACCGTTGAAGTACATGGGCATGGTGCCCTGGAGCTTCACCACATCCTCGACCTGCGCAACTTTGTGTAACCCCCAAACCTAGGCCTGAACCTCCTGCTTCCGAGATCGGTGGCACCTGGACCGGCTTGCCCCTTGTTCACAAACCTAGACGCCTAAACCCCCAGCCCCAGCGTCATGAATTTCTTTACCTCAACCAGTTTGCGGGTGTGGGCCTCTGGCTTTGCGGCTCACGTCTTGGGCTCAGGGATCTCTCGGGTTGGGGCGTGCCTCAAGAGCATCTCAGTATCTCACATCAAGCTAGGCGCATGGACTCGTAATTAGGGCTGACATATGCGCCTCTTTGGTGAGAATGTGCATTTTGGGTAGTTCATGTTATACTTCGCCATAAGAAGAACGAACTAAACACATTGCGCTTCCCTCCTTCTTCGGCTCCTGTACTACACACAGAGCCGCCCACGTCCTCACCTTGTAGGGTCGAGTGGTGTGCTTGAACCGCTCGGATCCCATCCTAAGAGCTTCGGCTGTCAGGCGTCAACTACATGTATTATCAAAACTATGTTTCTGAATGATGTGTATATATATATATAGAATATACACTTGGATGTCCTGTATTTCAGCAATTTCAAGTTGATGCGTGGACTTATGCAAGGTCTGGTGACCCTAAACCCTGAACCCTAAACCCTAAACCCTAAACCCTAAGCCCTAAACCCTAAACCCTAAACCCGTTAATTCGCTGCCAAGGATCCAGGTCTTCATGGCCGCCACGCGGGCATCGAAGTCGGCGTCCTCAGCGCTGGCCACGCCACGCATCTCGAGGCCACCGGAGACGGCAGCATCCTGGGATTGCAATATTTAGGGTTTAGGGTTTAGGGTTTAGGGTTTGGGGTTTAGGGTTTAGGATTTAGGGTTTAGGGTTTAGGGATTGCAACGAGGGGTATTGCAGGTTTTGCCACTCACATAGCTGGATTAACCCAGTTGTTGGTTATTGTTGGGCTTGATGTTTTTTTGCTACCCACCTAGCTGGGCTGCGCCGCACTGCAAGGAACTGTCTAGGGCTTAGGGTCGGGGCTTAGGGCTTGGGATTCAACGAAGGCGTTTGGGCTCTCCAAGATGATTCGTAGATTGTCAAACGTTGTTCTCCAGCCGGCCGTGAACTCAGTGGGCTTAGGGTCGTAAGCGCGGTTTAGGGTGCTGTGCCTCAGCTAACTCATACTCGGCCAAGCTTCCTGCATGGTTCTCACTATGGATGCAAACAAGCCTAACAAGATCAGTGCTTCGTGACCTGCAGCCTCCCAACAAGAGACCCCTTGCAACTCGATAGATGTCGATCCTTGCCCCCAGACTGGAGCACAGGTTATACCACACTCATTGCACTTGACAGCAGATGACCGCAGCAGTTGGGACACGCCCGGCACAACGGCGAGTTTTTCTTCCGCTCTCCAGCGACGGTACCATGACTCACCCAAAGGCTCAAAGTCCTGGGCATAGCTCGCCTCGATCACGTCCAGCGCCCGCCTGATCGCTGAGAAGTCGGAGACGGGGCAGCGCATCAGCTCCAGCTTCAGCTCCTCCTTCTTGGAGAGCCTCTACTGAACTTGGAACCCCAGCAAAAGCTACAATTTTTGCTGTTTCTTAATTATTAGAGTACCCCAAAATTTAAAAAAAAAATGCATATTTCCAAGTACCCCGAAGGAGCAGGAGCCCCGCGGCATCCTTGCGCCGCGCCGTGGCCTGGTCCGCGCCGATCAGTCGATGCAGGATCTTGAAGAGGTGGGACTTCGTCGGGGGGTACTTGAGCGGACAGGTGAACGTCTCCGCTAGGTCCAGAAACTCTCGCCCAAGTCGAAGCATCCGCGCGACATCAGCCTTGGGATCTTGGTGATCTTGAGCCTCCATGGGGGGGTCGTCGAACAGAGCAGGATCCTCCAGCAACGCCTCGGCCGACATTACTGCGGCTGCCCCCGTCTGCTCAAGGCAGGCAGCCGCATCGCGCTTGGTCTCGATGCCACCGTTTGCGATCACGGGAATGCCGACGGACCTCCGCACCTCGGCAATGGCTCCCCAGTTCGGGGCCAAGCTTGCTTCGCCCAAGCCATCTCGCTTCGCGTACTTTGGGCGCTGGACAATCGTTCGGCCATGTACACACAGCGCGGCTGCCCCAGCTTGCTCAATGGCCATGGCTAGCTGCGCCGTGTCGTCACGTTTTTGCAACAGTCGAATCTTGGCGGTGACCGGGACCCTTCTCAATCCAGCTGCCACAGTCCCCACGATCTTGGCCACAAGCTGAGGATCGCGCAGTAGATACGCTCCATATCGACGACACAGAGGCGAGTGGGTCTTGTGACCGCCCTTGCGGGCGTCCTCCGTCGGGCAGCCGAAGTTGATGTCCACCGCATCCACGTGGGGCTCCAGTATACGCGCCGCGCGCAGCAAGGTGTGCGGATCATCCCCGCCCAGCTGTGCGATGAGGGGCCGGTCCACGTCTTTCGCAGGCCCAAGATCCGCTGCGTCCCAGGCGTCGAAGTACGTCCTGCGGTACTCCTCGTCTGAGGCGAAGGGCTCGGCGTGGATCATCGGGGTGTAGGCCAGCTGGACCCCATATTGTCTGCAGAGGATTCGAAAGGCCCTCTCTGACCTATACTGAACTTGGAGACCTAGCAAGAATTGTAATTCTAGCTGTTTCTTAAGAATTGTAGTTTAGGAATTCTAGTACCCAAATATTTAACATCTATTCCCAAGTATCCCCAAGTGACTGGTCAACCATCGGTGAGCAAACCCATCTGGGACTGCCTATGGACCTCCACCAGCTCCAGGCCCAGGCAGCTTTGGGTGCTGCGACGCCTGCAGAGAGCAATCGGCTCGAGCAGCAGGCTCAAAGCTCAAACCCTAAACCCTAAACCCTAAACCCTACAGCTGCTTGGTTCAGGGCTTAAAAGAAAGGGTTTCGGGTTAGGCTCTTGAGGCTTTTTCAGGGCTTCAAGCGTTGAAGGCTCAAGTGCTTCAGGCTTCAGGCTTCAGGCCTTCTTTCACCGATCCTGGGCCTGCCATCTGCCTAACGCTCGCCGGGGCCAGAGGGTGCGAGCCGAGCGCAGCGCAAGCCGCGAGCAGCAGCCGCCCGCGCTGTCGTGGACCCATCGGGGGCACAGGGGAGCTCGAAACGCCTCCCTTTTTATGGAGGATGCTTCCAAGATGCGTACGCGTGCCGACTTTATAACTTTATGAGGCTTGGGGGCCCAGATGTTTCTGGGGGTTGGAAACTTGGGGTTTCTTGAGCTCAAAGGTCTCCTAAGGACATTCATGGCCCGAAGCCTGCGCCGGGAACCCAATCCCGGGAGCCCGAAACCTTGTTGCAACGCTACACCTACACCCTTTTTATACTGTAAAAGCGATGGGGTCTTGCACTCCAATAACGCCGGAAACATCCGGAACCTGAGCCAAAACAACTCTTTGCGCGGTAACCTCTGTGGGCTGGCTGTGCTTCGAAGAGCAGTACTTGGAGGTTCATGGTACTTAGTAACCAATTATAACTGTACTTATAACCCAAATTATAACTCTATTAGGGCACTTAAGGGGCTTATAAGTACAGTTATAAGTACAGTTATAATTGGTTAATAAGTACCATGAGCCTTCAAGTACCGACCGAACTCAGGAGGGCCAGGGTGCGAAAGGGCATCCAGGGGGGGGTTCAGGAGCTTGAGATTTGAGTTTCGGGTTTAGGGTTTCGACTCTTGGTACACTTCCCGATTTGTGCGTTCAGGGTTTAGGGTATAGGGTTCAGGGTTGGGCAACTTGTACCTTCTTGGCTGCCTGGCCAAGTTGCGCTGGCCAGGACGTGCTTCTCAATGATGGCCACACGGTTCGCCATGACGAAGATACCTGGAGCTGGAATGCCGAGCCGTCTCTGGCCCGAGCTTGCCAGTTCTGTGACCCTTTTGTTGCCTCCACGCTTACATTAAAAAAACCCTACAAAGCCCCTACCAAAGCCTGCCGTCCAGGTCAAAACAAACCCTCTCACCGGAAACTCCCACACCCTTAGGTGCCCGCGCGGCGAACTGTAATCCCTGGAAGGCAGGCACTGGTGAAAAACTCTGGCTGGGGGTTTTGGTTTAGGGGTGTAGGACTCGAGCCATGAGGGCTGAGGGCACAGGAGCAAACACGGGAAGACTGTGCTGATGAAGCCCGGATGCCAGGAAGAGTGGTCGAAGCGATGGCAAGGAGATTTGTTTCGGCTTTCTGAGCCCAACACCGAGCACAAGCAGTTTGGGGATTTTGCAGGGCTTTCTGTGAGATCCTCACGCGCTTGGCACTCGCTCCTCCCGTTATCTCTCTCTCTCTCTCTCCCTCGCTCGGTTCTGCCGACTTCCTGCGTAAGGCTACACTTCGCGCTAACAGGGTTCATTCGCCACGAGCCCATGCTAGGTGGCCATGACAATCCTCCCAAGACTGAGGCCGACCGGGTAGCTTTACTTTGCTTTGGGGGGCCTCCCCAGCAGAGCTGCCGAGGCGAGATTTTCCAAAAGTTCTTCTGTCCACGCGGTGTTTCGGGCCGGGTTTCCCGTGTGATGCCTGTGTCTCGAAATCGGAGGCCGTTCAAAAGGTGCGACACAAACCAGATTGAGAGAAGAAATGGTGCCTGGCCATATCGAAAACTGGGGGCACGGCCACCAGCTCCCTCGCGGGCATGGGCTTCTTGGGGTTGGTTTAGAGTTTAGGGTTTAGGGTTTAGGGTTTAGGGTTTAGGGTTTAGGGTTTAGGGTTTAGGGTTTAGGGTTTAGGGTTTAGGGTTTAGGGTTTAGGGTTTAGGGCAACAGCTGGGAGCCAGAGAGGCTGACCCTCTTCATTGCCAGACGACCACAGCAATCAGCAGGCTAGTTGCTGCTGATTGGCCTAAACAGCCTCGCAGTTGCCACAGCTTCACATCGTACGATGCGACATTCACAGTACAGGTGCCGCTGAACGCAGACTGTACTACTCAGAACTGCTTCTCCGTGACTCCGGCCGACATGATGCCGGTGGAGGAAAGTCCGCCGCTGACGATGTTGCCCATCTCGTCCACGATCTCAGAGCCGCTCCACTTCTGGTGGGTAAGGGTCTCCACCTTGTGCTCGCGCTCCTTGCGCTGGATCATCTGCACGTACGCGGCCGCACCTCGCTTGGCATACTCCTTGGCGAAGAGGTCAATGTTCAAAGCATCGCAGTGGAAGCCTGCCAAGGTGATGAACTGCCAGCAGAAGCCGAGCTTGGCCAGGTCCCAAATGAAGGACTCCATCTGAGCATCGGTCATGCCGGCGGTGTCCCAGTTGAAGGACGGGCTAAGGTTGTAAGAAAGCATCTGGTGAGGCACTGCGCCGCGGACCTCCTTCGCGAACTGCGTGGCCTGCGCCAGGATCGGCTTGCCGGTCTCCATCCAGATGCAGTCAGCATAGGGGGCAAAGGCAATGGCGCGCTCGATGCAGAACTCGGTGGAGCCCTTGATTCGGTAGTAGCCCTCCACGGACCGGGCGGCATCCCAATCGAAGAAGACCTCCAGGCCCATGCCAGAGGCCGCCTTCTTCATCTGGTCCAAAGACATCTTGCGGGAATCCTGCAGCCACTTGGCCGGGTCCTGGCCCTTGGCCTTCATGGCCTTGGCAACGGCATCCGGGAAAGTCATGCATCCGGATCGCTCCTCCCAGTCCTTGTCGGTGCCCTTGCGCATGGCCTCATAGAGGGGCTCCACGCCCTTGACGGTGGCGCCCTTGATGTGGGGGTGGTCGATCGGATCCTCGGCTGGTGGGGAAGAATGGCCAACAATGGGCATTCTTCGTGCATCGACATGTACAGCATTGGTTATATCTATTGGTCCTGCAACGCCATTGCAGTGCCGCAAGGGGACTGGAAGGGACAATCAAGAACCCAGAAGTTACAACAGCCACGAAAGTAACGCCAGACGACAGTCGGACCAATATGCATTCCAAATCAGACCATTCAATGTGGCGGCTTCTTTTTGCCAACCCAGCTCCACTAAGCTGCAAAGGCTTCGAAGGCTAAACCCTACATGCACCCTTCCCACCTGGATGTCCCCTTCCCACCCCTCTTAACTCCCACAATCGGTCGGAGGCACGATGTTCGTGTCGATCATCGTGGCCGCCTCCGCGTCAGTGCGCGCCACGATGACCAGAGGCGAGTTGAGCACGTCGGCCTGGCACAGTGCGTACTCATCGAAAACCCTAAACCCTAAACCCTAAACCACTAAACCCTAAACCCTAAACCCTAAACCTTCCAAGCCATCCCTCAGGCCGATTCCATCGAAGGCTTGACATGCGCCGCATGTGCCTGGAGGCGGATCGCAATGAGGCGCTGGATGTGCTCCTGTTTAGGATTTAGGGATTTTCTTAGGGTTTGGGGTTTGGGGTTTAGGGTTTATTGTTTAGGGTGTGCTGAAGTTCTTTGCTTGGAAGCCCAATAGCCCTTTATAGGGTTTAGGGTTTAGGGTTTATGGCATTTAGGGTTTATTGGGTTTATAGGGTTTATAGGGTGTATAGGGTGTATAGGGTGTATAGGGTGTATAGGGTGTATAGGGTGTATAGGGTGTATAGGGTCATAACTCTGTTGGGGTTTATAGCCATTTCATAATAAGGGCACCCTTTTTGGGGGCTACAAGGGAACCTACCAACGGGCTGGGCTACCAGTTTGCGCGTGGGTGGGCTTATAGGGTTTAGGCTTTAGGGTTCAGGGTTCAGGGTTTAGCGTTTATAGGGTTTAGGGCTTATAGGGTTTAGGGTTATTTAGGGTTTAGGGTTTAGGGTTTCGGGCTACAACCGATTCCGCACCCAGTCCGCCTGCTTATTGGAGGCTCCAGGCTTTCACTGCACGGGTCAGAACAAGCGATCCATCCGACGAAATGCCTTGAGGGCCAACCCCCCATCCCATTATCCTCCGCCCGGAAAACCTTTCGGGTTTTTCTGTTTAGGGCTTCAGGGCTAAGGGTTTAGGGTTTTGGGTTCAGGGTTAAGTTTAGGGCTAACTTCCCCAATCCCATTTGGGGTCCGGCGCCCTCCCAAGTCCCCCCACCCGAATGGCGCCTGTGTGGAGACCAAGACCTTGCCGCCCATGTGGCCGCACTTCTTGGTGCCCGGCTTCTGGTCCTTTAAGGGGGGGGTATCAGGGGGGTTATCCAGGGGGGGTATCAGCGGGGTATAAGGGATAAGGTCTCATGAAAAGGTCATGTTGCTGCAAAACCACGAAGTCCGGCCCTATATGGCCCAAGGGGCTCGGAGATCCTGAAATTTGAGGGTGTGGCGGCCTGGATGCAAGGAGTCTTCCCCGCGGAAAATTCAGATAGAAGCACTCAAACTCGAAGCCCGGCAGAGCGAACTGTCTCTCTGAAGCTACACACTGGGGCCCTGTAGGGAGTAGGGTGATTACTGCAACGTCCGCGTCCGTCCTCGATGTGAATGCCAGCAGCCCCGTTCTCAACGAACATCTTCGCAAGCTTCATGGTGGCGGTAAGTCCGCCATGGCCGGTGTCCGCGTCTGCAATGATGGGGTTCATGTAGTCCTCGGAGCGACAGCCACTAAACACTGCAGAAGGGATCCAGAACACGAGAAGACATGCCCTCAACATTCCTGAGCTAAGCTTTCATGCACACACACACACACCATGCACCAGAACAGCAAGGCAGCCGTTCCCTGCTTAAACCGAGGCACCACAACGGGTGCCTTGGCACGCTCGTCGGGCGACATGCGGCGGCGCTCCTCATACCTCGATCCCACAATGTAGAACGACGAACTTTCTATGTCAGCTAAGGCTCGATGTCTCGAGTCCACGGGCACCGGGCGAGAAATATCTCGTCAACCAGCAGGCTTGCGTGGACATGCTAATCGGTACAGAGCTCGAAAACAAACGGTTGACCCAGACCTCCTCAAGCCTTCGGAACTCTTGGGCGGCTCTATAGCTCTCAACCCCTCAAAACCAAAACCTCCCCGTACAAACCCCCCAAACCCGAACCCTCAACCGAACAGGGACACCTTTCTTGGACCCTAAACCCGGACACCGGATTGATGCTGAGTCAGAGGTACTGCTTGCGGTCATGGAAGAGCTGTGCGCGGAAGAGCTGGTCCACCTGGAAGAGTTAGAGCTTCGGGGCTCAGGGTTACCGGGTTCAGGTTGGGATGCTCCCCCCTTAAACTAGCAGTCCTTGACAAGGATTATAATAGGGGTACTATATCCCTATTAAGGACTGTTCGTAGAAGGGGAACATCCCAAGTTAAGGGTTTAAGTTTATGGTGAACGTGAAGTGCCTTCGGGCTTGGTGGGGTTTTAGGTTCAGGGTTCAAGGTTCTGGGTAAACCCTGCAAAACCGTAACCCCCAAACCCTGCCTTGTTGGGAACAGTGTCATAGGGGTAGTCCGCCACATCTGGGCCAGGCTCGTTGGAAGTGGAGGCGGTGGAGGAGCACCTGCCACTCCCAGAATTACGTTTGAGAGCCAAAGAAACTTCCAGAAAGCCTAAACCCCAAACCCTTTCTTGAAACCCCTAAAGCCCTAAACCCCTAAACCCCTAAACCCCTGAACCCCTAAGCCGTAAACTCTTTTACATCCAGGCCTCTGAAGTCTGCCGGGCAAGTACCCCTAAACCCCTAAACCTCTAAACCCCTAAACCCCTAAACCCCTAAACCCCTAAACCCCTAAACCCCTAAACCCCTAAACCCCTAAACACCTAAACCCCTAAACCCCTAAACCCCTAAGCCTTGACCCCAACACCACACCAGGTTGCGACCTTTTTGGGGTCTGAAGTTGCGGCTTAGGGGCATTGAGTGCGCACGGGACATTTTTTGTCACAAGGGACTCGACTACTGCCCTTGAGTACAGTACATACGGGCCGAGATCATCTGGGTTTGGGGGGGGGGGGGGGGCTACGAGACTGGTACAGCTAGATGGCGTTTTAGAAGACGAATCACGATCCGGCGACAGCAAGGTGCTATCCATAACCCTAAACCCCCATGACCCTAAACCCTAAACCCTAAACTCCCAAACAAGCCAAAAACAAGGCGGCAGCACTGCCAACCGCTGACGTACACCGAGGTCAGGTACTTGGCCATCTGCGTGACCTGAAAGGGTTGGACGTTGCAAACTGACCTCGACCCTTAAGCTTTCTGGTTTAGCGTTTCAGGGTTTAGGGTTTTAGGGTTTAGGGGTTCAGGGTTTAGGGCACCACACTGTTTGTAGGATCTGGAGCTGCAGGCCCTTTCCCGGGGCAATCTTCGCAATGACTGTGCATGCCAATTTGAACCGTCAGGTCAGATGCTTTTCTCACCAAAACTGTCAAACCTGACGTGCTTGTGGGCAGGCACTTTGGGCCCCAGAAATCCCTAATCCCGTCGGCCTGCACGGTGTCCAGCGCCCCGAAGGTGTGGGAGCAGGTTCCCTTGGCCTCCACTCTCCATTGACATGGCTTGATCTGACTTAACCCCCAAACCCTAAACCCTGAGGGCTACTCAAACACTCCCCCCCTCCAGGAAACCGTCAAAACCCCAAGCCCCAGCCTGGTGGTCCCGGAGCATCTTGTAGAGCTTGTCGGAGACCTTGGCGCCGTTGAAGTACATGGGCATGGTGCCCTGGAGCTTCACCACGTCCTCGACCTCATGAGGCTTATCGCTGGCAACAGCGAGGGCGATGAGGTTTAGAGTTTCGAGCCTCCTCCTCTGAAGCCCATCCCCCGAAGGGTTTAGGGTTCAGGGTTTAGGGTTTAGGGTTTACGGTTTAGGGTTTAGGATTTGGGGTTTGGGGAAGCTAAAAACAACGACTTGCCTGGCCTGGCCTTGTAGGGGCGAGTGGTGTGCTTGAAGCGCTCGGATCCCATCCTCAGCGTGAAGACTTCGGGCCAAAGCACCCGCAAGCCCCAGAGGCATGCCCCACCGCGTCTTAAAGGCCCTTGAGCACTCTTTTTGCATCCAGGCCTCTTGAGCACTCTTGAAACCCTAAACCCTAAACCCTAAACCCTAAACCCTGAACCCTCAACTGCTGCTTCCAAGCATCCAGGTCTTCATGGCCGCGCAGCGCGCTTCGAAGTCGGCGTCCTCGGCGCTCGCGACGCCACGCATCTCGAGGCCGCCGGAGACGGCGGCATCCTGGGTTCAGGGTTTCGGGTTTCGGGTTTAGGGTTTAGGGTTTAGGGTTTAGGGTTTAGGGTTTAGGGTTTAGGGTTCAGGGTTTAGGATTTAGGTCCAACATGCCCAAAGAGCCCAATATCCCTTAATTAGGGAATATTGCTTCATTTCTATGATTTAAGGTATATTCCTTACTTAAGGGGTCTTGGGCTCTTTGGGTGAAGAAGGAGTGTGGGTCGCTACCCCGCTCTTAATGATGAAGAAGGAGTATATGATGTGGGTTGCCACCCCACTCTTAAGCAGATGTGCAGCTCAAGCAGCCACCTGGCACTGGGATGTCTCATTTGGCCGGGACACGCTTGCCAGGACATGCTTCTCAATGATGGCCACGCGGTTTGCCATGGTGGGACACCTCGGCTGGTAGCCAACTCAGCCAGTTCCCACCCTAAACCCTAAACCCTAAACCCTAGACCCTAAACCCTTTTTGCTGCAGGCTTGCGTGAATCCTCGCCTGGATGTGTCGTAAACCCTAAACCCTAAACCCTAAACCCTGAACCCTGAACCCAGAGCCAAACTGCCAAAGGCTCCTAGCCGCCCGAGCCCTCAGCCCTCAACCCCCGCCTCCCTCCTCTGCTCCAAGGCGCAGGACTCACAGCAAATCTTTCATCCTAAGTCCCTCTTTGAACCCAGGACCCCAAACCTCCTAAACCCTGAACCCCTTAAACCCTAAACCCTAAACCCTAAACCCTAAACCCGGCTGATACAAGTCCTGGTCCAAGTCCAAGGCGCCGGAAGGGTTCAACGCGGAGACGGGCGGGAGATTTGCTTTCGGGCTCTGGGAAGATGGCGGCAGGACGAATTTGAGTTGCTTCCTTTTCTTGGCCACCCGGGCTGCTGCTGGTTTAGGGCTTAGGGGCTTAGGGGCTTAGGGTTTTAGGGGTTTAGGGGTTAGGGTTTAGGGTTTAGGGTTTAGGGTTTAGGGTTTAGGGTTTAGGGTTTAGGGTTTGGGGTTTGGGGTTTGGGGTTTAGGGTTTTGGGAACTCAGGGCTTGAAACCTGTTGCACCTCAGGCCCCCCGGCCACTTTTCGCTGGGCGCCTGAGGCGGAGGGGGCACGTGCAGCTTGGCTCCTCATGAATCTGCCTATTTCCATCATACTCATATCCTTCCAGAGGACACCGCATCAAAGTTTCGGAGCCCCTCGTATGCTCCTTTGAACTCCAACCCGACAGGAACCAGCCCGAACCCTCAAGTCTTTGGGCGCGGAGCTTCGGGCTTTGGATCAAGTCTCTTGCCTACCACATTCGGGGCAGCGCCTGCGCCATCTTCCGCCCCCATGCCGACCATCGCGCGGGTGGCGCGGCGAGCGCAAGGGATCGGGAAATCGGGATGCGGTAGTGCGCTTCAAGCTCCGGGACCCGTTTCCTCTAAGTGAACGCATCCCTTGTGCATCCTCCCTAACCCTGAAACCCAAAGACCGCCACAAGCTTTGGAGCTGCTTATCCGAAACCGGTCAGGTTCTGCAGGGACTCGTGGTCCCATAGTCCAACGGTCGCGCAGCGTCTCATGGAATGGAACATGGGAACCCCCTAAGCCGTCCTCCCCAGCTTAAGCAGCTGCGGTGGCCGAGCGTTGGGGATATTGGCGGGTCCCCAGAACTGGAATCTTCCAGTAGACTTTTTGAGGTATTGAGTAGCTGTTTAAGGAACCCAATCTAAGGAACCGAGGATCTCAAAAAAGGGAGAATGGGCCCACTGGGACACTCCTTTTGGGGGGGGGGGGGGGTTCGAGGTCCTCGTGGCTCATCACATGCAGGGGCTTGGTCAGAGACCGCTGAGCCAAACTTGGACACTTCGAGGTTCAGGGCTTGTGCGGGGAAGACGGAGGCAAAGGGGGCCGAATACAGTCCCCAAAGAGTAGGATTTCCTCATGATTAAGGACCCCAACAAGGTACCCCGAATTTCGGAAACTCCCCCATATTTCTTTGTTGTTCTTCGGAAAGAACTGAGGTGTTGTGTTTAAAGTCCAGGGCGCGTTGCCCGCGCTGGGCGTCAAATAGCTAGGCAGTCTTCCGGAGCGTCTCGGGAGGCTTGCGAGGTCGTGTCGGGAGCAGGGCTCTGGGAGGCCTTGTGGCCTTGTAGTGTGTAACCTCTCTAGCCGCTCGAAACCGATGGAGGTGAGAAGGAAAGCGTAGGGTTCGGGGTCTACGTTTGACACTACCTACCCAGCCTCCTTACCTTTGTACACGGTGCAGGCAGGGGTGGAGGGCTCAGCGGCTGGGACGCCGGAATTCCTCCCCTAAGTCCAAGGTTGTACTCGAGCTTGGCCTCCATCGGCAGGCCTCGTGTGTCGAACCTTACCTATACAGAAAAACATAAATCACACACATGCATAGGTAGGCCTGCATATGTTTCGGCATATGTGTATGCCTGTGCCTATGTCTGCTTATTTCTGTATGCATGACATATTTGCGTTACAGTACAATACAATACCATACCATACGATACAAGACAGCAAGTACAATACAACACAATACAAAACAATACAACATAGAATAACATCTAGGGGTTGTACCTTGGACCCTTTAGGTTGTGCAAACCCCCAAATGGGGGGCAAGAACGCCGGGGGTTGCTACAACATCATCGTCAAGTCGTCCTCGGAGGTAGGGTCCTGCTTCAAGGGCATTAGTTTCGGATTAAGGCCCTGCAGTGTGGCATCGCATGTGCCTGCAGGCATGCTTCTACTCGCAGGCTTACAGTCTCACATCTCGCGCATGCCCGGGGAGTTGCATCAGACAAGATTGCAGAGGCGGGAAGGGGGTGAAGGGGGAGGGAAGGGGGAGGGAAGGAGGAGGGAAGAGGGAGGGAAGGGGGAGGGAAGGGGAAAGGAAGGGGGAGGGAAGGGGAAAGGAAGGGGAGGGAGGAGGGAAGGGCTTCGCAAGAAGCGGGAAGACCCGACCCACCGGAAAACCTTCTTGAGCAATGTGATTTCGACCCCGATGCCCTCTGAGCCAACCGTTGAAAACGTACCCTTCACCACAAGCCAGAAATGTCCACTGCAATTGGGCCCGAAACAACTTTGGCCCCATCCAGCCCCTTATTCTCCTCAACCCGCAACTAGTGGGCCTCTCTCCCTAAACCCGACATCCCTTGCCGACGCTCAGAGCTTGAAACCTCTGACACACAGACTTCCACAGTCCTCGTTGGGACTAGGCGGGCGGCCATCTCGATTGGACCTCGGTCCCGAAGGCTTCTCTGACCGGTTCAGGGGTCTGAGAGGTTGAGGGGTTAGAGTTACAGAGCTTCGAAGGTGCTACGAATTAGGTCGTCTTGTCTGCGGGAAGAGGAACCCTAAACCCTAAACCCTAAACCCTAAACCCTAAACCCTAAACCCTAAACCCTAAACCCTAAACCCTAAACCCTAAACCCTAAACCCTAAACCCGAAGCGGAGCAGCGTGGCTTGTTCGGAGGTGGGAATTCGGGGACTTGGTGGCTGCAGCTGCTTCGAACTGAGCACCCAGCCGCTGCAGGAGTGCCACCAAATCCTGGGTACTTGTGGACGGGTTTAGGGTTTAGGGTTTAGGCTTTAGGGTTTAGGGTTTAGGGTTTAGGGTTTAGGGTTCGGCATTGCCGGGCACAGAGAGCTTAGAATTCTGGGTTGGGGGGGAAGCCATGTTTGTACCCTGCACGGCAGCTTCTGCAAAACATCATGGCTGCGGAAGTCCTCAGCGGACTCGGGGCGGTAGAAGTTGTCAACTATCTCGTCCTTGATCGCCTTCTTGCATGACACAGAGGCGACAGAGCTCCGATCGGGTTCCATTCTACCCTAAACCCTTTTTAACCCCGCGAGCTCGGCCCTAAGCCCTAAAGGCCGTACACCACAAACCCTAAACCCAGCTGTGAATGGCAACACCGTGCAAGTTTGACACATTCGGTCTCGTATGCATTCGTATGCTGAAGACAAGGGCGGCTGCGTCCTTCTGCAACCAGATTCGTAAACGATTCGCCCTCTGCCTGGCATCCCAAACCCCGGAACGCATGCGTCGGAGTGTCTCGTACCATGTGAAGATGGCCGGGCTCGAAGCAGCAGATGCGAACTCGTAGAGGGTCCTCGGGCGTGTCGCTCTGGGGTAGGGGAGCGTGCCCGGCAAACCCCCAACCCTAAGAACCCCTTTGTTTGCTTCCGGTCTCGCGCCTGCACCTAGAAACCCTTATACGGCCCAAACGAAACCCTAAACTTGGGATGTTCCCCCTTGTACTAACAGTATACTAACAGTCCTTAATAGGGATTCTAGTAGGGGGTACCACAATCCCCATTAAGGACTGCAGTATAAGGGAGAACCTCCCAACCCTAAACCCCAAACCCCTAAAAAACTTTTTACGGCCTAAAGACTAAACCCCAAACCCTAAACCCTAAACCCTAAACCCTAAACCCTTAACCCTAAACCCTAAACCCTAAACCCTAAACCCTAACCCCGACATGAAGCCAGGCTTCGGCTGGATTTGCCAAGAAGTCGCGGTACACGCTCCGGGCCGCGGCCACCCCTACCTCGGCTTGCTGCAGGGGTGCGCTCGACTCTCCTTTAGGGCTTAGGGTTTGCGGTTTAGGGTTTGGGGTTTGGGGTTTCAGGTTTGGGGTTTAGGGTTTAGGGTTTAGGGTTTAGGGTTTAGGGCCGAGTTCGGGGTTCAGGGTTTGGGGTTTGGGGTTTGGGGTTTAGGCTTCAAACGGCCTTCGGGCTCAGGGCGTTTAGGCCTCAGGGCTATGAAGGCGCCTGCCGACAGATCGTCACCACCTCTCTTCGGTCAGAGGGAAGCAAGGGGGGGGAAACACAAACCACGGGAAGCTCGGCAGGCCTAGCTCGGATATCCCTGGAACCTTCGGAGCAGTTGAGAATTCAGAACCCCCATCAGTCTACTGCTTGGGGACAAAAACAAGTATATTAAAAAAAAATCAACCCAGGCTCCCACCGAACACCCCTCTCAAAGCAAGACTCGCCACCCCTGAAAACCGGCACAAATACCATAAACCCTAAACCCTAAACCCTAAACCCTAAACCCTAAACCCTAAACCCACTTGCTTCCGGGAGGCAAACTGCACAGGGATGCCGATGCCGCCTGTACACAACGTCGGCATGGCCAGGGTGCGGTGCCCCGCGGCTCGCCTTAAGCTCGATGAACCCTAAACCCTAAACCCCTAAACCCTAAACCCTAAACCCTAAACCCTAAACCCTAAACCCTAAACCCTGCGGCGAAAGAAGCTTCTTCGCTTCCTCACAAAGGGGGGGGGGAGGTTCCTTGCACTAAGTCTCAGATGGGGGGGGGCATTCTTCAGCTGCAATAAGGACCTCAGAGATGCTTTGAGGGCGATTCTCCTGAGGACACTTGTATGCGTCTCTGGGAAGCTTGCAGATGGGCGCAAGGGCTTGGGGAGTTTTGGCGTTCGAGTTGGGGAGCCTTCGGGGGCATGGAAGCCCGGCAACCATACTGTGATAAGGGTGCCCTTGTTTGGGTTGGTTATGTTTATAAGGGAAGGGAAACCATAAACAAAAAAAGGGGTAAAGGGTACCACTGGGCTGCCAAGAGGGCCAAAGTCTGTGGGCTTTCGGGTCTCAGGTGGTTTTCTTTGTTGTGTAGGATCTTTGTACCGGCACCACTTCCTGTTGTCCTCCCAGGATCCAAAAAAGTTAGGATCCTCAAGTTAGGTTTAGGGTTTTAGGTTGGAACGTTCCCCCTTTTGTTAGGGTTTGTCTAACGCAAAACAAGGCGCACTGCGCTGAGGAGCTCATCATGCAGTCGGTCAAGCCACCTCAGACACACCCGACTTTTGAACGGTAGGGGCTCCAAGACTGCGGAACTGACCCTAAACCCTAAACCCTAAACCCTCTCTGAATTACGAAGCCCCTTGGTTCAGACCTTAAAAACCGAGGGGTTAGGGAACTCGTGTTGAGCCATACGGGCAGAAACCTCTGGCAAAGACTTTTTCCATGCATAATTATGGGCCACCGTACTTCAATAAACTTTACAAGTCACAAAGGCTGGCAGCACTTTTTGAGGACCCAAATACTTAGCACTGCCTCCGGATGCACACTCAATTTAAGGGGCATAAGGAGGGACCCCTGAAAGGGACGCTTGATCTTATTCCCTTGTATAACCCCTACTTGTACCTTAGTCTCTGCAAACCAAAGTACCCCTTAAAGTCCCTTGTAAGGGTCGCTCCTTTAGTCCCTTGACAAGTCACGACATCAGAGCCATATGCCGATCCTCCTCGTCCTGCCCAGCAGCGGCAAGCAGTAGCAACTCAGAACGCAACGCCCCCGGGGGCAAATCCTCAATCACAAGACCTCGAGAGTCACAGCTACATGTTCCACCGTCTCCTAAAGCAGGGGTGCTTCCTGCAACCCCATCAGACCTACAGAAGCCCCACGCATTTGTTGCAAACACAGTAAGTATATGCATGTGTGTGCTATTCGCACAAACTGTCAGACCCTAAACCCTCAAGACCCTAAGCCTTAAACCCTCAAGACCCTCCCAGAGCGGTCGAGGAGCCGATTGGAAGTTCTGGAACACGCGCAGCACGGTCGACGGGATCTCCGTCAGCGTCAGTGCCACCTTCTCCTGGGCCGTCGAGGGGGATTCGGGTTTAGGGTTTAGGGTGAGGGTTTAGGGTTTAGGGTTCAGGGTTCAGGGTTTAGGGTTCAGGGTTCAGGGTTCAGGGTTCAGGGTTCAGGGTTCAGGGTTCAGGGTTCAGGGTTCAGGGTTCAGGGCTAAGGCTGGCCCAACGCCTGCTTAGGCGTTTCAAGGTTCAGGGTTTGGGGTTTGGGGTTTGGGGTTGCAGGCTTCTTTTTGAGGCTGAAAAGCAGCAGTTGCCCGAGGACCGGGCAGGTTTTGAGGGGAGCTGTTGTCAGGGGCTCAGAGGGTTTTGAGCGTTCAAACGAGGTTGCAGGGGCTCTTTGCAGATAAAGCTCAGAGAGCTGTCCGCCAGTGACCTGGGCGATGCGACAAGGTTATATAGGGCTTCGGGTGCTTTGTTTTGGGATCTCGCAAACAAGCCAAGGCTTCAGGATTGTTTTCATTTGCCTTGAGCGTATTATGAAGTCCTCACGAACGTGGAGGGCTGCAAGGCCTGTGGGGGGGGTTCATGCCCGGGGCTATTCTCAGGGCTTTCAAACTTGGGAGTTTTTGGGCTCTTCCTCCCTTTGTTACCTGCCGAAGCACCCTCTGATCCCTCAACCCTGAAACCCTCCACCCCGAAAGCCCCTGGCACCCCAGAACCCTGGAGCCTAAGCCTCCCGGAAGAACCCTGAATCCAAAACCCGAGACCCTGAACCCTAAACCCTGGAACCCTGAACCCTAAGCCCGAAACCCTGAACCCTTGAACCCTAAACCCTAAACCCCCCCTGCCTCCCGAAACCTCACCTGGCCCCGTTTGATGGTGGGAATCGAGGGCGGCAGCCCTAAACCCTAAAAGGCAATGGTCTGGGTGGTGGCCTGTGAAAGCTCACAGCGGGAGGGAGAAAGAAACCCAGTACCAATGAAAGTCGTTGGACGGCATTGAGAATATATGCCTTCGCATTACACGCCGCCCCCCCCCCCCCTCCCCCAACCCACCCCTGGGTGTGTCGGGGCGCCATTTACACATGGTACTTACTGCCGCTGCGCGGCGAGACACCCTAAACACCTAAACTATGAACCCTATGAACCCTATGAACCCTATGAACCCTATAAACCCTATGAACCCTATGAACCCTATGAACCCTATGAACCCTATGAACCCTATGAACCCTATGAACCCTATGAACCAACCCTATGAACCAACCCAATGAACAAACCCAATGAACAAACCCTATGAACCAACCCTATGAACCAACCCTATGAACCAACCCTATGAAACAACCCTATGAACCAACCCTATGAACCAACCCTATGAACAAACCCTATGAACAAACCCTATGAACAAACCCTCTGAACAAACCCTATGAACAAACCCTATGAACAAACCCTATGAACAAACCCTATGAAGCCTATGAACCCTATGAAGCCTATGAACCCTATGAACCCTATGAACCCTCTGAACCCTCTGAACCCTCTGAACCCTATGAACCCTATGAACCCTAAGAACCCTAAGAACCCTAAGAACCCTAAGAACCCTATGAACCCTATGAACCCTAAGAACCCTAAGAACCCTATGAACCCTATGAACCCTAAACCTCCCCTACAGCCAGCGGCACTCCCCAGGTCCAAGCGGCAAAAGTCACCGGCACGGGCTCCCAGTGGCGCTGGAGCTGTGCGATGGCTTCCTTTTCCACACAAAAGAATCTTATAGGGTTTAGGGTTTAGGGTTTAGGTTTTAGGGTTTGGGGTTTGGGGTTTAGGGTGTAGGGTTTGGAGTTTAGGGTTTAGGGATTAGGGTTGAGGGTTTAGGGTTTAGGGTTTAGGGTTTAGGGTTTAGGGTCTAGGGTTTGGGGTTTGGGGTTTAGGGTTTAGGGTTTAGGGTTTGGTCGAAAGGCTACGGTGAATTGCTTCGCTGGACAGTGCACTCCCTGAAAAAGGAAGCCAAGCCACCAAACCCCAAGCCCTTGCACGCTGAAAAACGAAAACTAAACCCGCCTGACTGTTGTGTGCGTCGCCCGGGCTTGGTGATGTCAGCGAATTACTTAAACACTCAACCCTAGTCCCCGGCCTTGAACCCCTAGTGCTAAAAAGCCATGTGGGCATGCAAACCAGGGGGTACTCCTTTTATACCCCAAAATAGAATAGAATCCCTTTTATAAGGGACCCCCAAAGTAGGGAAACCCCCACGTCTACCCCAAGCACAGGCATCTGCCCACCTCCAACTCACGGCCGCCGGCGCGTCGCACGGCTCCCTGCGCTCCGACGTCCATGTTCCTTTGGGGCCCCCGTCTTCTCGGCTAGTTGGGTTGAGGGTTTAGGGCTTAGAGGGATGTCTTCTTGGCTGGAAGGGTTTAGGGTTTAGGATTTGGTTTAGGGTTTCGGGTTTAGGTTTAGGATTCAGGGTTTAGGGCTTGGGGGGATGGATCCTAGCCAAAGCTCATCTCTTTCAGGGCTCAGGTTGTTGCTTTCCGTCTGGCCAACCCACGATCGGCATCTGCGACCTGTGGGTCAAAATCACAAAGTACTTCCTCCCAAAAGCCGAAACCCGTGTCTTTGTGCGTGTTGCATATACAGAGAGAGGGAGAAAAGGATAGGGAGAGGGAGAGGGAGAGGGAGAGGGAGAGGGAGAGGAAGAGGGAGAGGGAGATATCTCAACAGGTGCCATGTACTCACCCGACTGGCGAGCTACGACATGAAACAACGTGTAACATACACACACACAAACCCTGCTTGTGAGAGATGTGAGGAAACAAACAGAAAAACACCCCCCAGCAGACCGCAGGCGGAAACGCCTACCACCAGGGACAGACCGAGAAGTGTGAGAATCATTGTGAGAACTCGATTTGGCTCATACAACGGGCCAGATGAGCGCACGAGGGCAGGGCTCAGGAGACGATGCGGACAAGCTAGGCCTATGTGCGGCAGCACCGGCAGCATGCTGAGAAAGAAGCAGGCCGAGAACCCGTCGACGAACTGCGGTCTCCCCCATCTCCCCAATCACTGATCCCCAGCATCTTGGAGTACCGCAGCAGCCGCAATGGCTGCGCCCGCAGCGGACGCACCCGCGCTGTGCGATCGCAGGCGCCGCGCGACTGCGCGCCCATTGGCTCGCGCAATCAGAACGGCTATCCGCTCGAGGAGGTCCTCAAAGAGAGCTGAAACGCAGGCTCCCTCAGCATTGGATGCAGCCTCAGCAATGCGGTGAAGCACTGCGGCACCCTCAGCCGTGATGGTTCCCTGTGCGGTGAGGACAAGTGGTTGGAATCGCACTCCGGCGTGCTGACAAAGGGCAGCAGTGTTGAGGTGGCCGCGTTTGCGCTCCCCATATGCCTGAGCAGCAGCCGTCCCATCAGCATCAAAGGTGGTACGCCAATGTCCCTCGCCAAGAGCATTGACGATGGCAAAGTCGAGAGCGACCCGTTCGAAACCGGGCATGTGAGCACCATCAGGGAGGCGCGTAGGCAAGCATGAGGGAGCGCAAAGAGGGAGAGGGAGAGGGAGAGGGAGGGAGAGGGAGAGACAAAAAATAAACTGTGTCGGGCATTTTTTGCTGACTGCGAGAGCCGCATCGGGTCTGGTTCTTGAAATTGGCCGCACGCCAAGCGAAGACAAGAAAGCTCCGAATGTACCGCGACCACGGTGCCAAAAGTACAGGGCCTGGGCAAGACCTGTCTGTGTTTACTCCACGACACGAGATTCCCTCAATTGATATCTAAGGCACTTCCTACACCATCAAAGAAAGTCTTCAGCTGCAACATGCATCTTAACACTCCGACCTTGCCGGCCGATAGGCAGGTCGCCCTGTTACCCTCTGCAAAACACTGTTGCTACGAAAACCTGTCAGGCTAGGAACTAACGAAAAACCCGGGTGCCTGAGCATCTACTCTCCAAGCATGCCAGGCACGCTCTGTGCCAGCCAAAACGGCTACAGCAGCTTAGAACTGCTTCTCCGTGACACCGGCAGACATGATGCCGGTGGAGGAAAGTCCGCCGCTGACGATGTTGCCCATCTCGTCCACGATCTCAGAGCCGCTCCACTTCTGGTGGGTAAGGGTCTCCACCTTGTGCTCGCGCTCCTTGCGCTGGATCATCTGCACGTACGCGGCCGCACCTCGCTTGGCATACTCCTTGGCGAAGAGGTCAATGTTCAAAGCATCGCAGTGGAAGCCTGCCAAGGTGATGAACTGCCAGCAGAAGCCGAGCTTGGCCAGGTCCCAGATGAAGGACTCCATCTGAGCATCGGTCATGCCGGCGGTGTCCCAGTTGAAGGACGGGCTAAGGTTGTAAGAAAGCATCTGGTGAGGCACTGCGCCACGGACCTCCTTCGCGAACTGCGTGGCCTGCGCCAGGATCGGCTTGCCAGTCTCCATCCAAATGCAGTCAGCATAGGGAGCAAAGGCAATGGCGCGCTCGATGCAGAACTCGGTGGAGCCCTTGATTCGGTAGTAGCCCTCCACGGACCGAGCTGCATCCCAATCGAAGAAGACCTCCAGGCCCATGCCAGAGGCCGCCTTCTTCATCTGGTCCAAAGACATCTTGCGGGAATCCTGCAGCCACTTGGCCGGGTCCTGGCCCTTGGCCTTCATGGCCTTGGCAACGGCATCCGGGAAAGTCATGCATCCGGATCGCTCCTCCCAGTCCTTGTCGGTGCCCTTGCGCATGGCCTCATAGAGGGGCTCCACGCCCTTGACGGTGGCGCCCTTGATGTGGGGGTGGTCGATCGGATCCTTGGCTGGTGAAAGGGAAGAATGGCCAACGATGGGCATTCTTCGTGCATTGACATGTACAGCATTGGTTATATCTAGTGGTCGCCTTTGTAGTGCCGCAAGGGGACTGGAAGGGACAAGCAAGAACCCAGAAGTTACAACAGCCACGAAAGTAACTCCAGACGACAGTCGGACCAATGTGCATTCCAAATCAGACCATTCAATGTGGCGGCTTCTTTTTGCCAACCCAGCTCCACTAAGCTGCCAAGGCCTCGAAGGCTAAACCCTACATGCACCCTTCCCACCTGGATCTCCCCTTCCCACCCCTCTCAACTCCCACAATCGGTCGGAGGCACGATGTTCGTGTCGATCATCGTGGCCGCCTCCGCGTCAGTGCGCGCCACGATGACCAGAGGCGAGTTGAGCACGTCGGCCTGGCACAGTGCATACTCATCGAAAACCCTCTCTCTCACAGGCGCTCAGTCAATGTCAGGCCTGTCGTGGCATCACAGCCAGCACAAAAGAGACAATGGCGCACGACCACTGCACTTACAGGAACAGGCGACTCAAATCGGCCGTGGCTCTTTGACCACCGCGCACACAGACCGCTTTTGCATGGCACTTACTCGCACTTGCCCATCAGCAACGACGAACCCTGTCCCCGTGAGAAGCAGGAACCGACTCAATCATGAAAACGCAATCGAAGTAGAAACGCGTAAGATGTTGCACACATTCCCGCCATCGTTCAGTATCCGTGACGACAGTAAGCTGCACGACGAAAGGGGGCACTTTACCCAGCAACCGAAGCCAGCTAAGCCAAGAAAGAACTGCGCTGGTAAAATCATCGTCAGCGAACGATAACTGCATCCAACCTTCCTGGACATCCAGCCACTTGAAGTGAAGCCTCCCCTCCTCTCTCCAGCAGAAAACAGCACGGAACCAAGCAACTGCAGCATTGTAACATTCCGCCCACCGCCCCCACGTGTCATCCGCACAGGAAGGCAAGGCTTCAGAGTCTGGCAGTGCGTAGATTTGCTCTACCTTTGGGAACAGATGGTTCCACTCCACCTTGTCCATGTAAAGATTGGATATCTGAGACAAGGTCAACGCATTCTTCTGCAGAATGTTTCGCATTACACTTAGCAGCCATCTTCCAGTGGTAATTGCTCTTCCATCGCGCACCTGTTTAAAGTCACAGAATAATTCCATACGTGTAGGATGGCTCACTGGCATACGAAGAACGTGACCCAAGCAGGACCAACGTCGCCACAGCCATGACCGAACCCACGAGTGCTCAGGCGCCCAATACCTAAGCATTTCAGAGCACACGCTCTCCTCCTGATTCTGTGCAACCCCCTTCGTTGCGCATCGCCGCAGTGTAGGGGAACATACAGCTGCAGCGCGCTTGCCAGAATTCCCAACTGAAAGGTTTTGATGGCTTGCAGTCTTTGCATAGTGGGGTGTACGCAAGGGGAAAACCACAACCACTTGGAAAGCACAAATACTTGCAACAATCGAAGAGCCAGGGGCCAGCGCGCGTAGTGGCACCTTCGTAGGAAAGACCTAATGTTTTCAATGCCCGCAATGGCTTTAGCCTTGGCCTGCTCAAGCAATAAGTCACTCAGCGGGGGACCCTCAGTGGAAATTGATGCCGGCACCTTTAGCATGCACCCCAAATATTTGAATTGGGAAACAACCAGGCACTGTTTAAGAAAGTCATGCATTTTGTGACGTGTCCGCTGGAAAAGTTCGCGGTGTGCGGCTCCTTAAACCCCAAATCCTAAACCCTCTTGCTACTGGTCTGAGGTCCACATGCAGCACCGCCACTCAAGATCTTCGTGCCTGGAGGCGGATCGCAATGAGGCGCTGGATGTGCTCCTGTGCTGTACGTCTTTGCTTGGAAGCCCCATAGCCCTTTATGGGGTTGAGAGTTTAGGGTGTTTAGGGTTTATAGGGTTTATGGGGTTTATAGGGTTTATCGGGTTTAGGGTTTGTAGGGTTTACAGGGTTTATGGGGTTTATGGGGTTTATAGGGTTTATAGGGTTTATAGGGTTTATAGGGTTTATAGGGTTTATAGGGTTTATAGGGTTTATAGGGTTTATAAGGTTTATAGGGTTTATAGGGTTTATAGGGATTATAGGGTTTATAGGGTTTATAGGGTTTATAGCCATTTCATAATAAGGGCACCCTTTTGGGGGTTGGCTACTTGATAAGTCTGACAAGCGAACCCAGAACAAACACAAAACGGGCTGGGCTACCAGTTTGTGCGCGGGAGGGCTTGTAGGGTTTAGGGTTTAGGGTTCAGGGATGTTCAGGGTTTAGGGCTTATAGGGCTTACGGTTTAGGATTTAGGGTTCAGGGTTTAGGGTTTCGGGCTACAACCGATTCCGCACCCAGTCAGCCAGCTTATTGGAGGCTCCAGGCTTTCACTGCACGGGTCAGAACAAGCGATCCATCCGATGAAATGCCTTGAGGGCCAACCCCCATCCCATTGTCCTCTGCCCGGAAAACCTTTCGGGTTTTTCTGTCTAGGTTCAGGGCTAAGGGTTTAGGGTTTTGGGTTCAGG